GTGCAGCAATCCCGTGCTCAACAGGCCGAAAACAGGGTCCGGGAAGCAAACGCGAGACTCCTTGCACACGAGACGGACGGAGCAACCATCGCAAGACTCGAGGCAGAGCTGGAGTACCAGAAAGCGCAGGCCCACGACGCCGATGTCTGTCGAGAGGCATCCAATTCGCAAGCCAAGTACCTCCAGAAGAAGATTGACACTCAGAAGGAGAAGTTCCAAGAATACGCCCGGCGCAAGGAGGACCAGATTGGCGTGCTACGTACCGACATCAAGGCACTCCAGCGTCAGAAAGACAGTCCCCCTCGGGTAGAGCTGTTGGCAACGGGACCCCAATCTGAAGCGGTCGAGACTGCTCCCGAGACAGCCCAACAGTACCTCGAGGAACAGCTCGCCATAACTCAAGCCAGGCTTACGGTAAATCAGGCATTGGCAACCTCGGCCACGTTCGAGCGTTTCATCAGCAAGACCCAGATGGACGATCTCAAGGCTGATAGTCAGAACACGGAGCAAAACTTATTGATAATCATTGTCGAGCTTCGCAAGGAATTGGCCAAGGCCCAAGCTCAAGCAACTACCGCCACGCAGTGGCAAGTCACTCAGCAAAATATCGAAGCATCAACGTCGGGAGACATTCTCGCACTCCAGACAGACTTAGCCAATATCAAGGCCGAAGCCAAGGCAACCATCGAGTCGCAAGGCGCCCAGATCCAAGAAGCCGCAGGCTTCAAAGCGGAAGCTGAGAGAGTGGTTGCTGACCTGCGAAGCGAAGCAGAGCAATTGCGCCGCGAGAACGATAACTACAAGCAAAAGGTGGAGCAAATGGCTGCCCTGAGACCTCAGATTGCCCTGTTGCAACAAGAGGCAGAGCAGATACGCGTTGAGAGGAATGCTCTCCAGCAGCAAGTGGAGCAGTTGATGGACCAGGCCACCCAGATTGCCCCATTACAGCAAGAAAGGGACGTTGCGACTCGAAAGGTCCAGCTCGTAGAGCAACAAGCAGTGGAACTTTTGCAAGCAAAGGCGGTGCAAGTAACCAAGTTGGAGGTCGACCTGCGCACTGTCCGCAAGGAGAAGAAGAAGGCAGAGGAGGAGATCAAGGGATACTTCCAGGAGCTCGAAGAGGAGCAAGAGAGGCTTAGGAAATCACTTGAGTCCGAGAAAGCCGCGATCAAAACCATGAGCGACCTGAAGGTGGCTAACGATGATTTCTGCGCCGAAACCGAACGATTGAACGTGGAGGTGCAACGCCTTCTGAACGAAAACACCAACTTGACGGCTAGGATGAAGAAGTTTGCTAACGAGGAGCTCCTCAAGGCCAATATGGCCAAGAAAAACAAGACTCAAGAGTTGAACAACAAAGATGGAATCTTGGTCTTCACGAAGAAGACCCACGAGGACGAACTTGAGAAGAAAGAGGCCGAGCTTGCGGAGAAGAACGAGAAGATTGCGAAGCTGGAGTCTCAGTACTCCATGAGCTGTGCGGGTAGGCTTACTTTACGCGACAAGACGAAGAAGGGCCGCGAGGACCTCACACTCCTGGCCTCGAGAGTCAGAGATCTTGAAGGACAGATTCGGAACCCCAAGTCCGGCCCCAGGCTCACTGCCCTGCAGACCGGAAGTGTGTCTACGGTCCTGCAGCAGATTGAAGAAGGCAAGCACCTTCTCTCACTCACTTCAACTCCCGAGAAGAAGCCCGAACGCGCTCAGTCAAGCTCAGACGCGAAGCCGATGCGACCGATGAAACCACTTCCGAATAGAAGAAGGTCTGAACAACTTTCGAAGAGTGAGGCGGGCCCGTCGTCGGCGATGGAGGGGTGAGTGAGGCCACGAGCTTCGATTTCTTATCATTCAGCAAGAACTAAATTCTTTCTTGTTGTATTATACTTGTGTGGCGAAGGCCGGCGAGCCCAGTTCACGGATACGGATATGGTTGTGGTTTCGGTTCGGTTTCGCTTATAATAGGATGGTCACGATCAAGGACACGGTTTACGGTTACGGTTATGGTGATGATTACGAAATTCTGCTATGGATATAATAATGGGTCGTGGTATTGAGATGAATGGGTAGCTCGCGAGTACCAGGAATGAAAAGTTTTGATTGCGCGATTCAAATCAAATGGTATTGTCTTTTTGCGAATGCGTGATGCGACCATCCTACAGATCTTCCAAGTCCAAGCCGTCAACCTTGCCCAGGAAATCTCCCGTACCGCCTCGCAACAGCTCCTCAATGTCGAGATTACCCGACGTAATGTACTTTTCACTGACGCCAGCATTGACGCGCTTCGACAGCAACTCGCGCAGCTGCGCCCTCATGGCTCCCATCTCCGCCTTGCTAATGTTCTTGTCCTCCTGTTGCTTCTTCTTCCGCTGACTTCCGCGACCCGTCCATGTGCCCGCCTTCTCCAGCTCGTCGCTGTCGTACTCTACACCAAGCTCCTCAGCAGCAGCCTTGACCCAGTCCTCGTCCTTATTGCCCTTCTCCTTGGCGAGCGTCGCGTCAGTGAGCTTCTTCGCTAGGTCGAGTCTCGGCTTGAGGCGGGACGCGATGCGGCGATCGATATCGATGGTCCGCATGAAGTACTTCTTCTTGCTTGAGTGCTTCTCGTGGACCTTGGCCGCGAGTCTGCGTGTCGGCACGACCTCTTCCGGTCCGCAGAGGATGATACTCAGACCCGTCTTCTCGGCACGCGCGGTACGACCGGAGCGGTGGACGTACATATCGGCGGCGCGGGGGACGTGGTAGTGGACGACCTGGTCGATGCCGGGAATATCAAGACCACGGGCGGCGACGTCGGTGGCGATCAGGACGGAGGTGGTGTTTGCTTTTGTGGCTGTGAACTTTTCGACGGAGCGGAGACGGGCTTTTTGGGCCATTTGGGAGTGGAGGCCCATGGCGTTGAGGTTGAGGTTTTGGAGCATGGGGGTTAGGCGACGAACGGCGCTGATGGAGTTCGTGAAGACGAGAGTGCGGCGGTTGGGATTGAGGAGGAGGATTGTGTAGAGGTAGAGATCCTGCAACATGTTAGATCGAGTCACCATGATAGTTTGGGCGGGCGCTTCTTTCTTACCTTTTCCATGGCGCCGCACTCAATGAGACCCTCCTTGAGACCGGCGGCCATTTGCTTGGCGGGGTTGGCGTCGATGAACTTTGGCTTTTCCTCGCGGAAGTTGAGCTTCTTCAGCAGATACTCCATATTCTCCGTCTCGGACATGAGGCCCCATTTGCCCTTGCCAGCCAGCTTCTGCTGGAGTCCCTGGTGGAACGTGGCAGAGAAGACGAGCGTCTGTCGCTCCGAGAGCTCCTTGTCATCCTCGTCATCCTCTTCAACCACCTCACGGTCAAGGGCGTCCAAGATCTCTCCCGCCTCCTTGAAGTGTCCCTCGCTCAGAAGCCTATCGGCCTCATCAACAACCAGGTACCTGATCTGCCGAAACCCCTTCAGGAGCTCTGTGCTCGAGCTGATGACCTCCCACAGACGACCAGGCGTAGCAATAACGATATCTGCCTTGGCCAGTTGTCTCTGCTGTTTGAAGACTGACAGACCTCCTGTCACCGAGCAAACGAATGGCGCATAGGGCAGACCAGCGCAAAGGTTCTTAATGTGGTTCGTGATCTGGTGTGCCAATTCTCTCGTCGGCGACAGAATGAGCGCAAAGGGGGTGTTATCCGGCTTCTTCTCGTCCTCCTTTCCCTCAAACTTCTCGAGCCATTCCTCCACGATGGGAATCGAAAACGCAAGCGTCTTACCGGAACCCGTGGAGGCCTTGCCGATGACGTCGTGGCCGGCGAGAATTTCGGGTATCGATGAGCTTTGGATCTTTGTTGGCTTGGCAAACTTGAGCTTGGCAATGGCCGCAACAGTCGCCGGAGAGAGACCGAGGTCCACCCAGGGAGCCATGTCGATATCCTCCTCGGCCTCTTCGGCTTCCTCGAGAGCCTTGAAAACGTTGCTTTCAAGCTTGACGTCCTCTGGCTTAGGCTGAGCCTTCTTCTGCTTCTTTTCCTTCTTCTTCTTGCCTTCGGATTCGGCTGCGGGTGCAGGTGTAGCGGCGTTCGTCTCGTCGGCTTTGTCTGCAGGCTTGTTCCGCTTTGTGTTTTCCACCTTTTGTGCCTTTTGTTCTGCCTTGGCGGCAGCCTTCTTCTCCTTCTTGGTCTTCTTGGCCTCTGCCTTTGATGCTGCCTCTGCCTCCTCCATTATTGTATCGGTTTGTGTAGGTGCGGGCTCAGAGTCGCTGAAGCCTTCGAACTCGTCTTCGTCGTTCTCCTTCTCGTCGCCAGAGGGAATAGCAGCGATCTTGGTTACAGTCAGTCATGCAACGCATTCGAGGGGACGAGGGAGGGAAGCATAGGCTGGGAAACATACAAACTCAACATTGTCTCCATGCTTGACGACATCAACGCCCTCAATAACCTCCAAGCCGTAGAAACCCTCGGCATCGTCAAACATCTCGGGGACCTCGACCGTCTTCCATGGCAGCGCACTGACGGCGACCTTGCGCTTCTTCGGGGCCGCAGCCTTGCCACCAGCAGACTTTTGGCGCTTCTGGGGGTTTGGGGCAGCCCCGGAAGGCTGTTGCTTCCTCTTGTGCTGCATATTGGCGGTCCTTGTGTCGTACATACAGAGAGCGCAAAAAGAATGGTATGGAAAAATGCCCCGCGAGTAATCTTCACATCAACCACAAAAAAAAAAAAAAAGTCGATGCGCATTCCGCCCACTTCAATTGAGCGCCGCCGCCGCTAAGGTGTGCTGCTCGAAATTTTTGGCGGACCCGGAAAATACTTCGACCGGAAGTGCGGACCCTTGGGAAGCTGGTCGATGCACAGACCGCAGCTTAATTCAGCCCTACGAGAACAGCGCTGCAGCAAATTTTCTTTGGCGGCCACAGCGGGCGTCGACCCCTCCAAAAGAATATCGCTGGCAACTTTTCCCCCTCCCCCGCCATTTCCGTCCCATATCAGCCCTCAATTGTCCATTCCGCCTCATTCCCGATCACTTCAAGATGGGCAAATCTTCTAAAGATAAGCGCGATGCTTACTACCGTCTCGCAAAGGAGCAAGGCTGGCGTGCACGCAGTGCTTTCAAGCTGCTGCAACTGGACGAAGGTGACTCATTTTACCCCGCCATCCCGTGATATTTTGGCTAGAATACTGAATGGTGATCCAGAGTTTAACCTGTTCGCCAACGTAACAAGAGTCGTTGACCTGTGCGCTGCCCCTGGTAGTTGGTCCCAGGTGCTGTCTCGTGTTCTCATCAAGGGAGAGAAGTTCGGCCGCTCTGCATGGGAGGATCGTGAGGCCAAGTTCCGCCAGGAGATGCTGAGCGTCTTCCCCGCTACCCCTGAATCTGCCGCCGCAGGAGAGACGACCCAGGCCGAGACCGCTCCCGAAGAGACACAACCTCGCAAGGATGTCAAGATCGTGTCTATCGACCTGCAACCCATCAGCCCTCTGCCCGGCATTATTACTCTGCGCGCCGACATCACGCACCCCGCCACGGTACCCCTCCTCCTCAAGGCCTTGGATCCCGACTATGACGCCGCCAACCCTAGGAGCCAACAAGCCAGTCATCGTGTCGACCTAGTCATCAGCGATGGTGCACCGGACGTCACTGGCCTTCACGACTTGGATATCTACGTCCAATCCCAGCTTCTCTTCGCCGCCCTCAACCTCGCTCTTTGCGTACTGAAGCCCGGCGGCAAGTTCGTCGCCAAAATCTTCCGCGGCCGCAACGTCGACCTCCTCTACGCGCAACTCAAGATATTCTTCAAGACCGTCATCGTCGCGAAGCCGAGATCATCCCGTGCTAGCAGTGTAGAGGCCTTCATTGTCTGCATCGACTTCCAACCCCCTGCGGGTTTCCAGGCCAGTCTCGAAAACCCGCTTGGCGTTGGTCACGAGCTACCCAGAATGGTCGAGGAGAGGAGGAGCCAGCTGCCCGTTATTGCTGATGCGCTCATGCAGAACCCCCTGACTGGAAATTGGGATTCTGCTCCCACGGCGTCTGCGACAAGGGGAGACGGCCAGGTTGTTGAGGTGGAAGCCTACGACGAGACGGACGAGACGACGGATCATGATAAGCACATCAGATGGATTGCACCCTTCATCGCATGCGGTGACTTGTCGGCATTCGACTCTGATGCATCATACCAACTCCCCGAAGATCACGTTTCTTTGGACCCCGTCCAGCCACCGACGGCACCTCCGTACAAGCGCGCAATTGAGTTGAGAAAGGCCGCTGGCGGCGCATACGGCAAGACGTCAATTAAGGCATGATAATGACAACGAGTTCTTATACCGCAACGGGGTTCGCACTCAATCCTCATCCTCCCCATCCGATGGACCGCTGGGCATTGCACGGCCGCGCTTCTCCAGCAGATACAGCTTCCCTGAATGTGACACGCCCCATTCCGTTGTCCCCAAGGCCTGCTCATACAACTTACTCGCTTGCGGCGAGGATGTCAGAAGCAAAAAGCGTCGCAAGTCGGGCCACTCGTCCAAGATCTCGTTCAAGCACTGCATCAGCCACGGCGCTAGTCCCTTGCCTTGGTGCGTGGGGAGGACGTAGATGTCTGCCAGATACCCAATGGTGGCATAATCCGTCACGATGCGGGCGAAGCCGATCAGTTCAGGCCCTTTCTTCCCTGCGTGACGGTCAGACAAGAAACCTACGATAAGAGTTTTGTCGAAATACCTGCAATGTCGGCGGTAGACTGTGGGAGTTTGTACACCCCCAGACACAGCGAATTGTCTATCAGCCTCTTCAGAGCGACTTCCGGAACGCGCTTCGTCCACCATAATAGCTCAGAGTCAAAGGCATCATTCACAGCGTTGAGGTCGACTAGCGACCGGTCGGTAGAGATGAGGTACTCGTCCTTATACCACTGCTTAGATATCTGGTTCGGCATCGTGGCACGATGCCCAAACGAATGAATGAATAGAGGATGTAGTTGAAAGATACTTGAAACTCCCACCTTGGTCTGTGGTGCCCGGATCCGTAAGAAACCTAACTCTACAAGGGTTGAGCTCGAGACTGCATGCGGAGGAGGGGGATCGAGCGGGACGTTCAACCCCCGCCTCCGAACAAATGTCCGTCACCTCACGTCATGCCCGCCCGGATTGAGACTTTGCGAGCCACCCACCCCCCGTCTGTGAAGGGAATGGAAGTTTAGGCCGGCGAGGTGGGGTAGACCATCTGCCGAGCTCCCTGCTATACCTCTCTCGGTAAGCTCGCTCCGGGTGGGGTCCCTTCGCTCCGTTGCTCGTCGCGGTCGCGGGGGCGGTTTTATGGGGCCTTCGGGCTTCAAGTGGGGGGGGGGGGGTTAGCAATGCTATGCCGGTCATCGCATACCTTAAGCGACCTCCTGTATCTCTAGTATTCTGGAATTTCCATCTGAGCCCTTGTAACGTGGCCGGCCTTCTCACTTCACCGCCAAAGGTGACTTGTGCTTTGGGGTTCGGTGAGATGCTTGGATTTTGTGTAGGTGAGTCCCGAGGCACATTAATATCGGTCAATTAGATGTACCGCGCAGTAAGTACGAGGGCGAGCCAGACACTAGGTAGCTGGTGGATGTTGATGTGTTACCTCCTCCTCAGAAGGCCAAGCGGCCCATACCTCTGCTCTTGAACTTTCCGGATCATGGCATCGTTCGATGTTTGCCTTCAAGTCTCATACAAACATCCGTTGAAATCGCCGAAGATCATGATTTTCACCTGTATAAATACCTCAGATCCAAATCGAATCAAAGTCACCAAGATCATCATACATAGCGAACTCGAGGCGCCTGGCGAGGGTAACCTACACATTCCTTCACTGAATTGATGCAAAAGTACGGAGATATCGAGAGCTGTATTATGCGCGAGCGCATTGTTGACTCCCCCGAACACGAACTCACAAGGGTCCCATAATGTCCAAATCAGAGCCTGAACTGGTCTGAGAATTCTTCAAAAAACCAAGTTATGTCAGTGATGAGTGGAGTCTGTATGACCATGCCGTATCCAGGCAACTAATGCAGAAATCAACGTGTAAACACGTAGCGATGGGGCTGTTTGCCGAGTTCAACAGAACCACTACCAGTGACGAAACCACAATCTCCGACCGCGGACGCATTACCTACATTCGCACAATTATTAGGAAGCTACCCATACTACCGCTCAATGGGTCACATGTGATTGTATGCGGAAGATAGGTTTGGGCCCTGGTTGTGAACAATAACTGGCGGAAGAAGATTGAGGTTTAAACTAGACTAGACCTGAGGACGACGCAGAAGCATCCCGATGATCAGCAGACTTCTGAATGTCTCTCAATAAGCCCAGGAGCACACCGTAAAAGCGGTTGTTTAGAAGTTGTAATTCATTTTGTTCAGTGCTGAAAGGAAGTGGTAATATGAGGTCGTGACGTCACGTAGTGCCTGTGCCTCAATATCAACCCTCGTGACATGCATTACCGCGATCCTGATCTTGAACTTGTTAACAAGAAAGGCATCAACATGAACAGTGATTTGACGGTATAAGACAGAAAAGGGAGCATCACCTTTGTGCGGCCCACCAAGCTTTCGTCTGTTCAGACCCGGCAACTTTTCCGACACCCACTGACTTGGTGATGTGAGTTTGTGAGGGTTGCATCCTTTACAGAATACCTGCGCCGCCACATCTCCTAAATAATCACTTTACCGCCCAAATGATCTGTGATCTCAGGCGCCACAGCTTGTGGCCTTGTTCTCGCTTTGTTGTTCTGTTCATCAACGTACTGACCCTGTTTGTCTCGACTCCCGGCTTTCCCAACTTGGAAATAATCGTATCTCATGTTCTTTCCTACACCAAGGAGGTCCAACATCAAGCGTTTCTTAAATAATGTTCAGATTGGTATCTGAACCTTCCAATTTGACCAAGTGCACTTTCGTGACAACAGAAAAGACTAACAAAACATTTTCTTCAGAATTTAATCGACCCAGACTCGCCTAGTACACAACCTTATTACGCGCTTCATTGCATCAACCATTAGAAAAGCTCGCCCGCGTATCTGTAGAAAGTAAGGAAATACACCTTCGTGATGCGATACCTATCTAAAGTTGTGTGTAGTGGCTGCTTCCGATACAATCATCCGTCCTGTCTTTGACATCGTCAAGGAAGTGAAGGAGCAAGGGAGCGGCACCGAGGTCAAATACAACAACTTGAAAGTTCGTCGCTTGCTAGAAGAGGCGGCTGAAAATTTCATGCTCGGGTTGGCTACGGTCGACAAAAGTGTCCTAGAATGGCTCGCCGACGACTGCACCATGATCGGCCCTTCACTCGATGAAAAGACGTATCCAACTTACGTCGTAAATGGAAAGTGCAATATAATCGAAGCACTCGGACGCGACAGCCCAACTGCACATAAGATGAGAATCAGCAGATATATTCCAGTCTCAACTTTGTTGTACAGGGCCAAATCTTCTCTATTTGGGAAGGATTAATACGGCAAAGCATGACTAAGGGGGCAAGCGAGACTAAGGAGGCGAGCAAAACTAAAGAGGCGCTCAAGGCGGAGGAGGATATGGAAGGAGACTTCCGCGTCGGCAAGTTCGGAGGAGCCCTTTTGATATCCCTTGACAAAAATGTCATGATCAAGAGAGTGGAATTCAGGTATTCAAAGATGGTGGCGCTCGACTGTGCATTTAATCAGCTTGTCGAGGCAACAAAAGCCAGAAAAGTTGATCTGCACTTGGAAAGCATCAGCGAAGAAACTGCGTAATAGCAGAGGCGTTGAGCAGTCAGCTGTCGACGGTCCCATCATGCTGCGAGTAACATAAGTAGTAAGACGGGCAAAATTGCTGGATGATGCTACTCTATACTGATGGGACTCGGAAGGCGCAAACTCAGACCTATATCATTGGAAATATTTAGGAACTTACCTGTCCAGTATGTAATTAGCATGGACTGAGAAAAAAAGAATCATTTCTTATCATCCTTAGAAGGCACTCAACGGCAAGTGAGCTCTGTTATGCACAGAAAGGCAAGCGATGTCAAGAACGACTGCCGGGTGTATTTGCATCGTAACTTCTTCCCTGACCTCCTTCGTCTGCAAGCCCGACATGCCCGCTCTTTCTTCTTCTGTTCACTGGGAATGTGAAGGAACCCTCAAGACTCTGCCGAGTATGTCTAACCACTTGCCTCGGTTCCTCCTGGTCTTCTGTCTCCGTGCCCTAAACAACACGGCGTCCATCTACGCATTGCGCTCGCGGTTCTTTGCCATCATCCCACAACCTTGCAGAGCGCATCCGTTGTCTAGTCCTTATTCGAAAACAGGCAAAGACTTCCCGTCGATTCCGTAAGCTGCATGGGAGAGAAAGTATGCGGTCATTGTTGCATTGCTAAACATTATTTTAGGTTTTAACCATGAATAGTTTCTCCGAGATTGACCCCGTACAGGATGCCATCGACTTCTGGTGTAGTGACGACAATGAAGAATGGTTCAAAGAAATCCTGCGCGCCCATTTAAAACCCCTCATAGACAACATCAACGCCGGAGGTCTCCATAGCAGCTGGGGATGGTTCACCCACGACGCGACTCTGACAACAAGCATCAATCTTCCACGTTACGAGGGAACAACCTTCGAAAGAAGAGAAGCAGTCAACGACTACCTCGCCAGCCAATACAATGCCGAACCTCGCATGAAGTTTGTTCCACTCCTTTTCACCTACGGTCAGGGCCACATGGCATGTCATGCGTGGTATAGAGTCGACGACGAGCACGGCCTTTCCAGCCCTCGCGATCATCAGCTCCTCATCACGGCGAACTTCAACAATTACCACAGACTGGTCAGCATGGAGTTCAGCGAGTATACGGTTGCGGGGCCGGCGTCTTATATTGAGATGGTGGACAATTGCGTCGCTTGTAGGGCCATGACTTCCATGACGCGAGAGAGACAGATGGAAGAGGACGCGGACGATAGCACAGATGATGAAGCATACTCGGAGTGGCCTCATCGCAATGAGGACCACGACCACTGAGATTATTGGAAAGCTTGACATTGTTACCGGGAAAATGGTTCCGTTATACGATGCTGAGGTTGAGGTTTGAGGGAACTTATTTGACTTCCCCGTAGCATTCAATATTAAAGTTTGATTAGCTCAATGACTTTCATGTGCCCATGGATGATCCTCAAAACACGCCGGTGTGGTGTGTTGAATTCGCAGCCTTGTCTGACGCCATGGTAACATGCATGTTCACAGTCGTTTCTGGCCAAAACGACTACAAAATATATTGATTTCCCCCCAAGTGGAGTGGTTACTTCAGGCAGTTCAGGCGAAAACGTTAGGTATGAATCATCAGTCATTCTTTGAGGATGGCTCTCTGGTACTGATAGAAGCTGTGTAGGTTGAATTGTACCGCGAAACAAGTGAAATCCCAAGTCTGAACCCCCTTGCCCTGCTGCTTGGAAGCGTCGTCTCCGGCTCTCCATGCAAGCCCCTGCCCTAGGGGCTAATTCTGATTTTCATGTCAAAAGTTTACCATCCCAACACCCCAAGGAACCACTTGAGGCGATCGCAAGACCAGGAACGCCAGCTATCCTCCAGAGAGTACCAAGTCAGTGTGACATCGACTGGGTATCTCTCGGGCTTGTAGAGCTTGAAGTTACGTTCATCGAGGGCAGTGTGCCCGAGCTGGGCTGCTGGAATACCTCTCTGGCGGGCCATATCGGACGCAATTCTCTCCCAGACGCGGTGGATGAGCAAGACTTGGTTGTCCTTACAGGCACTGAACCAAGAAGCTTCGACTACCTCGGCCAGGTCATTGGGATTACTCCCGGTCTGCAGGTTGGAGTTGAAGGTCGGGTGAGGCATCGGAGGGCAGCTGTGGAGACCATGCATCTTGCAAACCATGTCACCGAGGAGCCAGAACTTGTCGCGTGGGAGGAACATGCTGGCACTCAGAGAGTGGACAGGAACGTTGCTGGTATTTCCGTAGTAGAACTCGCCGGCATTGTCGAGATAGTCAAAGTAGGAGCTGTGCTCAGGTCCGCGGAAGTGGTTGAGATTGCCAATCTCAATAGGGGTGTCCATGTCACACTGGTCGTAGCTCGCAGCAAGCCGAGTAGTAAAGGCATCGGCAACCGTGTTTGGCTCGCACTGCTGAGGATCAGCTTCAAGGAAAACGCCGGGAGGCATGTCACCCTGTCTGATGGCCCTGCAGCCCTCATCCTCCAAGCCCAGGTAGGAGCTCTCCATATCTTCAGTCCCATCCACGTAGTAGTCTGATGAGCGAGTAGGCTTGTTGGCTTTGGTACTGTTGCCTAGGATCCAGGTGATATCGGCAGTGGGTCGAACCATGTCGGGATGCGTGTCCATGAAGGATTTAGTACTCTTCCAGAGGAGCTCAGAGTCAGCGGCACCCTCGAAAGAAACCTCGTTGACTCCGTAGGCGATTCCGCGGTCTCGCATGAGACGGAAGACATCGACTGTAATGTCGCAGAGGAACTTGGTCTAGAACAAGAACCTTGTCAGTCAAGACAAAGCAAGGGAGGGAAGGAGAGAAAGAACGATGCCAACTTACGCCAGGCTCGACCATCCAGAACCATTCGTAGGCCTGAAGACGCTTCTCTCGGGCAAAGAGTCCAGCAGACCAGCGACGCCTGTGATGGGCAGTCTTGATGAGGGTTTTGTCGGCGTTCACTCCCTAAGTGCGTACCAGACCAGCCTCGAAGCGGCCGGGGTCAACAGAGCTCGGGATTGTCCAGTGCTGTTGAGGGATCAAGTTGTAGGTGACAGTCGAGGCAGTGGCGTTGGAGGTAGCGTCTTTGAACTCTTCGCTAAGCTCCTCGTGGCTGAAGAATACCCAGTCGTAGCGGTACTTGTGATTGAATCGCTGCTCGAGCTGTGCAACAGAGGCTACCATCTGCTCCTTTTGCTGCTCTGAGACCAGCGAGACAAAGGCAGCTCGTGGCGAAGTATCGTGAATGTGGGCAGGACCACACAAAGCAAGGGGAACCTGAACGAGAGCCAGTGCAATCCAGAAGACCAGAGAAGCACAGGATCGAAGAGAAAGCTGGCTGTGCGCCGCCATCCTGGCTGTGTTATCGAGGTGTATGATCAGTGGAAAGAGGTAGCCTGTAGGAGAAAACAAGTGAAGACGAGTGGGAAGGTATCAACTCCACGCCGTGACTGGCGTGGAAAAGGGAGTTTAGCGGCGTCGTACGCTCAGGATGGATTTCTTTGGATGAGGTTATTGTGGGGGAGAAGGTTGGTGGAAGGGAAAGTTGGGATCGTGATGTTGACAGAAACAGAGGTCGTGTGGGCAGCTAACGAAGAAGCAGTGAGGCACACAACCTCACTAGCGCCTCGCTTAAAAATTCTTCTCATACAGTAGAGAGGAAGGAGCGTGTATATTGATGTCTCTACAACACGTGATTTGGTGATCTGAAGACCTCACCGAGGTGCCCTAGGCGCCTGAGGCGCAGACCTGTCGGTGAGGCCATACCCGGAAGATGTACTCCGGAGACACATGATTTCACTTGAATGCAGTTGGAATACTTGTCAAACGGACTCTGAATATTCATTTTCGAATCCGCGGCGGCCTTCCCATCCCTGAAGCTCCCTAATCCTCACATAGCAGAACATGAGACTGTCGAGCTTTTCTTTACCACAGCAGGAAAGCATCATTGATGTTAACGCTTAAGGTAACTTGCTAACGCTCTCCGGATCTTTCAGCACCAAAGACACTTGCTTCTACAAGAAGGATCGCTATCAATCCAAAGACCAGCAAAATGATGAAGAGGTCTTGCTGGCTTGGCCATGACTGAGCAGAGACAACTAAAGCTGCCATTCAAATGTCCACTCTCCATATCATAGAGAGGTACCACCGGAAGCCAAAGAGGAGCAATGACACTGGCCTTTGTAGGCAGCCTTTGACCCTGTGAGTTGATTGTAGTGTCAAGCATTTATGGCCTGCTGGAAACAAGGCCTGATTGTTTGTTTATTTTTACTGCAAACCACAAGGCAGTATGGTAGGCTGATATGATATTAATGGTCGGACGTAGAAGTCAGCAAGAAGACCTCTACTATGTAGTACATGTCTTCGTCACGTCAGTCATCAAGTGCGACACAGGTGCATGTCGCTGAAGTCGCATCTAGGTAGGTAGACATAGTCATATTGCAATAGTCGGGCTTGTCGGACCATTTTTGTACAGCAACTCTGGTATGTTTCCTAGGTCAGAGTGACAAAGACTGCGAAACAGAACTTTCGCCTGTTTCTTGAACGCAAGTCGTTTGCTCCGAAGAACCAGACTTGACCAGTCACTCTTCCTTGAGTCATGTCTTTTTTTAGAACTTTTCTCGATATGCGATCAAGTGACTGGATCTGAGCTTCGAGTTCCAGCTTCTACTGGTAGAGGATTGCGCTTGACTATCACCGAGTTCTGATGATAGCTTAACACACTCCCTAAATCTTATCCGCTAGTAGTATCGTTGCTGTGCACGGGCAAAATCAGAAGCGTCTAGAAGCATCCAAGCTAACTCTCTGAGGTCACTGGTGTCTTTCAGTGACACTAAACATGACATGCGGCGCGGCACGTAAGTACAGTGCGCCCTTGGATGACATGACCTTGACATTCCCCACCAGGCCAGGAACAAGCTCACCGCTGATCAAGACAGGTCCCCTCCCGCAAGTGATAAGATGATTGAATTGGCGACGATTGAAAGGTTCACAGTCAGATCATCAGCTATTACAGCCTCCAAGTCACTGCATTGTCTCTGAGAACTCAAGAAACCAGTACCCGCTCAGTCCGCAGCGCATTGTCTATCCGCCCAAAATGGTCTCAACCAACGGCCTCAGTGCTCTTGATTCAATTACAATCCGAAACCACCGCCCGGGTGACATGGGCTACATTACCCACCGACACGGCGCAATCTACTCCAAAGAATACAACTACGGCGCACTATTCGAGGCCATGGTCAGCCAAATCACGGCAGACTTCCTCCTCAAGCTCGACCCAGCGAAGGAGCGATGCTGGATCGCAGAGAGAGACGACAAGTTTTTGGGCTCCATCATGCTCATCAAGGACCGCGAAATAGCAGGTAGAGCGAAGCTGAGATGCTTCCTGGTAGAAAAGGAAGCAAGAGGGTCCGGCTTGGGAACGGAGTTGATACGGCTCTGTGTCGAGTTTGCAAGGGAGGTTGGATTCGAGAGCATTGGCTTATCGACAGATAACCACTTGATCGGGGCGCGGCGGTTGTATGCAAAGGCCGGGTTCGAGTTGAAAGCCACCGAGGAACATCAAGTCTGGGGAGAGAAGCGAGTGGGAGAGACTTGGGAGCTGCAACTAAAATAGCCGAAAACACGGCTTCCAATCATTATGTGGTATTGAACGCCGGAGAGCTGCCCGAGTTGATCTCTCTTATTTTTCCTACACCTCTTTTTTGTCGCCAGTAGTTGGTAGCAACGAGCACTTCGGGGCAGCCCTGCACTAGCCCGCCCCATCTCCTGAAGAATTCGGGACCCAGCTCCCAACCATTCAAGTCCCAGGCGTCTCCCCATATGACAAGCGATGATTTGGAGGGGGAGTCCAAGTCCAAGAGGTCGCAGACTAAAGCGTTGCACAGCTCATCTTCGTCTATTTCGCCCGCTCGAATACCACGAAGTATGTTATCTCTCATCTTCGGTATTGGGAATAGGTCTAGCCATGGGTGATGCTTGACAGTCCTTTGCAGCGCCGTTGGTGAGAGATGAGGCGGCAAGACCTCGCTGGATCCGGGCCGCGCGGGGCCTTGATGTATGAAGAGAGAGTTACCCTCGTCGCTCTCGATCAATTCTACCGGAATGCCTAGTACCAGCGCATTTCTTGCTAGTGCGTCGAACGCGTTGAGTCTCGTGAGAGCAGGAAGGTCTCGCGGGGTGGGGAGCCGGAGGTTCCAGTTCGAAGAGGCTCTTTGAAGGAATTCGACCACATTTTCGCGTATGCCTGCGCATCTGAGCAAATAGTAGATCCCATACATCTCCTGCATCCGCGACAGAGTCATGGGTCTGCGTGCGTTAAGCGATGCATCGGGGACGAGGGACGTCTCGGCTTGAGGCTCTGCTGACGCCGAAGTTGAAGCACTGTTGAGTGCAATGCGCTTCAGGTGTCTCTTTTGCCCTGGTTGGATTGCAACATCAGCATCCTTCGCCAACGGGATAGCACGTTTGACGAACTGGGCTGCGGAATGGACCTACGGTAGGCTCTTTGGTGGACCCGGTTCTGCCGTCTTCGTCTTTCGGCGGCGCTCGCCACGCCCGTCCAATCATCTTCATCATCCAGTGCCTCTACTTGCCGTGGCTCCATCTCGGAACTGATATTTCTGATATCTTGCACGTTGCTTATCGAGCATGCTGTGGACGGTGTTCTTCCAGAATTGTGCTCCCATGGGGGATTAATAGTTTGCTTACTTCCTGGTAAGCTAGGATGAACCTACCACACTCAAAGACCCAGTGGGACGTGCAGTGTCGCAGAAATAGATTGCTTACTCCCCTGTTAATGGGGCTTTAATGGAGAGCTTGTCATTCGCCCAACTTCAGTGTGGGGGGCAAAAGAGGAATCTTTAGACTTATTCTAGGCTGGTTCGAGGTTGGTTCGTTCAGTCGACGACCAACCGGAAAGACTCCTTTGAGCCTTGACGTTCTGTTGAAAGCCAAAGAATCCACGAGTTATCCACCACGGGCGCTGTTCGCAACAAAAGGTGTGTTTGCCGCGACCTACCGACCGGCGATCGCGTGATGAATTCTTCGACAGAAACCCCGCCAGCCGTTGAAAGTCCGCAAGCCATGGCCAACTCCACCCGTCTAATCTTAACCCTCAAAGTAGCAAGCCTGTCACCAATTGATGCCCGGACCTCAAATAAGGATTATATGTCAATGGCGACCACAGCACGCCCCGCCACAGCACGCCTTATCCGTACACTGCGTGCTGATAGCGGTTGAATCACCTAGAAGACCGAGTCTGGCTAGATCGGTCGAAAACTCTAGCTATAGAGGCTTATGCAAGTTTCAAGACTGATCTTCTGAGGGACTACTTCGGAGCCTACAGCCTCTGCGGTTCATATGTCAGACCTGGAAATGAAGGTCCTTCGAGCCATATGTAGGTTGTTCGTTATCTCAAGTCAGGTAAGGTGCCTGACTGAAAAAGAGCATGATGATCATTAAGTTAGAAGAGCCGGAGACCTGTCGGGGATTCACCGAGATCTAAAGCAACGTTGTTCCGGCTCAAACAAACGCCGACATCCCGGCTACGTACCTGAGTACCAAGGTAGGTACGAATCTACGTACAGTAAGGTACGGGCCTACTACATTGAAGGGAAGGGGCATTAGCCGATGCAAAGTCCGGTCCGGACCTGCCCGACAGGGGTGTAAGCAACGAGGAAGTCGCGAGTTGGCTCATCGGGGACGCCAGAGCCTCAGACAGCATTTATGGCCAACAGTTGAGAGTCGGGACAGGAAATTCCTGCAGATAGGTCCAGTCCGCTTCGTGTTCTTGTCCCTTGATTCCAATATCCCTCTTTCAATGGCTTGCTTACGCCCTAGGTCGGCTCGTTGGACTGACATATCAGGCATTGTGCCCTCGGGCTCATTGAAGTTCCCGCGTGACACCTTCAGCCGCCCATCAGGAATCCCTTCTTTACATTCAACCCTTTCTCTAATCAGAGTATTAAATCGTCGCTTTCCTTCTTGTAGAAATCTTGACTTTTGCTAACATTAATAGTCTCTTCACTTGCCACGATCAAATCCTCCTACTCGAACCATCTACACGCTCCACTCCAAGATGCCCGCGTTCACCGCCGGCGACATCCCTGATCTTCGCGATCAGGTGATTATTGTGACTGGAGGAAACGTTGGTCTTGGCTTCGAGACGATACGGCAGCTCAGCAAACACAACCCAGCCCGAATCTACCTTGCAGCCAGGTCCCAAGACAAAGCCGAAAAGGCCATCCAAGAACTCCAACAACAAAATCCGAAGGCGACAAACATCACCTTCCTCAAACTTGACCTAGCATCCTTTGACAGTGTGAAGGCTGCCGCGGCTGATTTCCTTCGGAAAGAGTCTAGATTGGACATACTCGTCAACAATGCTGGCATCATGATGACCCCCGAGGGCCTATCGTGGGAAGGATATGAGATCCAGTTTGGAACCAACGTGATGGGTCCGGCGCTATTTACCCAGCTTCTGCTACCGGTTATACGGGAAACGGCCAAGACGAACCGCGAGACACGTGTCGTCATGCTGTCTTCAGCTGCTCACGCCCGAGCCCCGAACGATATCTACAACTTCGAAGAAATCCGAACAACCATGCCTAGCCGAGCTACTACCCAACGCTACACCATGTCGAAGCTTGCCGACCTCCATTACGCCAAGGCTTTAGCAGAGCGAGAGAAACAAGTCAAGGTCATTCCTGTCCACCCGGGAATGGTCGCCACCAATCTTCATCATGCTTCCACCGGCATGTTTCTCAAACCTTTCCTGAACGCAGCCATCTTCTTTGCCACGCCTGTGGAGAAGGGCGCCTTGTCGCAGATCTGGGCAGCTGTGAGCCCTGACGCCAAGAGCGGACAATACTACGGTCCTACTGCTAAGGCGGAATCTGGTTCAAAGCTCAGCCAGGACCGCAAACTTCAGGAGAGCATTTTCGGTTGGATCCAAAAGGAACTCAAGGGGCATGTGGACACCATTGACTAATTGGTATACTGGTGTGGCGTACGAGATTATCGAGTGGTAGCAAACATCGGACCCGGCGACTGTTCCGGCCGAGCCAGCTCTTCAACCATATCCGACGTGGGTGGGTTGTTGCATTTCACTTTGAGGGCCAAAGGACATGTAGTGAACCTGAGCAATGAATTAAAAGCGAATTCCAGAGACTTTATAGGCAAAGATCGGCCAATTGGCTGCAAGTGATGGTAGTCTGGCCCCGTTGACCTGCAGTACCCCAGGTCCCCGAACCGAACCGAACCGAGCCACATGGTGATGGCAAGGAACGAAAAGAATCCTTGAAGGAACTGTTTGCCAACGATTATACCAACAGCATTATCATCGCATGTCCCATGTACAGTCTGCATCGTTTCATTCTATTCGATCCCTGAGACAAAGGACCAACAAAGCGTCAGTCCCTTTAGCAGGATCATCATGGGGGATTCACCTGCCGCAACGTCGGCCGAAAAGCCCCAACAGACGAACTCAGAACAAAATGGCAACGTCCAGAGTGCTCTGGATCGCATCACCACGACCGCATCTTATGTTCCTCCTGAAATGAGTCCGATCCGTCGCCGCGCCGTCATGTGTGCCCTCTGCCTGACTCTCCTCCTTAGCGCCCTAGACATTACCATCATCGCCACGGCCTTGCCCACCATCGCAGCAACACTTCAAGCCACAGCATCGGAGTACGCTTGGGTGGGAAGCGCGTACACATTGTCCAGCACGGCATCTACACCGGTCTGGGCTAAGATGTCCGACATATTCGGCCGGAAACTCACAATTATGACTGCGGCGGCGACGTTCATGGCGGGAAGCCTGATCGCGGCCTTGGCTGGGAACATTCAAGTTCTCATCGCTGGAAGGACTGTACAGGGGCTCGGAGGAGGTGGATCGTTGGTTCTGGTCACAATTGTAATTGGCGATATCTTCAAGTTGGAGGATCGAGCCAAGTATTATGGCATGACTGGCATCGTCTACGGGATTGCGAGTGCTGTCGGCCCGGTACTTGGAGGTGTTTTTACACAGACGATTGGATGGAGATGGTGTTGTGAGGAGGAACCCCCAAATCTCACACGGAGTGGCATGAAACTGACGTTTGATAGTCTTCATCAACTTACCGTTCGATGGCGTGGCCCTGATTGTGTTATTTTTCACCCTCAAGGTTGAAACTCCCAAAGAGCCATTCATTACCGGCCTTCGCGAACTCGATTGGATCGGTTTCCTTCTCATCATAGGTGGCACAATTTGCTTCCTCTACGGCCTCGAAACAGGTGCCGGTGGCATCGTTCCCTGGAGCTCTGCTTTGGTGATTTGCCTCATCCTGTTCGGAGTCCTCATCCTCGCGCTTTTCGTCGTATGGGAGGCTCGCTTCGCCAAGAATCCCGTCATTCCGTTCCGGATCTTCCAAAAGGTTACCAACATTGCCTCATTCACCCTTGCCTGTATACACAGCTTCGTGTTCATATCATACGACTACTTTCTCCCGCTTTACTTCCAGGTCGTCCTCGGCTTCAAACCGATTATCGCTGGAATTACGCTGTTCCCTCTGCTCATCCCACTCACGTTCATGACGATGCTCGGGGGGCTGTTCACCCGGAAGACTGGCAACTATATTATTCCTATCTTCTTTGGCTCGACACTCATGACTCTCGGAAATGGCCTGTTCATCAGCTTTGGCATCAACACGGAGTGGGCTAAGATCGCGGTTTTTCAAATGATCACTGGGTTTGGTGCCGGCCTGCTTTTCCAAAGTCCCATGATCTCGATTCAGACTCACACGAAACAGAAGGATATGGCGGCTGCCATGTCGGCCTTCAGTTTCGTGAGATCTCTCTTTTCTTCGATGTCGATCGTTATTGGAACGGTGTTGCTGCAGCATAACCTGGGTGGTGGAGAGCTGACGGCGGGGAAGCTTGGTTCTGAAGATGGGAACGATGGAACTCTAGGGGCTAGCAAGACTAGCTATATGTCTGCGTTGCGTGTGATGTGGGCATTCTTCACTGGCGTCTCTGGGTGCATGCTTCTGGCTGCCATCTTTATCAAGCCGAAGCCGAAAAAGTCATCTCAGAGTGACGCAAGTTGAAAGAAATGTCGTGAGATAAACACATTAGTTGGAAATATCTCTAGGAAAATCGACAAGTGCCTGTGCATTAGACAAGATTCAATGAAAGATACATGGCGTCAAACGCTGGCCGGGCAGGATCTCATAAGTCACAATGACCATCTATCGCACAGACAGAGTGCAGGCGAAATAATATATGAGGTATAAAGTAGATACAAGAATAGCCGCCAACACCTTATCCTTAACATAGAAACAATTGGGTTAGCGCGGATGGCACCTTAGTACTTCTTCAAGTCGAAGCGGTCAAGGTTCATGACCTTGTCCCACGCAGCGACGAAGTCCTTGACGAACTTCTCGTTGGCGTCGGAGCTAGCGTAGACCTCAGAGATGGCACGGAGCTCGGCGTGGGATCCGAACACGAGATCGGCGCGGGTGGCGGTCCACTTCTCGGCCTTGGTCTTGCGGTCAACACCGGTCCAGGTCTCGCCCTCAGTGTCGGTCTTGGACCAGACGGTGGAGATGTCGAGCAGGTTGATGAACCAATCGTTGGTCAACTGGCCCTTCTTGGCGGTAAGGACACCGGTGTTGGACTGGTCGAAAGTGGCGCCGAGGGCGCGGAGACCACCGACGAGAACAGTCAGCTCGGGGGCGGAGAGGGTAAGCTGGGAAGCCTTGTCGACGAGGATCTCCTCAGTGCGAGCGCGGGCGGTGCCTTTGCCGTAGTTGCGGAAGCCGTCGGCCTGGGGCTCGAGGTAGCCGAAAGCGCGGACGTCGGTCTGCTCCTGGGTGGCGTCGACACGGCCGGCGGTGAAGGGGACAGTGACGGCGACACCAGCGTCAGAAGCGGCCTTCTCGACGGCGGCGACACCACCGAGAACGATCAAGTCGGCGAGGGAGACCTTCTTGGCACCGGTGTTGAAGCTGGTCTGGATCTTCTTGAGGGCGTCGATGACCTCGGCGAGGACGGTCGGGTTGTTGGAAACCCACTTGTTCTGGGGCTCGAGGGCGATGCGGGCACCGTTGGCACCGCCGCGCTTGTCGGAGTGACGGAAGGTGGAGGCGGAGGCCCAGGCGACGGAGGCGAGCTTAGAGACGTCGAGGCCGGCGGTGCCGAGGATGTCAGACTTGAGCTTGGTTACATCGGCATCGTCAATGAGCTCACCCTCCCTAGCGGGAAGGGGATCCTGCCAGCCGAAAGTCTCCTTGGGGATCTCGGGACCGAGGTAGCGGGCGACGGGACCCAAGTCACGGTGGAGAAGCTTGAACCAAGCCTTGGCAAAGGCGTCGGCGAGCTCCTGGGGGTGGTCGAGCCAGCGGGTGGTGATGTTGAGGTAGGACGGGTCGTTGATGAGAGCCAAGTCGCTGGTGAGCATCGTGGCCTTGCGGAACTTGGTGCTGTCAAAGGGGTCGGGGTAGTCGAGAGTGCCGTTGACAGCCTCCCATTGGTGAGCGCCGGCAGGGCTGGTGACGAGGGTCCATTTGTTGTGAATGAGAGACTCCAAGTAACCGTTGCTCCATCTGCAGGTACAAGGATTAGCGTCGGTGTGTCACTGCATAATCACCCGGTATGGTTGGTGTATAAATAGCTTTTCTTGGCCTCATCGTTTGTCGCCTCATCATTTCTCTCATGACCTTCTTTTCTCTTTCTCTCAAGGGCGAAGGATTCGGCAAATGAGAGATAAGAGAGACCTCGAGAGTGAGAAGAGGGGAAATGAGAATGACTGTAGTGCCAAGAGCCGGGGCTGCAAATCAAATGCAAACGGAAATAGACTCATCACGATCGTCACTTACTTGGTAGGGGTCTTGGTCCAGACAACCTCAAGACCACTGGTCATCTGGTTGACACCGTTGCCGTCGCCGACGCTGTTGTGCCATCCGAGACCCATCTCGCCAAGGTCAGCGGCCTCGGGCTCACCTCCAATGTTGCCTATGAGAGTCGCGGATTAGCATCTGCATGTTCCAATAGTGGCGGTGAGAATCGCATGTTCCCGGGGGTGAGCCGGAGCTCTCTCCGGAGACGCTCAATTCTTGCCCGTTCGTCCAGCTAGCACCGGGATGGTGAAGAGGGGACGCGTGAATGAGGTGCAACTCACTTGCAGGCACGGCACCGTGCGTCTTGCCGAAGGCGTGTCCACCAGCGATCAGAGCGACAGTCTCCTCATCGTTCATTCCCATGCGATCGAAAGCGACGCGAATGTCCTTGGCCGAAGCGGCGGGGTCGGAGCTGGCATCGGGGCCCTCCGGGTTGACGTAGATGAGGCCCATATGGGTGGCACCCAGGGGCTTCTCGAGCTTGTCGGCGCGCTCGTTGATGTCAGTGCTGCCGTTGTAGCGGACATCGTTGCCCTTGGGGACGAAAGTCGTCTCTCCGCCCCAGTAGACGGACTCATCGGATTGCCAGGTATCGGGACGGCCAGCGGCGAAGCCAAGGGGGGTGAAGCCCATGGACTCGAGGGCGACGTTGCCGGTGAGTAGGTACAAGTCGGCCCATGAGATCTTGTTGCCGTACTTTTGCTTGATAGGCCCTGTAAAACATGGAAGAGCTAGGGTTAGCAAACGTTTCCTCTCTATCCATCTCAAGAGGCCCACAACATCGCTCTACTCGCGCCATCGAGCCACGGCAAAGTGGATATCGCTACCGAGTCGATGATGCAAGTCGAACATGGGTGGGCCGAATCGCAAAAGAGTGCATAAGGATGGGAAATCTTACACAGCAGGCGGCGAGCCTTGTCAAGGTTCTGGTTATCAGGCCAGCTGTTAAGCGGAGCGAAACGTTGTTGGCCCTGCAGCAGTCCAATATTAGTAAACGCCAGTCCTTAAGAAGAACCAAATTGATGCAGAGATGTGATAAGATGCAAACAGCCCAGGTCCATATTTCGTGACGCGGTGCGGGTGGAGAAAAAGTCGAGCGAGATGCTCTAGCACCTCTTGGCTTTGATCCGGGATAGGACAAAAACCTCCGTCTAACCAAATGATCTTCCAACGCGAGACGAATAGGACCGCGAAGAGATGATCAAGTGCAACGATGGGCAAGGAATAAGAAATATGCTAAAATGGTGGGGGGGTTACAACGCGGTGTTTCTTCCAGCTACCTTGTGCCAAGTGGAAAAGCACTGGGAAGACCGGGAGAGCGGGGGGAGGGAGGGAAGGACTTTCGGGATAGCACAGCCAAAGAGAAGAGGGTAAAACATAAGTCAAGAGATGCAGTGAAGAAAAAACGGCTCACCATTCCACCGCCACCTCGGCCGTCAATGGCGCGATAAGTGCCGGCGCTATGCCAGGCCATGCGGATGAAGAGACCGCCATAGTGGCCAAAGTCGGCGGGCCACCATTCCTGGGACTCCGTCATCAGGGCGTGGAGGTCCTTCTTCAGAGCCTCATCTGACGCGGGGTGTTAGTGAAGGGTCTTCCTACACACAATGTTTCTTCTTCCCCCTCCCCATCAGATCTACTCACAATCCAAAGAGTTGAAAGCCGCAGTGTAGTCGAAATCGCCTCCGTACGGGTTGGTCGCGGGCTGGAATTGGCGAAGAGTATCGAGTCTAAGCTGGCAAGGCCACCAGTCGTGGCTGCGGGTGCCGCCGCCAGCCTGGTTGCTGATTCTTGAGCATCGGCCGAAGCCCTCGGCCGTGTCTCTCTTGGGGAGCTCGCTGGTGACGGAACCATCGCGTTTGGCGAAAGGGCAGCCGTCAGCCGTGACGGCGGGCAGGAGAGCAGAAGCTGCCAAAAGGCAGCTTGAAAGTTTGGCGTGCATATTGACAAGACAAGTTGGTCTAGAGGACGTTCAAAGAAGGAATGACTAGGTGAGAGTGAGACCGGGGGGTAGCAGACTCAACGGGTGAGAGATGAGTGTGTTCCTGAAGAAGAGGAAGCAGATCTTTATTCCAAGATGGGACGAACCCCAGGACATAAGTAATAAACTGTGGCGACCTACGACTCACGAGCAATGACACGGCTTCTGAGCAGGTACCGTGAGCCACGATGGAGCATCTCCATGTGGGAATAATTTGATTCCAGAACTCCATGATTAGTAACAATACCAAGACCTGCGAAGGCCGCTTCCAAGCCCGGCGTCCCCAATGCTGCGCAAGGCATCGCTGACGGGGGCCTTGGTAATAAGCTTCCTACAACGGCAGTCGAGTCGGTATTGCGCACTAAGATGCCCCATGGCAAGGTTTGCGATCCAGAATAAGCGCCTGGAATAACAATCTTGTTTGATTAGGATGGGCGTGAACATACGCAGATTGGCAGATGGCTCTTTGGTGTGGTCTGGTCCGCTTTTCACACTTTGAGCGGGGATTGTGTCCTAAGCGATGTCCATATGGGTGAAACTTACGGCAACTTGTATGGAGAAGACATGGGGCCCAAGGAGGAGAACACACCAGGATCGGGCTGGCTTGGCCGGGATTATGAGTTCAGATGTTGATCCATAGCCAGGCATAAGCTAGGGAATCCGGGGAGCTGACGAGCTGTGCTCCCTGCTCCGATGGTCAAAAGTCAACAGTCTGATGCGGGCCGGTGCCAAGTTACTGGGTGACTGGAAGAGTAAGGTAGTATTGCTGTAAAGCCTGCAATAACTCGCACCAACCGCGACCAATTGTGCGATGACAGTTTCCAAGCTGCGGGAACCACTTTTGAATCTAATAGACTTCGCCCCCTAAACTCCGAAGAGCAACAAATCGGATCATATCAACCCGCCCTCTCCCTGCTATATCCTGCTGTACCCTGTCTGTAAATACCACTTAGGAGTTAGTACTGCATATACACTTAGCATTTACGGAGCTGCCCGCGCGCAACGGGCTAATTGATGCCTCCGTCATTCATCTGGCTTCATCCGGACTTGCGATTTTGTTCCTAGCGAATCCCCTAGAGAGTCTCGAGAATCCCAGCAAACCCCCCCCCCCCCGAATTCAATGCCGGGTGGGAGACTAGACAACCTAGCTAGAGACAACCTGCCATTACAGGCCTAGACTCTAAAGAGTCGCACAAGGTTTTGGCCCAAATCGCGGCCACCCAACATGGGATGAAGGAAGCTTTTCATCAATCGTGCATTGACTCAGCCCTACCTCCCTCTGGCGGTGGGCAAATACTTGGGTGTAGGAAGAAGCAAAAGCAAGCCTCTGGAGGGGAGGATCTGGAACCCGAACGCCTCCCCCCTCCTAAGGCTAGACGACCCTCCTCGACGATCCATCCCCGCGCGCCGGCCGGCCGTTGATGGCGGCCTTCAACGGCCTCGACTGGAACGCACGGCACAGAAACACTCGGAACCACAGTCCACAAACACACACCAAGGTGACACCACCCACACGGACATGCGGGCGGGATGGGATGCAGCCAGGCGGCGTGGCAGATCAGCACACCAGCTGCAAGCACGAAAGAAAGCCTCGACAGGCCGGGCCAACCCAGCCAGCACCACCATCCTGAACAGGAAGGCTAGATTTGAGGTACGCGAGGATTCGTGCATGCACCTTACAGCAAGAGAGCTGTCGGCCGAAAATCCTGCGACCCCGGCTGTGCCCGAGCCAAAAGATTGTCCCTGGGTATAGTAGCCACATCATTCACCCCGTCCACCTGTGCTGCCAAGATGCTTGGCGAGGTGGCTTCTCATCACATGCAGAGTCCCCCTGGGCCTTGGACACGCAACATCATTCCCTTGGCTGGGAACTGCGAACCCGGAGGCCCCTGGGAGTTTGCTGGGGCACGCCGCACTTGGGAGCACGGTGACAGCAGAGGTAAAACCTGACGCTGGGAGTGGCTGAGATGAGAATGAGATTGCCGCCCTGTCAACTACCGTAGCGCGCAACTCTCTGAATCACGTTTATCCCTGTAGACTGGTGTTGCCTGCGGCCATGGTACTCGGCCGACACCCACTTGCCGACGGGTCATGAGCCTGGACTAGAAATGTGTCGAACCACATTCGCTGGGCACTGCACGCTTAGTTGCCGGAAACATTACCCTCTTTCGTCTTTGCCGTATGCGTCCGCGGTGTCCGTGGCATGCTATGCTCTTTTTCCTCCACAGACCACAGTCCATGTGCACCCAACACGTGCGCGACTAGCCATAGTTACCTATACGAAGGATGCAGTATCGAGGGGGCATGGAAACTTTACTTTTGCAACATCTTCTTGGGAACACCACACAACATAAGGAAAAGGGGGGGGGGGGCACGGGCAATTCAAGAACAGGGAGATTTGTTTTTCGGGGTTCATCTCACACCCTTTCACGCGCGCAAACTTACCAATGATGAATCATATCGCTTTGCCCCCTCCCACTATACCAAAAGTAAACTTGGAAACCTTGATCGACTCGGCTGCACCCTATTTTGATTATAAACTGCCTCAATTCTATAGGACGCTGGTCGAAGTCGGCAAGGATCACAGTGACAGTAGACACGTTCTTCACTCCGTTCAACTTACCATTGTCTTCAATTGACTTTGCTCGAGGACGCCGAGGCGGACGACATTTCCATTTGGGAAGGACAGGTGAATGCAACCCGTGATTCATGTGATCAATTCTGCCAGCTTCCCTTGGAGTTGCATGCAAAGTCAAAAGTTTCTCAACTCACAGACCTGGGCTACTAAGTCAATTTCCATCGGACTTCATACTGCTTGATATTATTCGTCTTCGGCGATGAACCAACTTGTAGGGGCAGCATGGATCATTATAGAAGCATTCGAGCGTTGACTTTTTGGCATCCGACTATCTCACTGCCGAGTTCATGCAACATGATTTCGTAGTTACGAGTGATTTCTCGACAATGTTTGTAAGCTCAAGGAAGTGTAAGTGAACTGATTCCCGCTCAGCAAGCTATGCCCGTCTCGGCTTTTGATCATGGGCTTGTATCAAATTCAAATGGCATTGACTCCGTGAGCGAAACTCCGTCACGGACATATTTACATCCGTGAGCAATTGACTGGATGTTCTTCAAGTCGTAAACAATTTTGTTCCATGTCGGGCGAGCCCTTACTGACATTCATTGTAATTTTACCAGAGTCAGCAGCCCAGAAGATTGCCGCCTTTCCTGGAAACTGTATTACAGGGCGCACAAATCAGATTCCCACGTTCCTCTGCCAATACAGATGAAGATGGAAATAGCTTACAGCACCCAGATATTCAAAGAAAGCAGACATGTCGTCGACCTTATGTCGCAACTCAAACCAACGACGCGACGCGGACTAGGTTGAGCTGTGCATGCCAAGCTTGAGGGCCCAACTCCATCACACTGCATAAGCGGGTGTTGCCCTCTTCTATTTTCAGCTGCCAATAAAGGAGGCTCGGTTCGTCAGCGTTCCTTGGTCTAGTCGGTATTACATCCTGCGAAGGTGAGAAATGGCGCGATATTCGCTTTGGACTCATCCCGAACCACGATGTGCATCAACAGACTAGACCTTTTGCGAAGATACGGACAGACGTTCCCTGTGCAATGGCACAGGGTGGTCTGCAAGTGAGAGCTTTTGTGATGCTACCCTTACCCCGAGGCGCAGCAGTAAGCTGTCAGCAGCCAAAGGATTGCGGGGCTTGGAATCGATCCGAGTAGTTGTCACCAAGGCACATAAGCATGCCAAGTAAACTAACCGCTCGGTCAGACAACGGTGAGTTCAGCTTGACGACCTGGAGAAGTCGGTAAGTATGAGCCTGCCCGGTATCCCACCAACTCCGTTCCTATGCATCCAGTATTCCGCCAATCTCCCACGTGTCCCTCCACATGACCCGGCGCCGCGGGCCCGACCTTTGACAGAGTCCGTGTCCGTCCGTTAAGGGGGCCCCGCCCGGCCCGGCGCGCTTGGCAGGCCCGAAAAGGGACCCCCGAGTCATACGCCAAGTCTATCCCACTGGGAAGCGGGCCGAAATAGCCCCTTAAACAATGCTTGATAAGTTCACGGGCACTGTTTTCATGTTTTCTGGATTGATATAGAAACCTACCTGTTTCATCCGAATTGGAAAGCAGTTCAATCATTGCGAAACTTGGAACGGACATGGGATGACTCGGGTTATCCTTGGCTAGTCTCAGGGGTAAGAAAACAAAATCCAGATTTCAGATTGCCGGATTGATCCATCTTTCTATAGTTCGTAGCAAAAAAGATTTGTTATCTTGTTTGCCAAGAAGAACGTTACTATGCAAATTGCCTATTATAGGCTTGCTAGCGACCTGCAAAGAGCGTCACGGTGAACGATTTGTTTCTGATTAAATCACCTATGACTATCTGCCGTAGTACTAAGCTGCATCACTTTGACTGGGCCCCTGAGCGCAAGCCTCGTTCAAGGCCATGAATGAGTCTCCTGGCAATGCGTGCGGGCTCACCTGATCGACCCCTTTCCGTCTCTTCGTCGAAGCTGCATCGCTCCGTCCACCAGTCCAACCACGTCTCGGCCCGCGCACCCTCGTCTGCCCGAAGCAGCCCTACGCTGACGTCGATGACGTCTGGTCGCCAACTGTCGCGCCAGAATACCGTTGCACCGCAGTTACCACAGAATTCGCGAAAGACGCCAGGTGAGGATTCATACGTCCTCACGATTCCGGCGGGCAAGTCGGCGAAGTTGAGAGGGATGATTCCGGACTGGCCATCATCTGGTCCGGGGACGTGAAAGAAGATGTTGCATCGGGGGATGAATGCCCAGGTCTGAACCTCAAATCCGGAGATGAGGCGGCAAGACCGACAAGCACAGGTTCCAGCCAAGTACTTTGTGCCGTTGCTTCGAATCCACCACTTTACAGTGTCGGGGTTCTTCATAAACTCGGCGGAATGTTCGACTTGAGCATATTGTAGGTCGGGGAAGCCGGAGTGCGGTAGATAGCTTTCTTCGGTTGGCCGTGTGATGTGGTAGCTCACCCTGCCGCAGGCGCATGAGGCGTGCAGAGAGTCTTTAGGACAGATAGCTGGCGTGGGAGGAAGCTTCGTCGTGGACATTGACGATGGAGTGACCGGTGTTGTCGTCGATTCCAGCCGGTACCCATCAATCTCGGACAGCCATATCGAGATCCCGCCGTCTTTGGTATCGGAGACGCCGGTGTGCCTTGCGAAACGCGCATCCGCGCCAACGTCCTCGGCGGTGTTGTGCAGTAGGACGCCAGTGGCTGCTTCCCATACGATTATTCCATCTATATCCCTGCGTCTCAGGACATGGCATCCACACTTGCTGCAAAAGTATCTTGTCCACCCGTCAATGCCATGATATGCAGTCGTATCATCCGTTTGATGAGGTTCATGGATGGGATAGTAGGAGGCGCAGAGAATGCCTGTGGCGTGTCGATCGACGTCGCCATGGTTGATGGACAAGTCGATAGTCTCTCCTCGAGCAACGACAGGCTGAACCTGCTGCGAGACGCCACCGCAAAGGCAGGAGATGTTGAACGTATTTGGTGACATAATGGCTTTCTTTAACGTCAAAGACTTGGAAGTGTTTATGGTGCAGGCAGCAGCAGAAGAGTGATTTATATAATTGTTGAACGATCTCTGCGCCACGACCTAGACATCGTGCGTGTAGTCAATGCTTTGAGCTGGGAAAAGCTGTCAGCAGATTCCCCGCATCGGCTTGCAGCATCTGATAACGGCCCGGCCAACCGGATCCCAATCAACCACCCCGAAAGCGGAGAGTCTTCCACAGTTTCGGCGAATATCGACCCCGCAGTCGCCGGGGGCCTGCGTCGATCGAGGGCGTCTGTAAGGCGCGTTAACGACCAGCCGTGATTTGGGTGCGGAGTTTCGGGAAGACTCTCTAGTGAGCCATGCGTTGTCATCTGACTGGTTGATTCTCCGCGGGTCTGATGCGAGATGCGCGGAGTATCGCTCGACGGCCATATCCTCATAGAATTGTCATCATTGACAGACTTAGTGAGGGGTGATAATTCAGAGAGTCCGTATTTGCGCCCGGTAACGCCGGCTAAAGGCTGACTAACTTTGGCAACACCGTCAATAGTCAGAAGCTGGAGTGTTGAATTAAAGATTGCCTAGTACTCCAAGCATGTTCGCCGCAGCTTTTTGGGCACGAACGTAGCTCACTCATATGACGAGACTGTTGGATGCAGACTGTACTAGTCGCAGACAATAACATCCTCTGATATCACCTTTGGTACAGCTTGAAGACTGGGCAAAGACGTTACTTGAAAAGCGTACGGATTCCACCATTGCGCACATACGTGCGTCGTCCCATAGTTACACCACATTGAACTTGAGAAGAACCTGGAGGGAGGTAAACTAAAAACCAAACTTAAAGCCTGCAGTAGCATTTGATGGCAATGACGAACTATGTTGATCTCAAGCTGGTAAGTTACAAACTGTTGATTGGCTTATTATCCTAGGTCGTCATTGTTTTATGACCTGCTATGCTCTTCAACGATTTAGCTTGGACGAAGTAGGTTCAGAAACTAGACTGGGAAACCTACGACCTCCCTCTATCCCTTCTTGAAATAGCGGAACACAATCAGTTGAGAGCTTCTGAAAATCTTATCAATACCGCGACAGAAACGATGAGGAGCATTGATGGCAATCCATTATCAATACCAACTGCAGGAAGGGTTACAAAAAATAGAGTCTACCATCGAAGCTGTCCCAATCTTATGAGACCTACGTTCTCCTCATGAAATGACTACACATTTCACCTGTCTGCGCCATTTCATGTGTCTGGAAGTTGTGTTACTGATCTCATAAAATGGGAAAGGTGTTCATGCGAGTCCATCGTCTTGCCTGCATGATTGGGCCTCGAAGGTCGAGCTAAACCATAGCGGCGGAACCCAGAGAACCCAGGCATCTACTCAGATAAGAGCCTACTGAGAGTGATAAACTAGTGAAAGCCACACCATGGTGGTTTAGTCACTCTTGCGGCTTTCAGAACCGACTCAAGGCGCCATTTCAGGGATTTCACCGCTCTGGTTGGCCGTAACGTGGGTGCGCTGGTGAGCGGAGCAGGTGGGGTACAAAATCTACAATAGGCAAATTTTGAAGCCTTGCACCATCGGTTTCACGATGACGTGCTTAGTAGAGTAACACGAAGGATCAAAAGTCGTCTGACATCTGTCTTGATATGTCGGTTTCTGGTGGATGCGTTGTCGCTTATCGGAATTATGTGGATGTCGTCAGTGAAAACTTTTAGTATTTGCACCTTGCGTATGGATTTGCCCAGCCTTGAGTAACGAGGCGTTGCTGATGGTGTGCTCGAAACGCTGCTGTGATGCTGCAGATGCAAGTGATAAGAGCAAGGATTTTTCCATGCAACTTTGCTACGGATAAGTTTTTGCGGTCAACATTAATGCTGCCTGATCACTAATTAACAACGACTAGTTGCTTTGTCGTCTCGTTTCTTAACAGTACAGACTATGGCCGACCACGACATCAAGGGAGTGGCAGAGCCTCCTGCTACAGATGATGTTTCCAATTCAGACGAGCGCTCCGCATCGGTCGCGTCGAATTTGGCGCCGACGGGAGCAAAGAACCCAGAGCAAGCTACCAAGAGCCTTCCAAAGACTGGCGCCGATGCTGCCCTCGAACTTCTCAACGAAACTGGCCCTCTAGGCCGCACTGTTGATCCGGAGCTGAATAGAAGGCTCAAGCGCCGCATCGATACTCACATCATGCCGCTGATCTGCATCGTATACTTCTTGCAATACATCGACAAGACAGCCATCTCATATGCCAGCGTTACAGGCATTCAGCAATCCACTGGTCTCCACGGGAATCAGTTCAACTGGGTTGCTTCCATCTTCTTCTTTGGCCAGCTCGCTTTCGAGTTCCCCACCATCCGACTCATCCAGATGTTTCCTCTTGCAAAGTACACCTCCATCAATATCATCCTATGGGGTGTCGTCCTAGCTTGCCTCGCGGCATGCAAGAACTACGCTGGCCTGCTTGTCTGCCGTTTTCTCCTTGGGGCGTTTGAAGCGGCTGTAGTGCCTGCATGGGTTCTCTTCACTTCGCAATGGTACACCAAGCAGGAACAGGCATTCCGCGTCGGGATTTGGTTCTCTGTCTGCGGCGCAGCTCAAATGTTTGGTGGCTTCTTCGCATATGGCGTCGCAACACACGTTGGAAAAGACCCCAACGCAGTTTTGAGGGGTTGGCAAGTGATCTTCTTGTTCCTTGGCCTGCTGACTGCATTTATTGGCATCGCGTTCTTCTTCATCATGCCTGACTCGCCGGCCACTGCCAGATTTCTTTCTCAGGAAGAGAAGGCGACTCACCTTGAGCGAATCCGGGATAATGAGCAAGGTATTGGCTCGCAGGAATTCAAATGGAAGCACGTCAAGGAGGCACTGCTCGACGTCATGACTTGGCTTTATGCTTTTTGGATCTTCGCGGCCAACATCCCCAACTCTATTGCAACCAGCTTTGGGAACATCTTAGTGCGCGGAATGGGATACACGAGTGAAGAGTCTCTTCTCCTCGTCACACCGCTTGGTGCTTACGAGATCGTGGCGTTGATCGGCCTGACTTGGCTGGCAATGAAGACCAGACAACGACTCTACTGGTGCATTGCCGGCCATATCCCTGCCATTATCGGCGCCATCCTTATGGCTACGACTTCGAAGGTCCCCGCCTTGATCGGATACTACACTTCAGGAGGCATTCCGATCGGATGGACGACGATTCTGGGGCTGCAGAGCACCAATGTTGCAGGTTCCACCAAGAAAGTCACCGTCGCATGCATTGGCACCATCGCATACACCATCGGTAACATCATTTCTCCTCAAACCTTCCAGGCACGGGATGCGCCTAGGTATCTCCCTGCAAAGATATCCATTTGCATCATTTACTTCTTGGTTACAGTCGACTTATTCTTGATGCGCTGGGTGTTGGAGAGAAGAAACAAAAAGCGTGATGCTGAAAAGACGGCTTTAGGAGATGCTTATAAAGTGGAGGAGAACCACGAGTTTTGGGATTTGACGGATCTTGAGAACAAGGAGTTCAGGTATGAGTTGTAACTCAAACATTATTGAAAACTTTATGTTCGCTGTCTTATAGTACGTTCCCTGCGAGACATGTTTCTTATTATATACAACTTCGTCTCGCAGCTTACCTCTTCCACTGTCTGTAGTTACATTGGAAATGCTGTTGTGGTCTTCGAATCGGCGCACAGGTGGAAAGCTTAGGACGACTCGACTAGTCCCAGAGTCAATGTTGGTTACACAGTCTAGGCAAGAAACATAAAATCCTGTGACTCGGAATTATTAATGATGCACCGCAATGAGACTCAATTCAGTCGCAGAATAATTTTGCACTCACCCACGGGAGCTTTCCGAGTGTCCAGTCTACTCCATGAGCTTAGCGCTCCAGCAACGATGGCTCGGCGCGCAGAGAGTCTTGGTGGTTACAGTAATTTCCCTTGGTGGCAATTCGAGACGTCAGACGGCCTTGGCTTCTCCGATGATTTCTGTCTAGGCGTTGCGATGGCACCTGGCTGTCACGCCATACTCTTCTCTACCCAAGACTTGATGTTGATGTTCTGACTGACTTTGGCTGCGTTGACCTCAGCGTATCATAGTGGTGGCGGGTGTATTATTATTGCCGAAAGACTCGGCTTGATCCTTCGGGTTGTCCTCCAGCTGATGGCAGTCGCACTGCTTCATCCGTGTGAACGCCAGAAGCTTTTCCAGAACCGCAAATTCAACTTTCAACTTGATACTGTACACGATGGGTTTGCTGGTTGTCTGGAAGACAAAATAACCCGTGTACTCCAGGATGACAAGCCCGGTGTCGAGAAGAAACACCAACAAGAACATGCCAACAAGGAAGCAGAGCAGAACCTTGGCCTCCTGCGCCTTGAATTCGAAGAGACTTTTGAAGTTTCGAAATCCAGCTCTGACAAAGATTCCCGTGATGATCATTTCCTGCAGAGTAAACACCATCAAAGATGCCTTTTCGAATATTTTGAAGCGATTGTCCCAGACTGGGTTGTTGCCTGCCCAGACACCAGCGAAGAGGACCGTCTGCGGAATGTGAACGCAGAAGAAGGACGTTATTATCATCGCCAACACCAACCGGATGGTGATGCGGTTGTAAACGACGAGATGCAGTCGTGACCATAATACGACGGACTGGCCAGTGACCATACAGTACCAGCCAATATGGGCGAATATCCCCGGTATCACCGTCTTTGTCGGCTGCATAAATCGACCCAAGCCGCCACACGCATGAAGCAGAACGCCAGTGTTGGCAACCAGCATGCTCCAGAAGTATCGTCCGCTTCGTCGTCGAAATCGCGTTAAGATCAGGACGTATAACTCGAGGGCGTTGTAGATGCCAGCTGTCGCTAAGCACGTAATCGCGATTGCCTCCTCGGTTGACAGGCTCTGACCTATCGCCCCCTTGACCTGCGCCATATCTCGAGGCGAGGGGGCCAGAGAGACCGCTTTCTTTCCCCAAACTCGTACACCGATCGATGGTTGATTCTTGTTTTGACCCTGTAATATCGTGAACTTAGGTGTAAGCCTGATAGAGATAACTGGAGCAAGCGGGGCCGACAAAGTCCGAGAAAGACGACATGATTATTGGCCGGACCGAGATGGTTTTGATGTGTTTCACGGGATGCTATCATGGGGGAGGACTCGGCTGCCCCCGACCTTCTCGCAACGGCAAGGTTCGCCCGATCGAGTCATTGAAACATCTAACCGTTTTGCCAAGATAGCTTGTAGGTACACTCGGGATCGCACTCTCGGACTCTGCCACTTCACAAAGGTCTTAGTTCGTCTTGCCATCCGTGCAGACAACAATAAAGGGACCGAGCGGAAGGGATCGCCCTACCTATCAAGCAAAGTATGCCATCTTGCCATCGTTCTCGGTTCCTTTTACGTCAGGTTTCATCATTTTCGCCCAAAGTTCGCTGCGATTGCTAGTATTGAGCTTTGGTTCGCTGTTGAGTAGCTGCTTGGTACACTTGGCGATCATTGCCAAACCTTTCCTCGCCTTGGCTGAGCTTCGTTGTATCAACTTGAGCATTGTATGCATAATACTTACTCGGAATCACTTCCAGCCCCGGAAGCCGAATGATCGACTATTGAGCATTCAATAGCGCTACGCGACAGTGGCACGTGAATGAGTAGATATGAGCCGGCTTAGTGAAACTCAATGCGGAGGCAGTCTTGAGACAAGAGGAGCCAAGAATCATCATCTCATCCTAAGCCACGTGGTATCATTGGATCTAGCTGTGATACTACTTCAGACCGCTTCATTGACTTTGGCATCCTTCTTTGAGGCAATTATGACGACGCAGTATACAGCAACCGCGGCGAAGAACACAAATAAGGCAGTGATTGTACTGAACCAGCCGACGCCAATGCTTTGAATTGCAGGCAAACATGAAGCAGTACCGACGGCTGCGATAGCGTATCGGAAGAAGTAATTCCCCGCTGGATGAACACAAGTTGTTAATGTTTTAATGTGTGAGATAAACTTTAGTCTGTAGAAGAGAGACGAACCTATGACTTCGGCGCTCCGGCCTTTGAACACATCCAAGCAATAGGTGTTGATGCTGGGAAATGCGATTACCTGGGCGAAGCCCTGGATAAACATGCAGATCACCGGAAGTGGAATCCCGCCGACCGCCTTCTCAATGGACCAGCCGTAAACAATGATGCAGATAGGGATCACAGCTCCCATTGCCACGAATGAGCTCCTCAGACGGTCCTCGGGGACTCTATGACCCCTGATCTTGATCCAGTGCTTGACGGTGCGGTCTGCCCAGCGTCCTCCGGCATACGTGCCAAAGAAGAAGCCACATCCTGGTGCGAGGAAGAATAGCCCTGATTCGAGCGGCGACGTGAGGTGAAACCTAGGATTGATGACGTAGCGGATAGGGGTGAGCAGTGCTTGCATGTTCCACACCAAGGCTGAGGCAGCCATTCCCTAGGTCGTATGATTAGAACAGTTAATGATATAAAAGGATTTCCGAGTGCAGCTTACAGCCACGAAGAGTTTAGGTATCAGCAAGAGAGCTAGTACACGGAACGGGTTTGCCCAGTCCAAGACCTGGGCAACCTTCGCCTTGGTGCTCAATCCCTTCAACTCGTCGGAGCGCAGTCGATGGCTGGTTTCTGGGAGAAATGCCACCGCAAGGATCGCCGTGAGCCCGGCGAGAGCAGACTGGAACCAAAACAAGGATCTCCAGCTATGGAAGTTCACCATAACGCCGCCGATAAATGGCCCAAAGCTCTGACCGATAAGAGTGCCATTGAGGAAGAATGCAAGCGCGGTGCCTCGTTCCGTGGGCTTGTAGATGTCGCCAATGCAACTGGAGCCGAGCACCAAATATGCTGTTCCCGTGAACGCCGAAAACATACGGAAGACGAAGAAGGCTGCAAGGTTTGGCGACAAGGCCGTTCCTACATTGAAGGCAAAGAAGGTACATGCTGAAATAATGCAGGGCTGCGTAGTTTTTGTGAGCTCGTGCCAAGATATTGAACCAAAACTTGTCAACCAACCCATTTTCGACCGTAAACTTGGCTGATAGGGCCCCAGAAGAGGGTGCATATGCCCATGAATAAAACGTAGATGGCGTTGCTGACATTGATGGTAGTTCCAGTTGTGTTGAGATCGGCAGCGATTTCGGGGATGGCAGCCAGAAGCAACAAGGAAGAGACTGTCGACGCAATCCCACCGCATGCTACAACGGCCGTTACGAGCCTCTTCTTGGCTGGCGTGAACCTATTGTAAATAGCCTCGGTGTCTTGGCGGCTTAGACCAGCATCGTCCACGTCGACGGCCGGCACAATACTGCCACTCTTCTCCGCATTGGAAGTTGTTGGTACCAAGTCCGGGTTTTCGGGCCGGCCATTGCTGCTCGGCTCCGGCTTCTCAGACTGTTTGACTTCGTCGTGGGACATGTTTGAGGGCTGCCGATGTGGGACGAGAGACCTGGCTTGGCTTTCTCTGTTCGACCATGCGGGGATGAATCTTAGAAAAGACCGTGACTTGGAAACCACATAGCATTGCCATTGCGCAAAAATGAATGGGGAACCCAAGTTTTTCAGAGCTAGCTGCTCAAAAAACTCGGCAAAGAAAGGATGTTGACCGACGGCATTGCGAAGAATCCACCCGGCGGAAACGTCTGCCACATTGCACCTGGCTGACTTTTCCGACCTCGGTGACTGGACCGATAGATTATCCCCCGGAATAGCCCAGTTGTCCCCGCAAAATTGGTAGATGAATTGCTTGAAACAGAAGCCATCACTGCGTCCCCACGAATCAGACACCGGCTTGCTGAATTCGCGGTAGCATTGTTGGGACGCGGGGGTTAGCCGCGACGGACATCTCCCGACGGGTCTGCCCCGGGGGCTAGCAATCAAGGCCAAATGGTGGGGGTTGACCGAGATCAATAACAGCACGGCAATGTTTGTGTCTCTTTGGATCCTTTCGCGAGGTGTCCAAAGCTCCGAGATCGGCCGGGTCCGAGACAAACGGCTCGGTCGCCGAATCCCAAGCCGAAATCGGGGTCGATCGGTATCGATCGGTGTCAATACACCTGCCGACCTGCGGCCCTCTGCCGGACTCGGCTCCGGCGATACGGAATCCTATTTCGGAAGGAGAGGTACGGAGGATGTTGTGCGGTTGAGCCGCATCTTTATCCGCAAACTTAAAGGCAGAGTGGTAGTGGGATGGTGCGTGTGAGGCAGACGATCACTTGCTATTCTTGCACAGTCGCGTGTGTAAATACCAAAAAATAATATCGCAAATACAAGAGCCCTATAGGAATTATCTATGGCATGTCAATGCCAATCAAACTTCTCCCAAGCTTTGTTCCTCAGAAGCAAGCACTCAACTTTCACGTTATGCGAGGGGATTGATGAGGAGCGGTACAGAGTAATTGAGAGGTGTGCCGATAGCCGGGCTGATGATGACCCGAGCAACAGAATAAGATTCACTGCGGGGAGTGCGGGCACAACATGATTGCCCTTCCTGACTCTTCGTCATCTGAAAGCAGGGAGTTTGTTCGGGGAAACTTTCATCCTATCTGCTCTTACTTAGACAGCACTAACAGATGCCACTCCTCCGACGCTGACAAGCTGCATCCTCAAGCACTTACACAACTCGCACAACAATGGACAAGGGATCGGGAGCAGCCAATGACACGCAAACTCTCAACATCGACGACTTCACCGCCGCGCTTGAGTTGGACTTCATCACGTCGAACTTTGTTAACAATCAGCAACTCAATATTACCAGCTTTGGTACCGGACCAGACGAAATTTCGCAGGATTTACCGGGCATTGGTCCTATTGAACCTCTCGGTGTCCTTGGTGTTGAGTCATCTCATCAACAAGACGCATTTGCGATTGGCCCCGTTCCAACTGTTCTCGGTAGCCAACATGTCAGCATAGACTTTGCCGAGAGGCAACCCGTGAACAACGTCAACCAATTTGACGAGCCTGGCGTGTTTATGTTCTCGGAAGCCTTGGGCGATGGAGAGCCTATGGGACACCTGTTTAGTAACGAGGGGAATAACATACCATCACTCCAACCTTCAGATACCACAACGCCGCCGAAGATCGGGACTCGCTTCTCATCCAAGTCTCTCCGCATTCTGAAGACATGGCTGGCCAACAACAATCATCACCCGTACCCAACTACCGAGGACATGGAGATATTGCAGCGGCAGACCGGCCTCAGCAGACAGCAGATTACCAATTGGCTGGCCAACACCCGCAGACGGACGCGCTTCAAAGTGCCGCCGAGACGTCCGCCTTCTCCGGCGATTACCTCTTCAAGAACTATGCCCATCGACATCCCTGTAGGCTCCAGCCTTTCCGACACTTTCCAACACTTGAACCCTCTCCAGAGATGGCAGGTTTCACCTCCAGAGCATGAACCTGCGTCCGTATCGGCTATTGCAAACGCTGTTTCTGGATTTTCGTCAGAAGGAGAAGACTTGGGCGACCGATCATTGACAGATACCATTCCGACGCGGTCCTTGTACGGGCAGTCTTCGGCAAGCAGTGCAGGAACGTCTCACTCCAGTAGAAGCTCGGCCAACTCAGCATATTCACACAACTCTCACACGTCTCTGAGGTCTCTCGAACCCCTTGGGAAAAGTGCAGTGAAGCGGAGACGGCGTCGAGCGCTGGCGAAACGCCCTGAGACCAAGGGCACAGGAACCCTTTGGCAGACCAGCAACACATATCAGTGTACGTTCTGTACAGAGACGTTCAAGACCAAACACAACTGGCAGCGTCACGAAAAGTCGTTGCATCTATCTCTCGAGCGTTGGGAATGCGCTCCGACTGGCGCGACTGTGCCTGACGCTAGCGGGCAACCGGTTTGTATCTTTTGCAGCGAAGCGAGCCCGAATAAGGAACATTTAGAGAAGCATAATTATCAAGCATGTAGGGACCGTCAGCCTGAAGACCGAACATTTTATCGAAAAGATCACCTGCAGCAACACTTGAAGCTGGTTCATGATGCCAAATTCTTGAGGTGGCCTATGGGAGATTGGAAATACGAAAGCGAGGTTGTACGTTCCCGGTGCGGCTTTTGCGGCCACACGATGTCTTCGTGGACCGACCGGATTGATCATCTGGCCGAGCACTTCAAAGACGGAAAGACGATGGCAGATTGGCACGGTGATTGGGGATTCGATGACAATGTCTTGAACATGGTCGAGAACTCGGTGCAGCCTTGTAAGTGCCGCTGTGTCGTCAAAGAACTCAAGCATGCAAGATCTAATTGATGCTGCCCAGACTTGATTCACATGGAACGCAACTCACCATGGCCGTTTACAACTAAGCAAGGTGTTCCAGAGACACCGCCCAATGCCTACGAGCTGATCAAGCTAGAGCTTGAACACTTTTCCGCCGAACACCAAAATACCAAGGACGAGATGCCTACAAACGCAGAACTTTTATACGAGAGCTGCTGCGTCATTTTTGGATGCGACTCAATTTCATTTTCCAAGAGACCTGCAACGTCAACCCAGAGCTGGCTGCGAGATTTGCTCATGTCATCCGAGTCCATCGTACAGCAGGCGCGAGTCCGACCGATGAAGAACAACGCAAGGTCACGATTTACGTATCTTAGCATAAACGGCAAAGCGTGCATCTTTGAGGCCTGCGGGTTGGAAGAGCAAATGCAGAGCTACGTGGAGATTTCCAAGTTGATTGAGTCACAAATTTCCGACAACGAGTTGCAACGAGAGGCCTGCAACATCGTCGAAAGGATCGAGGCCTCTTCGCCCAATCCGTCGGAAATCTTTACGAACTTTTTGTTCAGTCTCATCAATGGCTCTTCTCACTGGCTTGCCGCATTCCGTCATCGGGCTGGACTCTCGCCGTCTGAGGCTTCGGATGCTATTCTCCCGTCCAGCGTATCCGAAGCAATTCTAAGCTCCGCAGCAGCTGAGGCCGGTCTCGAGTTCTCGGGGGCGAATGTTTCTTCAGGAAGCACACCTGATCCGACACAGGTGAATGCCGGCGGTGGTAAGACGGGCGACATTAGTAAGGTGTACTCGACCTCCTCGTTCTTCGTCAACGACGACAATTGCTACAGGAAACTTATGAAAGAGCTCACTCGTTTCGTGACCATCACGACGTCGCCACGCAATCCGAACAGGCGCATTCCGACCGATGCCGAACTCCAACATCAGGCGAGGTGGATATCCTTTGAAGAGTAATCCCCCTTGAATAGTGCCTATAAGAAACTCAGAGCTAACGATAGCTTAGTGACGATCCATGGAATCAGACTCCAGCGGACAACCCAGACTGGCTTCGAGACTTTAAGCGCGAGATGGGCATTCTTGACGATGACCCAAGACTGAGTCATTCGTGAACAAGATCTTCGCCTCCAATGTGGCTGCAAGAGACTAAGCGATCATCCAGTTGAACTGGTTCATGGTGTATGGCTTCTCAGCCCCCATGCGTTAGACTCCACGCGAAAGGCGTAGCAATTGAGCCTGTAATTCTCTATATTCTAGAAAAAGAAATTGACCGTTGAAGTCCTTAGAGATGATGACTCGAGATACCTTTGGACAAACGATTTTCTTGCCGCTCACATCGCAGCGATACCGGCCAAATCCACACGCGCCCTGTGCATTTGGATCACAAGTAGGGCGTAGGGAGCAGTTGACATGGATTTTATGGGGCGTATCCGCAGGGACTAGTCCGTAACCTGTCCCATTGATAGAATTGCCGCCCTAGGGCGTGAGTCTATCTCGATAAAACCACTGCTTCGTCCACCCTCATCGAATGAGTTTAGTGATTTCGTAAGGTACTAGTCGTGTGCAGAGTATTGAAGCGAAACTTTTGTCTTTTCTGTGTCCATGAATACTTTCCAACGGGAAGACGATTTCTCGGTTTTTAAAAGCCAAAGTGTTATCCATCTCACGCAAAGTGGTATAAGATTCGAAGGCTCCGGTGCCCACCTTCATACGTGCTGATTCCTCCCTGTCAGGTTTTCGACAACCATTCACAAAACTTTGAAGACGAGGCTTTGGACGATGCGTGTTGGTTTCCTGGGTTTGGGGTTCATGGGTACTCCGATGGCCCTGAACCTCGCTCACAAATTCCCACTGACTGTGTGGAACCGGACTGCTTCCAAATACCCGGCGCTCACACAAGCTGGTGCTAAGATCGGCGATACACCGGCGGCGGTGGCTCATCAATCTGATGTGATCTTCACGATGCTGTTCGACGGCCCGGCGTTAATCTCGATTTTCAACAACGACTTTAAATCGGCACTCCGCGGCAAAATTTTGATAAACACGAGCTCGATCCCGTTAGAAGTCAGCAAACAAGTAGCGGACCATGTTCACCAAGCGGGAGGCAAATTCCTCGAAATGCCGGTCAGCGGCAGCAAAATCCCGGCGGAGCAAGGCAAATTAGTGGGTCTCATGGCCGGCGATCCGGCCGTCGCGGAGAGGATGCGGGCAGTGGTGGAGCCGCTTACCACCGCTGCCGTGTATTGCGGACCAATCGGCTCAGGCCTGAAGACCAAGTACGCGGTCAATCTCTACCTCAACACCATGACGGTCGCTCTTGCAGAGTCGTTCAGTCTCGCTCGGGCGCAGGGCCTCGATCTCGATGCTTTCGGGCAGGTACTCGACGCCGGACCCATGGCTTCCGCATATTCGAAGATCAAGGTCGCCAAGATTGTCAATGAGGATTGGAATCCACAAGCATCTATGAAGGATTGCTACAATAGCATGCAACTCATCACAGAAGCCACGAAGCGGGCGAACGTCCAGTCGCCTCTGGCAGAGTTGTGTCGTTCGATCTACGGACAGGCGAGCGATGGCGGCCTGAGCGAGCAGGATATGATTGCGGTGTACAAAATCTTTCAACCAACCCCATTTTCGGAAACGAATGTAAGGAATACCTGAAAGTGCTCAGACAAAGGAAGGGTTGATCTCTGTGCATAAGTTTCATAAATCTCGTTGGACTGTTGATACCAACAGTTCATCTAAGGAGGGTTGACCTGTCATATTTGTGTTCTACGCTCTATTTTTGTGACCCATGCGCATCATTCCGGCTTCCCCTGTGAGCGCTCTCTATGAGAGGCATCATGTCTTATTGATGTTGTTCCCCCAACAAACTTGATTGTAACGTGTCTTTCTTACCCCGCGGCTTTGCATGGATCTCGTGTGATACAAGGGACTAGCGTTGCTGTCAAAGATGCAGTTGGAGCCAAGATTGCTGAATCACCAACGCTTGAACGGAGATAAAACCTCCTGGGGGTACCGATCGAGACCCCTGTAGCTTGTGCCGCAGCGACTGTGCTGTGATTTCTCATTCAACTCCACACTCCTGCATCAAAATGCAGCACAAACCAACAACAACTCGAAATTGACAGAATCAGTCCAATTTTCCGAACATTTGAATGAAGCGTGCTCGACTTATGAAGCCGATTAATTTCCGGCGTTTCCTGAGACGAGCCTCTACCCTCAAGAAGCCCGAATAACGGGCGAAAGACAATACCAAGAAACCGCCAGTATGACGTCGGATCCACGTATCAAGGCAGCGACTGTCCTCAATGGAAAGGACCAGGCCCATGCACCGGAAACACTCATCCACAACTTCACTCCTCGAGTATTCCGGAATACCGCCAATTACACGGTAGAACATATCAAAATAGCAAGTCAGGAGAGTACTGGGCTCCGAAAGACCAGAAACAGAATGAGACTCGTTCTCATCCACAATGCTCTTTTGATGCTCCTGAATAATCGCTTACCTGTCATTCACATTGAGGGCGACGATGGGCCTGGACGGATACTCGATGTTGGAACGGGGACCGGAATTTGGGCCATAGACTTTGGAGACCAGTACCCGAAGTCTAAGGTCATCGGCACCGACTTCAGCCCCGTCTAACCTGGCTAGATACCCCCGAACGTCGAGTTCATTCTAGACGATTGCACTTTGAATTGGACTTGGCCGGAAAGTCATTTTGATTTCATTCACCTGCGGTCCCTCTATGGGAGCATCCCATATTGGCAGGCTCTGTATGCCCAAGCCTCCAGTCACCTGAAAACCGGGGGTTGGATTCAGAGCATTAAAATCAAATTCGTATCAAGTCTGACCGTGTCGACTTTCCTGCCGACCATGTGTTCAGTCGCTGGGCTGACATGACATACAAGGCGGGCGAGAAAATAGGTCAGACTTTTAGCATTTGCCAGGGATACAACATCAAGAATTTCCTACAAGAAACTGGATTCGTCGACATTGAGGAACAAAAGACAAAAGCACCACTTCATGGATGGTGTCAATAGGTGTACGACACAGGGAAGAAGCTCACAGAGGCCGACTGCTGTTAGGGTCTAGAAGATGAATTACTGAAATCTGCCCCTCCCTCGAAGTGTACCATCAGCGCTATATATATACCTGAGCTGCTCCTTTGTTGCTTGGTCCTCCTCCTATCGCCCCTTATGCTATCCCCTATCCGGGTAGAGCCTGACAGATGGCCCAGCGGCCCAAAGCCACAGGAAGCTGGGAACTTATTCCAGATTGCATTCGATGAAAGTCTGTCTGGTTTTGGCATGTATCTTTACACACAAGTCCTGGGATTGACACGCGAAGCTGTCGATGCGTTGATCTCAGAGATGCGTAAGGAGTCCCGGAAGAAGTCCAACTGCCATTCGTACGAAGTGTAAGTGTCTAGTGATTCAGGCTTGTACTCCATGGGCTGGCTAACCTTCTGTAAGACAATTGTATACGGAAAAAAGCCACAAGCCAACTAGACCTCATGTCGGGTTACGCGTTGATCGGGACTGCGTCTGGTGTGTAACCCATATATTCAGGGGCTTGGAGAGCGGTCAAAATCCCAGGATTCGGGCTTGGGACAGAGAGCCACCTTTGCGGCCGATGTTTGGCGTAGTGCCCAGGGAAGGTCTGCGAACAGGTTTTCCAGGTGGAAAAGGAATCTTGAAGCTAGCTTAACAAGCAGGTTACCTTCCTGGTCCCATTTTCATTTCAATGAACTCTGACTCAAACTGTGTGATGAATGCCAAGAATGACTGATATTTGTCGGTTGTCGTCGGCTCAACTATCGACGGAGTAACCCGAATACCACATACCCAAGTGGTTGAATCTACATATTTGGAGACCGACATAGTTACAAGACAGCTCAAGGTTTTCGGCCATGACCATGGCGGGGAAGCTGCAGTAAGACTGGTCAAGATGACGTAGATGGAACTGTGGAGGCGGCAAACATCTATGAAGCTGACCATTCTCTTTGCAGGTTTGAAGAATTTGAAATTTTCACTCTGACATCAAACAAACAAGTAGTGGAGTTCAATTTCAGTTAGTGTGAAATGGCACATAACGAACCACAAGCAGTTCAAGTGACCAAATCATCCGATGGTATTACCACCATAACCATCAACCGAGAGCATCGAAGGAATGCAATCGATGGACCGACTGCTCGCAAACTTACCGACGCCTTCTTAGCCTTCGAAAACGACCCTATCCAGAAGGTTTGCGTCTTCTATGGAGCAAATGGCACTTTCTGTGCTGGTTTCGACCTCCATGAAGTCGCAAAGTATGGGCATGGTTTTGGGAAAGAAAGCTACAATGGGCCCATCATCGACGACAGTCATCAAGTTCAGAGCCGCAATATCGGGCCCATCGGCCCATCGCGAATGCAAATCAAGAAGCCAGTCATCAGTGCCGTATCAGGGTATGCCGTTGCCGGAGGCTTGGAACTTTCTCTTCTCGGGGACATCCGTGTTGCTGAAGATGATGCGGTCTTTGGAGTCTTTTGCCGACGGTTCGGCGTCCCTCTCATTGACGGCGGCACTGTTCGCTTGCAAGCCATCGTGGGCCTCGGTCGAGCTCTCGATATGATACTCACCGGCCGCGGAGTATCCGCACAAGAAGCGTTGCAGATGGGCCTGGCTAATCGGGTTGTGCCCAAGGGCCAGGCTCTGGCAGAAGCAACAAACATTGCTCGACAATTGCTGGCGTTCCCACAGGCCTGCATGAACACTGACAGAACGAGCTGTTACTACTCGACTTACAATGCTAGCTCATTCGAAGATGCTCTGAGCAACGAATTCGACCAGGGAATCAAAGTGATCAACATTGAGAGTGTCCGGGGTGCAAAGGAATTTTCCAAGGGAGCGGGAAGGCATGGAAAGTTCGAAAAGGCCAAGATTTGAGGCTTTGGCTAGACTGACGGCAGATTGGAAACTGGCCGGGTTCTATTGCCGACATCGGAACCTGCAAGCTTTAAGGAGCTGAGACAGCACAAGAGCCTGGCTGTTTTGGACTAGTAAAGGGCGCAGAATGTCATATGGAGACCTTGTCAAGAGTGCACTCATTTCGGTGACTGGGGCGCCAAGTGGCCCACGTATGGAGCAGGGTGAGCAATAGCCTTGAAGTTGGGAGTCAACTATGACTACCATCCATGAGAAATGTTTGAACTCTTCTTCATTGATTGGTAAGAAAGGTAGAGTAAGCAGGCGGGTTTGAGAACTCGGACAAGTTTACCTCGCCAACGGGTTGGATTGTGATATTGTTGCGGAGTAGTCGGCGTAATCGGCGTAGAGTCAAACACGTAAGTAGCGAAGTCTTTGCAGGCTTGCACACCTGTAAAAAACTGAACTAGCTAACCTATCTGAGACTAAAAGTGTATCGTGAGTCTTATTGTCACATCATACAAGATTGCTTTGGTGAAGGCCATGTGGTTTATCTTTTGTCCAATTTCATGAGCTTCGAAATGCTATCTTGCAGAATCCCTTCAACATGACAGCCAACCAAGGTGGCTCCAATCACCGATCCAAGCGATTAGCTTCAGCTTTTAGGCCCAGTACTTCTGCCGCACTGTCAGGCGGCATATTCAATGAGAAAGAAATCATGCGAGCAATGGGAAATAGTATGATGTCCATGGCAAAACTGATCGGCATATCAACGACAAGTGAGGTGGAAGTTCACATCGACCATCATTACACGTCGAAGATATACTCCGCAGGATCACAGGTTTCTGGCACCGTCAAAGTCAACACGCAGCAGGATACGGCTTTCGGATTCGTCGAGATCAATCTCTTGGGCAAAGCCATTGTTCGACGGGAAGATGTCCACGTCATGACCGAAACGATACAGACACTCCTCAAGCTATACATGCCTGTACCCGAATCAGCTTATCCTTCAACGAGGGTATTCAAACGTGGACACACTTACTCAATACCCTTTAGGTTCATCATTCCACATCAACTCACCAGTAACGTATGCCAATACGAAGTCCAAACAGAAGCAGTGCGGCACCACCATCTCCGCCTGCCGTCATCATTGACCGGATTTGAGAAGGATGACCTAGCAACAAACATGGCAAAGATCCAATACAGCGTGAGGGCCAGGGTTTTCAACATTGATGAAGGTAGTCCCGTACAACTACCGGCGCCGATTCTTGAGTCTGAGCACCCGATTAGCATCCTCGCACCATCCTCGGAAGATCCGCCCCTGATCCTTGATGAGCACGACCTTCATTACGTTCTCGAGAGTACCAAACCTGTCAGAAAGAGTATGTTTTCTGCACCCACAGGTCAGATCACGGCCAGGTCATCCCAACCACAAGCAGTGCGTTTGAGCTCTGATGGACACCGGGCATCCGGCTCGTCAGCCTACATCGACATTGCTTTCCGCCCCGCGGCGCCAGATATGCTACCGCCGCAGGTCAAGATCAAGTCTACAAGGATATTGGCACAAACCTGGGTTTCTACGCGACCGGCACAAACTTTTCCCAACTTTGGCGGAAATCGACAGCCAGTCACACTATCTACACTTGCTAGCATCGACGCCATGAACATTACACCCTGGATTCAACACGTCCACATTCTGGAGGATGAGAAATCAGAAAGAACGAAGGGAGGCAACCGAGGATCGAGAGACATCACGGTGATACGCAACAGCAGTATCCCGGATGATGGTATACCAATCACACATACGTGTTCGACGCAAGTCGACTTCAGACTACCAACCTCAAGTCACGTTTTCCCACCGACCTTTCACTCCTGCTTGATTTCGCGGACGTATATCCTCGAGATTAAGATTACGGCGGGAGGAGCCGAGCTTTCTCTACAGGTGCCTGTCCAGATATTCATGGAACAAGAAGGTGGGCGCTCTCAGGCATCCACAGAGTCGGAGTTGCCTAGCTGGGATGATGTTGGAGGCGAAGCTGTCTACGCACGTTTAAGGGAGCATCGCCGAGCGTTGTGAGGGAACATGAATGCACTAAGCGGACGAAGTCAACCGATGACGACGGCTGTTCCGATTCAAAGAGGAAGATAATCCATAGCGAGTTTCTTTATTTGGAGTTCGAAGTGGTGGGACGAAAACCACACCCATGATACGTGCCAGAAAACCAAAAGGCGTGGCTTAGCAAATGCAAGAGATACCAAGGGCAATGAGGGTGAATGATGCTGTATTAATATCTTGTGCACGAGTAAGTATGTCGAGTTCTGTAATCCGTTCCTGTCCAAATACGCCAGAGTCATTCATGATATTCGTTACCATCAAATCGCTGTCACCATCCTATCTATACATTGCCTTTCCTGCGCTTCAGCTCGATCTTTGCGTCAACAGGAGGAACAACAGTGACGCCGACCCACTGGTGCTTGGGCCTCTCAGCCAGCGGCTTAACGTCGTAGTTCAGGAACAAGTTGGCAACTACCATCTTCAGCTCGTGGGCGACGAAGAAGCGGCCAGGACTGCATATCGTTAGTTCTATGACGATGGCGGCAATGTGTGTGAGAGAGAGAGAGAGAGAGAGAGAGAGAGAGAGAGAGAGAGAGAGAGAGAGAGAGAGAGAGAGAGAGATAGACAGATGCTTACCAAGCGTGTCGTCCGTGTCCGAATGGCAGATGAGCATCACTCGTTGTGACCATGCCAAGGTTCTTCAACCTAAGCCCCTCGTCCAAGTTGCGTTCTGACTGCGGTTTCGCCTCGTACTCTTCCCTCTTCCTGCTCGTCCGGAACGCGTCGTACTCCCGAGCGTTGGGGTTCAGTTCGTCGTCGTGGTGAAGGCCTTCGAGGTTCACGGTGAGAAACGTGCCTCTCGGCAGATGCCACCCCTCCTGCTCGTTGGTGATGCCCTCCTTGGCAATGACCTTGCGCTCCATCAGGGTACAGCTAAAGTTGCTGAGCCTCTGGCTCTCACGGATTGCGCTGTCGAGGCGATACAGCCGCGAAAGTCCATTCTTTGTCCAGCTGCCGCCCTCCTCGCGAAGAACGCGTTCTGCCTCTTCCCGGATACCCTCGATATAGCCCTTCGCCGGGTCGGAGCTCAGCAAGTCTAAGACAATGCTATGGCCGGTAATGACGGTCGTGTGGATCGCGGCGAACTGGATGGGCAACAGTCGCTTTGAAATAACGTAGGGATCAAGTTCGAAGAACTTCTTCTCAGCCTTTGCCATGCGGATATCCCAGGTGATGAAGTCTTCGGGGGCAACCCAGCTCTCGTAGGCCGGATCCCCTGCCTCCTGCTTTGCCATGTCGTCGAGTCGTTTCCTGATTACTGGTAAGCTATGCTTCGAGGCTTTGCGCCAGAGCCACCAATTGGGTAATGCGATCAAGGGTCCGAGGATGGGCAGGATGGTCTGGGGAACCATGTGCAGCGCAAAACAGTTGAGAATGACCTGGTCGACGAACGAAACCATAGCCTTGCAGAACTCTTTGGTGCGGCATACGCCCTCTCCCACGAGCATGCGATTCGTCACGGGCGGCACAATCGTCAGCCAAGCGTCCCACAGGTTTAGGGTCTTCCAGTCCTCGGTATCCGTGCCAAAGGCCTCGTCGACAGCGACGGAGACCTCTTCTTCAATCGCGGGGATCAGTGTGCTCAGGTGGCGGGCCAGACTCTTGTGGATTACCAGAGTATGCCATACATCATCGGCGTAAACCTTTCCAAGGAAGTTGTAGTCGCTGTAGAGGACATCGTTATGCGCTTCATGGGCGGAAACGACCGAGTCAGGGTACTCGAGGAGCCATTTCGTGAGGGACTGCGGGAGGATGATGTCGGGCGCCCTGCTTGCGGCAGCGGGGACTACGAATGCGCGGTTCTGCTTGTTATACTACATTGTCCCATACCAAGTCAGTGTCTCTTCTGACCTCGCCAAGTTCCTCGCGCCGGGAATGATAGCATACCTTCTTGTAGCCCTCAATAACCCAGTCTCGGTAGCGAAACATGTAGTAGTAGAAGTTCTTGAAGCGTGCGACGGTGCCCTTCCCATAACCCACAACGGGGATGTTCTCCGGGTATGTGGGCTTCCATGTATGATCGAGGATGAGCAAACCAACAAAGACGACGAAGAGGGAGCTGAAGACGCGCCCAGGCGTCAGCGACTCGGTGATTTGGGCGTGAAGACTGCCCGCCATGGTGACGTAGTGTACAGTAGAGCTATCGTTCCCTGAGCATCGTCGTCTCTAGCTTGCAGAGAAAAGGAACTGAAATCAACACAGAGTATAGGAGTGAGACGAAGATGTGTAGGTGGAACATCGGACCTTAACAACAGACCGCTCAGGAGTCGACGATTGGTAATGCCGGTTTGGGCTTCAGGGTCATGACGCACTGGCTGCATTGGCGGCTAGGCTAGAGCCTGTCATTTGGACGGGACTTGAGCTGCCGGCGGATACCTACAGGCTACAGCTCTACTTTAATCAGGTAGCTACATTTCTTTTTCAGCTGTTTCCAATAGTCTCTGTCAATAAACGACATCCCCTCCAAAGTTCCCTTATGCCCCTCGCTGGGCACCGTTTGCTCCCCACAAGAGCTCTTGATTGGAACTTTGGGAGCATGTCTGTCGGATCCTGCGTGCTTAAGCGAGGCACGCTGTGACCTGTTTCAGGTACGTGCCGTCTCATCTTTGCTCTCGGTCGTGAGATGACCTAACACGATGGCACCAGATTCACATGCAGATCATGTTAGTGCAGGTTCGTGGAGGGGTGGAATAGCATATGCAGGGTATCGCTTCCTCTTGTCTCGAACCTTGCTTAGAAAGGCTAGTTGTGTCGTGGTGGTCTCCGCCGTCGCACTCGTATTGGTTGTGTTTCCCAAGGGCAAAGAAGTGGAAAAGACATAAGGCCATCCTTCCCACAAACCGAGAACTGTTGAATATCGAACGACAACGAGTCTATTTTACTCAATGCCTGTCTCCCGTGCAACACAGGGCAGTCATTGGCGAGCTTCTGAAGAATCGAGTTGGAAACTTCTATCCCTCCATGGATTCTTCTTGAGCGGTGAAGGCCTTCATCATCTCTGTTGCATATGGCCGTCCGTCATCATCTCAACGAAAGCTTGCCCACCCTTCCGGCTGAGCCGGACGCCCAGCAGACTCGGCCGTCAACGCACTCGACAGCGTCAAACGAGCCTGTGTCAAATGTAACCCAGGTGTTTCCAGCATCAAGCGTGATGTCGGACCCAGATGGTCCAACTGCGACAGCCACCCCACACAGCCCCGGGGCCCATGATGAGCCCGATCGGTATCCGCCCGGAAACACCTCCGACGCGGTCCAGGTCTTTCCGCCATCCTCGGACCATGCTGATGTATGAAGGGAACCATTGACCACGTTAAAGTCGCCTCCAGTTGCAATGCCGTTTTGCGCATCTCTGAATCGTACCAAGAACACCCCAGCCGAGGCACCACCCGCAATCGCACTGCCCGAGACATCCCACTCATTACCGTTTGCGCTCCGGAAGACCCTGCCAGGATCGATGCCACCCGATGCAAGATACCACCGACCCGCTGCGGTAGAGATGCAAGTTCCGCTGGCTGCGAATCCGAATTCTCCCTCTAATGCAGAGGGCATGCCGCTGGGGTCCACGATAGTCCAAGTGTTACCCCCATCGAGTGTCTCAATCAATCGAAACTTGCCATCGACTGGGTCGCTTACGGCAATGCCCCTCTCATCGTCTTCAAAGTCGACGCAGTTGAAAAACGCCGATGCCTCCTCATTGGCGAAAGTCTGTGTCCACGACTTTCCTCCATTCTTCGTGATGTACATGCGCGAGTCCGCTCCTTCGCCAATACTTAGGATGATTGCCTTTTCGGCCGAGAAGGCCTGTACGTCACGGAACTGTAGGTCGGCGTCTTCGGTCGACAAGTCGGGACCAACTGATTGCCACGAAGCACCGCCGTCGGTGGTGCGAAGAACCGTCCCTCCTGTACCGGATACCCAGGCTATTTGGCCCGACACAGGCGATAATCCTCGAAATTGCTGTTGACTGTTGGTCGGTAGAATGTCCCATTTCAGAGCCAGGTTCACGTTCCGCTCGTGGACACCTCTCGTCACTGCCAGAGGCGACGCGCTCGCCACAATAGTCAAGACGAGTGCAACGAGGTGCCTCATCATGGCGGTACAGAGTTGGGATTGATCGGTTCGATACGGGTAAGAAGAGATGATCGCTCAAGAGAATTAGGTCCGTACCTCAAGTGCGTGTAGCTATCAAGGCGGGGTTCGGGTTGGTTTGTGGCACACCAGCCTCCTCATTTCGTTGATTTCCATTTCAACATCCTTCTTGCAGATCATTGACGACCTTCCAATTCGGGCCACATCGTTTTGCGATGTTTCTTCGTTCGGACCCACTCACCAATCCCGTGGTCCTGGGATCTGTCATCCTAGAATCACCATCGCTTGGGTCCGCGATGCACCTATCCCCAGCTTGCAGTGTGTTTTCAAAACACTTGATTTGGGTCGTGGTTTGCGATTTTCTTTAATCGTTTGTTCACTCATTGGCTTTGGCTATATACTTTACTATCGCTGCGCAAGCTCGATAACTTTGTGCTTAGTGAATGTATCCAACCTCGGCTTTATGAATTCTCAGCTACCACAGTCACCCTTCGAATGATAGTATGTACACATGCACCAGATATCATCAAGTACTAACTCCTTTCTGCTCCCTGGGAACTTCGGAAGGTCGTCGTCTATTCATCTTCCCTCATTTACCTCCGGTAGTGAACTCGCCGTTCGCAATAGCGTCTGTGATCTCTTCGTCGGCGCTGAAGTAGACGTCTAGATCACTGCGTTTCTCTAACAAGAGGTCAACTACCATGCGGCCAAAGACGATCTCGCCAGCTTTCCCTAAGTGGGTTCTATCGGTGCTAGCCAGATTATAGTACTGGGCATCTTCCTCCCCGATTGCGTTGACGTAGTCGGTGCTCGCCAGGTTGAGATCAAGCCACCTAACGCTACTAGCCTTTGCCGCTGCGATCATTTTGCCCCTCCATTCAGCAAGATCTTGGACCACTTCGCCATCTTCGAAGCGACGGCGAGTAAGAGACGTGATGAAGATCTAGACATAGTATTAGTCGCCAGATTAGGTATACTGCACATGGAATGTAAATCCACCGGAGTCGCCCCAGCGTCCTTGAGCTCGGCAGCAATATCAACCAGATTGGCGCGGAACTCATCCAAAGTAAGACTCTTCTGGTCATTGTGGCCAAACTGGACAGTGACAATTGGCTCGTAGTCTGCCCTGGTGTCGTTGATGCCCTGCAAGAGCGAAGCCCAGCGGCCGTTCGACTTCCAGGAGACGGTGGTAGAACCACTCTTGCCCCTGTTCTCGCCCTTCGCGGGGTCTTTGAGGTAAGAAAGAAAGCCGTCACCCCAACCTCCATTGACCGCAACGGTGGAATCGCCGATGAGAAATAAATACGGAGGCTTCTTGGCTCGAGCCACGGGCGATCCCATGGCCATCGTCGCCGCCAACGCGAGCATTGATGTAAAGATGGTGGATCTCATGACGCAAAGCTTGTAGGCTGGAAAGCTAGTGATGGCGAAGCAATTGCAGCTTTGTTGACGATGCCTGAATGTACTTGTTTCATCAAGCTTGATGACCTCTGAGATTCTGAGAGTTCTTCGATCTTAGTTTCGACATTTTATAGCTTTGATAGTCCCCAATACGTCTCCCATGAGCATCACGATCTCTCATTTTTGAGGTCTCCCGTGATGGCCACGGATAATATGATGGCTTAGTCCACCAGTTGTGTCTCGACCTTTCGGCCGAGAAGACATGTCGAGCTGAACTGACGCCATCTCATCCACATTTTTGCGCGTAAACGCGGGACTCCATGGTGAACTTGCCGGCATGAATCGTTTTTCTCGGAGCAAAGGAAGCTTTCGCGTCTACGATCAACGCCTACCCGGGCAGAATACATTACCAACCCTTTATTGCAGCATTTGCAACAAGTTGGGGTTGCCCGCGCTCTGGAGGTGACGCCCGCACAAACATTGCCCCGAGGTGGCATACACATACTGAATTACATCCCTGTGAATGCGGTCTTCGGGCTAATGCGGGTCGCTCCGTTCAACCATACCAGGTTCCTAGCCACCGAGTGTGGGTGTTTTCAGGTGAGCCGTAGTGATCGTCGTCTGCACGTCCAAATCTGCCGAACTGACGGGGCAAGTTTGTCGGATTTCAGGACCAGCATTGGAAAACAAATTTTACATTCCGGGCGAGATGTTCGATACGTGCAGTTCGTCCATGACAAGATTCCTGGTCTGGAACATTGTTCCCAACAAGGCCATCTCCATGACCTGATATCCCACATCACGAAGATGAGATGGAAATTGATTTGTGGGATACACCAGTGTTGATGATCTGAAGTATGGATAAAGTAGAAGTACGGAACTTTTCTGCTTCGCCCTGCTTGGAAGCAAAAAGGTCAACTACTTGAGGTATTCATCGTGCCGTTTCTGACAACCAGATTCACTCAGCCAGGAAAACATATACTACAATCATCTTCTCATCTGAAGAAGGCATAGGAGCAGGTAGGTCGAGGTAACATAGGCTCTCAGGCCACTATACCACATGGGGACATGCACTTTGGCGTAGGCCCAAGGCAGATGCGAAGCGATGAAGACGTATCTTAACTGAAACCACATCTAATTAAACGCACCTAACGTAAAGAGGTTTCACGGATAAGAATGAAAGGAAAACAAGGTTCAATGATTAAAGCATGGCGTCCTCGTGGCAGTAGGCTAGGATCAACTCCAAAGTTACACTCGTGCTCCAACTGTCAGCGTGTAAGCGCGTAGAAATGACAATTTTAGGATCCGCGTAACGCCTGTTTACTGCATTCTGATGGGTTTCACCAATACGCTAAACTTCTGAAAGCGTGACTGTCATCCATCGGATGCCCACCTGGGCTCTTGGCGTGGAGATGACTATACCTTAATCAGACTCAAACCCCTGCTTTAGGAAGCGTGCCCCCGTCTCAACAGCGGACTGCTCCGTCGAACACACACAAGGGGCATCAAAGGGATATCGAGCGAAGAGATCCTAAGAATCATGATGGATACATATTGAGCCTCGAGGTAATAACTAATGGCCCAGCTTGATCAATGTCTTCAACTTTTTCTTTCACTCTTGGTCTTTCACTTTTCAGTGTCGTCGCTCTTTACACCAGCCTGCTTGCATCTTATTCGCTCATTTGAGAACCGACTTAAGCCGATCTTTCTATTCTTTTCTTCAATCTTCCTTTACCTTGGCAACATGAAGTTCGCAAATATCTTGGCAGTTGCCGGTGCAGCTGGAGCCTACACCGTCACTATCGTCGACAAGTTCATGTACAAGAATATCGATCCTGTGGTTATACCGGGCCAGTATGCCAGCCACATGCATACATTTTTCGGATCTGATGCTGTGACGTTGAACACAACCACCTCCAAAGAGTTACAAGCGGGCTGTGCCACAGCAGTCAACCCCAACGACTATTCCTCTTACTGTAAGTCAAGCTCTGTCAGGGAGATAACTCTATATTGGAAATGTCCGTTTGTTAATCCGAAATCAGGGGTGCCTACTCTTTTTTACAAAAACGAAACCGCGACTGGCCCAGTTCCCGTCAGTCGATTCAGTGCCTACTACGTTGCGATCGAAAAGGCAGAAGTCGCCATTCCTCAAGACTACAAGGCTGTTGTCGGCAACGCCTCCGCAAAGTCCGAGGCTGATACCGAGCCTCTGGCGGGCATCCAATGGTTTTGCGAGGGCGGCCCTAGCGCAGGGAAGGACGTCAATGGTTTTCCATCCAAGACCTGCAACACCCATCTGCAGACGATCCTCCTGTTCCACGACTGTGTCAACCAAGAGACACTCGAATCCACATACTCTGGAACCCAACACTGGACCGCAACCAGCAAGCCTGCCAACCGCTGCCCTCTTGGAATGAAGAGGATGCCCCAACTGCGCTTCAGCATCCGTTATGATCTTCGCAAGGCTTTGCCTGACGGCTGGGAGGGGACTGCCCCTCTGGAACTGGCTTGCGGCCCCGCCTACTGCACACACGGCGACTTCATCAACGGATGGCTTCCTGAAGCTGCCGAGAACATGTTGCTTGCAAATTCAAAGCGGGATTTCGCCGGTGTAGATGGTCCTGCGGGCAAATACAGTGCTGGATCTGTCTGTGGTGCTCAGAACGCGACGGACGCTGATCCGGAGAACGGCACTTCCGACTATTTGACGAGCAAGCAGATTCTCCAGAAGCTTACAGACGAAAAGGCTTGATCGAGTGGATTTTGTTTCACTTGTTCGGTTTATTCAAGTTTTGGTGTGTGCACTAGAATGCCGACTTTTCTTTTTTTTAATCAAACCTACTATCGTCCGGGACGAGGAGAGCGAAGGGGGTCTTTGCCTCTAAAGTGCTAAGACCCCTCACATCTGTTGAGAGTCTTCTTATAGACTATTAGATTTAGTCCTGTACCTCGTAAGTCGATAGAGGTCTTAGTTTTGTATTCTTTCACTGCTCTTGTATTACTCCTAGAACATTACTTACTTAAACCAATAATGACTGGGCCCATCCTCGTTCCATCCCCGAACACAGCTCTTGCAAAGACGGTGTGTGGTGTATCACCTATGTAAACCTGTGATTGAACTCAAAACGCAGATCTTTATGCGAATTGTGCCGGTGAAGCGTTTTGAGACTGGAAAACCGGATTTGGCTTGGTCGCGTTTAGGGAAGCGCTGGTGCCATATTCACTGTTTTATTGCTTACAACCATTCAGTACATGGAAAGGTGTCACTTATCTGGTACCGTATGGCTCACCAAGCTTTACAGTGTTTGGAATGCGATAGACCATGATCTATGCCATAGAGTGCTGTACCCATGTGGCGCCTTCACCACAATTAACCGATACATGCGTAAACGAACCTTATCGTCGGAAGGAAACGACACGATATCATCCTGTGGGTCTCTATTCCAACTTTTTGTGCAATTTTGCCCTGCACGGTCTAGTGAGGGCGGTACTAGATTTATGGGAGAATCATAGATCATATAAAGCCCGACAAAATGAGCCTATTCGGAAAAGTTCTCATAAGGTAGGTCAAGTGTCTAAGTTGGGTAATAATTCCCCGGGAAGAGAGACGGCGGTCAACGGTGGAGAGCGGCGGAGAACGGCCGGCGGATCCCTCCAAGCAAGGGCTGCTAAGCTGCTAAACCCTGCGCGTCGGCTGTTTTTTCTCTCTTGTCTGGTTTTACTGTTACTCAATGAGCAAGCCCACATTTGATCAGAGTTGCCCTCAATTACTCTCATGTGTATGCGAAATCTTCGCCTTGTGAATAATTCAAAGGATTGTTTCCCAAAAAGGTGGGCATAAGTTGAGCAGGGAGCCATAGAGTATGGCCCTGATTAAATGCGCTGTTGGCCTATAGTATTGGGGTATTTTCCTTGTTCTAGCTAGGTACGTCGTTACAAAAGCACTGATGAGCGACGTGGCCATCTTCGGTCTTAGTGCTAGATTGGCGACGTACTAAAGTACTGGCGATCCAAAGCAGAGAAAGATATTTTCCAGTAACCAGATGGGGCCAAAAGGACGCAACACGTGCATGTGGACCCAATTGTATTCTTGCTGACATGGAACTCGAAAACCGATTTTGAGTCAAACCTATCTTCTTTCATTAACAGAGCGTCAACTTTGTCTACTCACCACCACTGCAGTAGAGGAAACTGGCCTTCTTCGACAACCCCCGTCCTTTACGAAAGCCAAGCCAACTCAGGGCTAAGAAGTGGTGCGTTTAACATTCGCCTTTACAAGCAATTGACAGGATCTGCACGGAAAATGTCGCAAACGGCTGTAAAAACATCGTCTATACAATTGAGAAACATTCATGGCCCCATAACATCCTCACTTTCTACAGATTTTCACGACGACGAAGACAGGTCAAGGTCAAGAGATAGATCCGACTATCTTGAACATGATGCCTCGAGTCTCAACGAACTGACCTTCCCCGAGGGCGGCTGGCAGGCGTGGCTGGTGGTCTTTGGTTCATTTTGTGCAATGCTTTCGGTTTTCGGCCTCATTAACTCGGCTGCCGTCTTTGAGTCATATTTCTCTGAAAACCAACTCGCTGATCATTCTTCATCTGAAATCGGATGGATATTCAGCCTTTACCTTTTCATTGTCTTCTTTGTTGGCATCCAAGTTGGTCCCCTATTTGACCAGTACGGTCCCCGCGGCCTTGTTGTCGCTGGTGGCCTTTGCATGTCTGCAAGCCTTCTCTTATTGAGCTTATGCAAAGGTTTGCCCCTTCCCACAGTCTAACTTATCATTGCTTCTAACAACGGGTCACACACAGAGTACTATCAAATCCTTCTGGCGTACTCAATTCTAGGTGGCTTGGGTGGTGCCCTGCTAAACTCACCATCTTATGGCGCTATTGCTCACTTCTTTGACTCGCGTCGAGGCTTTGCCACGGGCATAGCAGCCACAGCTGGTTCGATAGGTGGAATAGTGTATCCCATCTTGCTTCAGAACCTGTTTCCGACTTTGGGATTTGGTCCAACAGCACGGATTCTTGGCTTCATTCTACTAGGACTCACAGTACCCGCGACTCTCTTTATTCGTTCTCGGCTGCCAAAGAAGGAGGGACCTGGATCCATCTGGCCTGACTTCACCGTCTTCCGAAATCTCAAGTTCACCCTATCGGCAGTCGGAATCTTCTTCATGGAATGGGGTCTCTTCGTTCCAATAACCTACATCATCTCTTATGCCGCAACTCTGCCCGGCAGCAACGTTCATTCGTATACAATTCTCTCCATCCTCAACGCAACATCAGCAGTTGGGAGGTTTTTGCCAGGCTTAGCTGCAGACAAGTACGGACGATTCAACGTCATTCTCATCACCATCGCTCTCTGCTTCATCACAGTTCTCGGTCTTTGGCTGCCCTCGGGCAACTCTCAACCAATGCTCTTAGCTTTTGTGGCTATATTCGGATTCGCAAGCGGAAGTAACCTGGGGCTGGTTCCGGTCTGTCTAGGCCAATTGTGTGACGCGAGGGAATATGGGCGATATTTGTCTACGGCGATGATGATGGCAAGCTTCGGCACTCTGAGCAGCTTGCCAATTGCTGGTGCCATCCTCGAGGCAAGGGAAGGAGGCCAAAATTGGAAGGGACTGATCTTGTTTTCCGGTGTCTCCTACTTTCTTGCTTTCATTTGCTACGCTGCGGTCAGGGCGCTGGCCGTGGGGTGGAAAATCTCAGCAAGGTTTTAAGAGAGCAGTCAACATAACTGGCAATGTCCTCGAGTTCAAACAAGAGCGACATTCTTAAGACTACATGACATTGCTACTTACTATATCACAAAAGATTTCTCCAATGAGTTCAATTGTCTACTTCTCAGCTTTAGTATGTGCAGCTATTCCTACCTGTGTTAACTCCTATTGTTGCGGGTTTGGTAGGCTCTGGATACTGCCAGTGATCCGTCTTCATGGTTTCTCTACGCAAGATGGGTGAATGATCCATGATCTGCTTAAGGTACATGATCATGGCAAATTCGGGCCGAAGCGCCGCGGAAAAGCCGATGTCAGGGCTGTCAGGGCTGTCAACTCTTCTTATCGAGTAAAGGAAGCCAGAAGCTGGACCTCATCATGGCGCTTGTCTCGATTCAGCATGTAGTAGCTACATTACTATCGCTAGTGAGTTCTCACTGAGTCATGATATAGCAGAAAAGGTTCAATGGCTTTACGGTGTAACGCGCGGGGAAGGTCGATTTAACCGACTCTAAGCTTGACCAAGTACAGCATATGTGAGCGGTGACAGGATTGTGAGGAAGGCAAATTTCGCCTTGTTTTCTTGGACGAGCTGGTAGTGTTACTGACCTGGTACTTTCTTTATGCGCCAGCTATAATGGCAGCCGCAAATCTCGGCGAAATGACTCAATAATAAGCCGTATCTGCTCAACGTCCGACTCAATGTTTCTCTTAGACCCCATGCTGAAGACTTAGAGAGTGACATGTGAGGACATGGAAGTAAGGCCCTCCCGCTGTGGAGGCACCGTGGCATCTGGCTTGCGGGTGTTACCGCCGAATCAAGCTAGTCCAGTTAGCTGGTTGACCGGTCTCTTCCCAGAAGAGGACGAAGGTGATTGACGACAAGCTAATTACTGAGTGACTTGATTCGGACACTCTTGGTCCGTGTTCCTTGGCATGGCCCCATCCAGATCATATATGCAGCTGAACGCTCAATGTCCTAGAGAATGTGGAGGAGTCTGCTGCCAACCGTAGTCAATGTTAGATATCGGTGTATCTGTATGGCTCTTCCAGCTATTGTCGACGGATTCTTGAGTCAAACAAAGTGTGGCCATCGCTTTTCATCGTGTAAGGGATTCTTTGATTGGGCCAAAGTTGTGGCTGGTATAAGCTCTGAATGCATCGACGGCGGGCTGCTCTGTGCCTTTCTGTTCATCTATCTACGGCTAGCCTAGTGGTCTGTGATTCTGCAGTGCAAATGCCATTGGAAAGAATAATCCTGCCGCTCACGGCCTGCTGTGGCGGCCTTACCCATATCTGCAGGATTGGAGGCGGGAGCATTATTTCGACTTTCATCTGCTCAGTCATAGCTAATCAGGAGTTCTCCAACGTCATGAGCGATCTATTTAGACTTATTTCCTCACCTGTTCATGAGACGTGGTCGGATCTCGGCACAGGCACAGCCTCACCTAGCGTGCAATGAACACTGGCCGGAAACTCACACTTCTGACGTCTGACGGGGCAAGGCCCGACCTCCCGACAATGATCGCCGTCATGAGTTTTTCTCGAGAATAACGAGGTCTATGATTGTGGCCAAATGTGGCTATCAAAGAAAGCATCACTATTTCCATATGGCCCGATGTCATAATATAGCCGCAACTGCCAGCGTCCCCAGATAGCCGCGGTGGGTAATAAGCCGTGGGGAGGCGTTGGGAGGCGTGAGACGGCAGAGGTTGCGACTGGTTGGACTTTCCCATCAACTCAATTTACAGTAAAAGTCATCTTGATAAAAGACTAAAGGTTCAGACGACAGAACGATGGAGGCTTTGTGTGAAACTGGAGATTTCTGCCCTCCTACCACACACCCGACCCTGGCATGAGAATAACGCCACGGCCGCTCCCGGTTGTGTGTTAACCCGGCGAGTTTTGTCATCTCGGGATATCCGGTCAGGTTCGACCCCTCCTTACAAAGAATGCGTGAGGGTTCTTACATGACGGATTGGCTCAACGTAGTCACTGTGTGAGATATGAAACGACCCGACATGACAAGGCCCCCTTTTTGGGCGAAATGGCATATTAAGGCTAGCGGAATATGCAATCACGAATAACGTATGCGGAAATACATGGAACGACCAGTTGACTCCTCATCGTAATTACTATGCTCATCTGTGTGGACTCAGCCAGGCCCAATTAGTCAAATTAATGGCATATGGAGCGTTGTCGGAGGGGCCCCTTTGAACTAGAAACGTTGACGCTATGTTGCTGTAGGCAATTCCAGAATGCTTGATATTACCAAGACTTCAGATGAGAAGCTCCGGCACACAGCAAGTACGCTAGGAGCAGCATAAGCTATTCTTCAGGTAGCCAATGCAAGATGAGGTGGCTATAGATGGGGACCGTGAACTTTTGCCTGCCGGACACTTGCACCTAGAACTTTACTGGGGAAGCGAACCGGTACCCCGCGGGACTGACAGTTCCCCGCGCGACCTTAGCGAAGTCGCGAGGCACTGAGTTTTTGTTTGCGTCAGCTCGCCCAATTGGGCTTTGCAATAAACTTTTTACGCCCAGTCATATGTGATCGAGGATTGCTGTTTGGTGAGGCTAGCATCCAGGCCATCGGATAGGGCTGAGGACAATACGACCAAGTACGAAAGCGGGCAGAACAAGGCCAAGCCCGTTCTAGCTGGCATGGGCTTGGTCTGGAATCAGGCCACGATGGTAATTTGTTGTGGCAAACGATGCAATCGACAAAGTTTAACATTACCGAAGATCTACCAAGCTTCGCTAGTTTCGACCTCAGGAGACTACAAGCAAGGGTTTAGCCTGCTTCAAACCACGAATTGGGCCATGAAGTAGAGTTCGCGCACCTGCGCCCGAGTCAACGCATGCATATGTTCCTCGACACTTGAGTTGTGACCCCAGCGGGAGGTCTAATCTTGTCCAACATTCATTCGGATAACATCACGGCAAGTCAAAGTCAGGCCATTTGTGCACTGTTTGAGTTCTTGGCCCTAGCGAAGTAATCCGGCTGGCAGCGCTGATACCATTTCCCATGGCGATCATCGATGCAAGTTGCGATGGCGATGGTAACAATGAACATCTCTCTCGTAAGTTACTCGCCTCAGACACTAGTTCTGACATCATTCAGAACCAGAAATCTGTCCGGGGCGACAAGGGAAAACAACGCCCAGACTCGGGAGTACATACGAAGTGACGATTCTATATCAGAGAGATATAGGGAAGGGGGCGACGAAAGGAAGCCGGCCGCCGCACAACAAAATCCGAGTGGGTGATCATCTTGTGAATTCAGCAAGCCACGCTACAATAAGATGAACAGATATTAACCCAGTGAAGAGAAGCTTTTGAATGTTTGACCTTAAGGTGTGAGATGGAAATCCGAAGTTGATCCACAAGTTTCTCTCAGACCTGCGGGTAATGCTCACCATCTGGAATAGTCAAGGAAGCCTTCTTCGGATAAAAGAATCTTCTGAAACAGATCATCACAACTCTTTCTCCAATGGAGTTCCGTGGCTGTGGCACTGAGCTTTTCGATAGGAACACGAAGTGAACGATGCGGCGGGTGGGGCCGACTCCAAAGAGGGGGAACGGAGGCCTTAACCGCCAGACATGTCTCTCTCGAGATATGCACCCAAGCTACTAGTATCCAGGAAATAGGAACGGGCCTAGAAACAATGAGGACCTGAGCTGGTAGATAGGGAGGGGAGGGGGGTCAAGCCATCAAAGTTCGGCTAGAAGTCCAGCAGAATCCATTCCACGAGGCGTCTGGATGATTGCAGGACTCAAGCGTTGCCTGTTCAAGGTTCAGTAGCGTCCTCCAGAGACATGATATTTGTTACATGTAGGCCAAGAACCATGGCCGGCTAGATCTTTCAGGACTCATTGGACAGGGATCGGGCTACCAGCCTACCTTACCTCAGATGGTCCTCGCGGGATGATCTCCTGCATCTCAACTCGGAAATCACGGCCCGGGGTCTATCAGTGCTTTGAACTACGCACAGCTGTGATGAACACGAAGCGGGGATGGTTTACATATTCCAAGACCCCCACAGCAAACCATGACCCCGACGATATAAGCTCTCCTGTGTCTGTTTCCTCTGCCATCCCATCCATCATATTCCATTCCAAGCTATTTCATGCGATGTCTTCACCGACTTCAGTAAACACCACGGACGTTGGCGGGAGAGTATACAAACGTCGACCTGGCGCTTGCGAAACTTGCAAAGTACGAAAGCGAAAATGTGGGTTGGGATGCTCGAACAAATAAATATTTACAATGCCAACCTAACATTTTATAGGCGACGGTGGCAGGCCAAGCTGCGATAAGTGCCTGGTAAGTGTACTGGTGCCTTGATAGTACCACTTGATGAATTCTCACGATCTGCAGTCATCCGCCTCCTTCTGCTTCTATGTCACACCGAAGAAGAGAGGAAGATCCAGCCAAAACAGTAGGAAGATCCAACCAGAATGCGTTGATTGCCATACAGCAACTAAGCACACTCACCCAGGCTTGAACGCAACAACCAGACAGAGTGCTTCATTCGAAGACTTCAGCTATACGTCACAGCAGTCCACATCACCCCCATCACCAACAGACCATCTACGTTACTTTGGGCCATCATCAACTCAGTCATCACTATCAAGTGTGAACCGGCTTTTGGATCTTGGGCAATTCCCGACTCCTTTGACAACCGAATCCCTCGAAGAACACTGGGGACCGTTGTCAAGTGGTCTGTTGAACTCGCCTGAAGCTCTAGGAACGCAAAGCACGGAGATCATCGCCAGTCCAGTCTCTTCGGCATTGGAGTATTGTTGGAGCACACAACCTTTGTCCAATGGACATAGTATTTCTGGTATACAGGATTTTGACGGTCTGGTAACAGCCGGCTGGAATCTTTCAAATCTGCAGACAGCCAACGATGAGAACACTGTCAACCATCCTGTTCGTGGTATGGTTACGTACCATGGTTTTTGGGATATCTGACCTTAGCTGACAAGATGATCAGCAACGTCTGCGTACTCAACAACCGATATGGTGAAGCTCCTCATAGGACGGGATCGGAGTTCTTGCAATTCTAAACAGTTCGGACAGAGCCTCATGGATCTTGTAGACGAATCTACCACCTGCTGTTACAGCCCAAAGCTTCCGGAGAGCACCTATCAAAGGGTTCAGCCCAGCCTTGAAACACTAGTTGAGTTTCTTCATGGTACACTGCTATCAGTTCCAAGAGCAGTCTAGATAGATATGGGGATTGGGGCTAACTTTGAGTATCAGCTTTCACCGCATCTGAACCATATCTGTGAGTCATTTGAAATTACAGCATACGATTTGTACAGACTGAGTGTTCTCTAACAATTTTGTAGTGGGTTGCGATACATAGAAGAGATTGAAATTTCACGACTCTTCGAAGATGTGGTTATAAAGGGGATGTCGGACCATGTCAATAGTTCGATAGTGTACGCGGCTCTTTCTATCGGATGCTTGATCTCGATGAGGCGATCCGGGACGTCACAAGAGACGGAGTCGCACATGAGATGCTTGTATAGCAACGCAATGGTGCACGTCGAAAAATTGCACATGTGCCCTTCAACAGCTCTGAGCTTCAAGGTACTTCTACACCCCGCGCTACTCAAGTACAGCGAGTCATTCTGACTGAAATATATAGGCGTTGATTACACTTGTAAGTATAGTAGAGGATTTAAAAGGCTTCTAAACACTAGTATGTGAAGGTTTCTATAGCTGACACTAATTGCAAAGCTTGTTGCCTCGGCCTTGTGGAAACCAGCGGACGCGGATTGGTTGCTTGGAGCTGCAGTTTCCTGCGCTCAATCCCTTAGACTAAACAATCTGGCATGCTTGAAGACAGTTTGTCAAAGGAACGAAGAAGTCGAATCATTAAAGCACGCTTTCTGGCTGCTGTACACCATCGAAAAGCCCTACCGGTTGCGAAACGGACAAGCTTCGGTAAGCCTGCCAACTTTATGCACTGCATTAGCCACAGCAGTCATACGCTAACCTACATACTATTGCCTACATGTAGGCTTTGAGTGATGCCTACATCGACCACGAGCCGATATCTTCCGGGATCGAAGCTAGAAAGCCATCGATGCAAGCCTTTGGGGTTCATTACCGTCTAGCTCAATGTTGTGCCAGGATAGCTGGCGAATTCGACTGCCAGAAAGCTCTATCACAGTCTACGATATTCACCTCAGAGAATCTAGACAACTGGTTGGAACAGCTTCAACGGCTGAGAGTTGACGTTTTCACGGCACGGCATCAATCCGCACCAGCCATGACGTTGGATCCGAGAATCGCCTCACCAAACAGTCCGTGTATGCCGCCTTCAGAGGGGGATATATCAGCAAGTCTACTCTACTTCGAGCTAGTATTGTGTGTCTCTGGACGATTTTCAGCTAGTTCATTGGGTGACTCAAGCTCTGACAAGATAGAACAAAAAGTTCTTGAGTCTGCCATTGATATTTTGAAATTACTCGTCGAGGTCGATCCCACTAAGGCGGGTACAGATCAGTATGCCTCCGTCGCTTTGTCTTCTTTGCTCTTAGCGCTGACCTGACGCTCTTCCAGGAATTTGGTGCGCATTGCTGTCAGTTCGTTCTGCCTCGTTGCGACTTTTATCTCAAGGGCGAATGAGCGAACCACGATCTTCAGATATCTAGTTTCGACGCTCGGTTTCTTTGCTCGAATGACTATTACTGCCCCACTCATGACTCTGGGGAAATTCAGCTCCGTGGTAGACTCAGTGCAAAACGTACTCAAGAACGACAGTTGTTAAGCTAGGAACTAGAGTAGCTTCTGATTTCCAAACTCAATACCCTTCAATAGATAAAGATTTAAGTTACCTAGAGACTTTGCCTTGGTATGATATGTTTGATTTTGCCCTTTCTAGTCTTTCTGATGGGCAAGTGTTGAAATCCCGGTGGCATCCAAACACCTCGTTGTAGCAGAAATGTATCGGTGAGTGATTTCTAAATGCTTTCATCTGAAAAGCATATCAGAATGCTGGTACATTTCATACATCAGCAGTCCTCCTATCTTATACTTGCTCTACGACTCTTTAGGCTTCATTTGTCTTCAGTGAATCAGCTACTTGTTGACATTGCTCTCTTCCAGTCGGCATTGGAGGATGGAAATGTTGTGGTGTCACAGTACCTACTTGAGGCAAGTCTAAGCGCCCGGATGAGGTTAGCCATGCCTTCACTCGACTCAACCAGCTCCTCTGCGGGGTAAACGGAGCACACCCCGTGGAGAAGCCACACATGACGTTACAGTACGGCGTGGACCTGGGTTTCGCCAGTTCGTCTCATTCGACATAGCTCAGGGTCCGATCGTCGGCCTCACGAGCGTGTCCAAGCCGATCCATGCTCTCACCCCTCGCCAAAGTTATCAATGTGCTACTTATCCCTACTCATGTGTCCCAGAATAATCGTCATTTTGACCACGAAGTTGTCTCACGTAACACCCTTATAACACCGTGGTGCGTTACTTCAGAGGATTGCTTTCGTGAACTGCGAACGCGGGCTATCAAATATCTGTCGATTAGCAGCTGGTCTTTCCATACTTCCGACGCATTCGGCGACATGACAGACCCCGCTAGGAAATCGATCCCGCCTTATAGCGTGGCCGGAAAGACGGCCATCATCACGGGGGCTGGCTCAGGTATCAACCCAGCGGATCTGTCACCATCGCATTGAAGAATATTTAGTAATTCAATTCAACCTAGGTATCAACTTTTCCTTTGCTGAGTTGCTCCTTGAGCGTGGTTGCAATGTCGTCATTGCTGACCTCGCTCTTCGGCCGGAGGCGGAGCAGCTCGTTTCGAGCAAACAAGACAAGTCCAACGCCAGGCCACGCGCAGTCTTCGTCAAGACCGATGTGACTTCGTGGCCGGCGCTATCCAACATGTTCAAAGTCGCCATTGAGGAATTTGGGAGTTTCGACATCTTCTGCCCCGGAGCGGGTGTCTATGAGCCGCACTGGTCAAACTTCTGGCACCCTCCTGGATCATCCGAGAGCAAGGACAGTGTAGACGGCGGAAAATACGCTCTGCTTGACATCAATATCACCCATCCAATCCGTTCTACGCAGCTGGCCATCTCATACTGGCTTCATCCCAAGGAGGCCACGAACGCCGTCTTGCCACCTCCTATCAAAGCGTCGCCCGAGAACCCAAAGCGCATAGTTCACATCTCATCAGTAGCTGGACAAGTTGCAAACATCAATGCTCCTCTCTACGCAGCATCCAAATTTGCTATCACTGGATTTGTCCGTAGTCTGGCTCGCTTGGAAGAGACGGATGGGGTCCGCGTCAACGCTGTTGCGCCGGGTGTCGTACGGACGCCGCTCTGGACCGAGCATCCGGAGAAGCTGGTCAATCTTGACGAAGCGCAGGACGGCTGGGTCACCCCGAGAGAGGTTGCTGAGGCAATGCTACGATGTGTCGAGGAGGAGGATCTTGTCGGAGGATCAATATTAGAAGTTGGCAAAGATAACACGCGCTTAGTCGAAGCATTCAACGCGCCGGGTCCAGACCCCAACCCAAAGAGAGGCCTCGTTGCCAGAAACGGGTCGAGAGGAACAGGCATGGTCTTTTCCTGGTTGAGGGATGCCACAAGATGGGCTGTTGGCAGAGATTGATATAGTGCAGGTGGTCTTTATTCCATGGGGCGCTAGAATTACATATATGTATGTTGAAAACTCACCCTATGGTCGTCATTTTGCGTTCTGCATATCCCGACGTGCCCGTACTTAACGGCCCCGGTTTCGCGACAAATATGGGTTGGACACCACATGTAAGTTTTCAGGTACCCAAGGTAGGCTAATGTCAAAGAAGCTCGTCCAGCGATACTGCGCAACCTTCGACTGTCTTCGACTAACTCACTTGTTGAGGTGCCTGGCACACCGACAGACGAAATGAGTTACGAGATCAGTTTTGGGTCGCCACACGAGGACGTGGTGAACAAAATCACCACATCATTCATGATCGCAGCAAACCATACCACAAATGTGCAGCTTTAGGTCTGAACAGTATCCGTACTTGTATCTGAAGAAGCGCGTGCTCTAAAGGGACCAAGCTGGAGGTATGGGACCACAAGTGCGGACCTGTAAGCCGTTTGACTTTCGACCCCCGGTCTAGCGGGCCTACGAGAGATGTTCCCCTCCTACGGCCGTTCGAACGAACAAATACGGACGTCTCGGCGTGGCCAGACCGGAGCGGGTACAGCCATGTATGGTTCGGTCGCCTGTTTTCACAGTGGAAACGTGTCTGGGATCTTGTGGGTGTCAGCTCATCGCACGGAAAGTTTGCTCAAGCAGAAATCCAATCTCAGTTTCCCAAGTCAATGCCGCGTTAAAAAACATGGAAGCATGGTCTGGCCACGTCAAGTCTAGATGCAAGAATCTGAGAACTACAATGACACTGTGCGTACTGCACTCTAAGAGTTCAGGTTGTCACTGGGCCAAAGGACGAGTGGACAGAACAGAAATCCAGGGCCAACCCCTTTATGCTATTTCTGTGGCAAGGCGCAAGAAGCGCGTCGAGGACCGTACATTAAGGCGTACGGAGAAGTCGGTAATTGCGCCCAATTTGTTAGAGTTCGACCACTGGGCAATTCGGCTTGTACCGAAAGCGAAAGCCCGTATTGCACTCTACAGTAGGGGCCAAGCGATGGTCTGCGCGAGTCAGGGGTCTTTCCCAGGGACCTCAGGTCTTTTATAAGGATTGAGGCGATTATTGATAGTGGTCGAAGGATCACGGTTGGAATTTTGTGGTTTACTCAGCTGTCCGCCAGACCATCATGAAGTCATTCGTTAAGCAGGCTGCCTTCGCAGCTTGCCTCCCATGGTTGGTTGTCTCTGGTTACGATGACGCCTTTGTTGTTGAGTTTGATGCATCCGTGCAATTGGTAAAGCCACCCCAGTAAATCCCGAGAGCGTAGATGCCACTAACCTGGCAACAGAGCCCAGGAGATCTCATCAGCCGGACTCAGGCATCTCTGGCAGCTTCTGGCTTGGACTGCACTGCATCTTCGCGATATCATTTCACTCACGCTGTGTTCCAAGGCGGATCTTTCAACGTCGACTGCACCAACACTGGAGTTTCTCAGAAGGCGGTGCTGTCGACCATACAGTCGATTGATGGCATTCAGAAGGCCTGGCCTGTAACTTCAGCAGCACCAGCCGTCCACATGCCGAGGATTCCAGGCATTTCTGACGGCGATTGGGGAAGCCGCACGCATGGATCATCCAAGCGCGACTTGTCCCAGATCTTGACTCTACACGCAAGAGACGGTATCGCAGCCGACACTTTGCCAACACACGTTGATACGGGGGTGTCGAAGCTACACGCCAGCAATATCACGGGTAAAGGCATCCGGGTGGCAGTCATTGACACTGGCTTCGACGTTGATACTCCGGGCCTCAGCAAGACCGACATTGTTTATGCCCACGACATGACAGACGGCGACAATGATGTTCGTGACAACTGTTCCTTCCATGGCACGCATGTTCTAGGCATTGTAGGAGCCAAGGGTGACGAGGGCAGATTTGGCGTCGTTGGCGTGGCGCCTGATGCTACCTACGAGCTTTACCGCATCACAGGTTGCACTTCAGGAACCCAGGATGACGCGATCATCAATTCGTTCCTTGAAGCTGCGGAAAGAGGCGTCGACGTTATTTCATGTTCGTATGGGGGTGACCTCACTTTTCCTGAAGGTAACTCAGCCCTAATCTCATCCTAATCTCAAAGAACACGAAGTACTGACTGGTTCAAGACCCCTGGTCTATCGTGGCTACTCGACTGTTCAACAACGGCACCTATGTTTCTCTTGTAGCTGGAAACGGTGGCCCTGGCATCTTCACAGGCGCCAGCCCTGGAGGTGCAGATGCTGTCGCCGCCGTTGGGTCTACCGACAACTCGCAAACTCCTTATTACAATTGGGGAGGCAATTGGACTGCAGGAGGTGAAAGCGGAGCGCTTCGTTTCGTCCCTGGCATGCCGTTCGACTTCCCATCAAACGAAGGGCTGACAGTCTGGACTTCAGACACACCCAACACCAATGGTTGCCAGCTACTCCCTGATAAGTCTACTTTGCCGGCCGACTTGTCCAAAGTCATTTTTCTCTCTCAGTTTGACCAATGCTGGATGGCAGCCGATAACTCTACAGTCTCTCTAACGAAAGAATTTGGCATCCCGTATGTCATGTACTACAGCTCGAGCAATTACACGGTCTCTGAAGGCCCGCTATTCCTGAAGGTCTCTGCAGCAAACCAGAAAGGGTCTGTCACGGTGGACTATGAAACAGCAAAGCAACTACTGGATGCGAAGGCAAAGTACGGCTCCGTGCAAGTGTTCCTTGCCAATGAGGTCTCTGTTGCAGATGTCAGTCTCACTTATAAGGCCAATAACCGCTCTGGTCTCATGAGCTCCGTATTCACCAGCTGGGGTCCAACTCTTCGAGCAGGATCCATGCCCGCATTCCATGCCCCCGGAGGAAACATCTTGAGTACTTTCCCTGGATGGCTTGGAGGCTACGGAGTAGTTAGCGGTAAGTTAAACGTCTATTCGCGAGCTATGCCGAGCTGTTATTGATGAGTATGCTACGTTAGGCACCAGCCAGGCCACTCCGTTTGTCGCCGGCATCGCTGCGCTCGTCAAACAGCAGCATCCAGATTACAGCGCTGAAGACATTAGGAATGTCATCGCAGCCACATCCCGCCCCGTCAAATGGTATGATGGAAGGGGTAACGCAGGAGACTTTCTAGCGCCCGTCTTCCAACAAGGGTCTGGTCTTGTCGACGCTCGACCACACTACTCAGCGCCTCTGCCCTTTCATTCAATGACACGGCCAACCGTCCCAAAGAGCTAACCTTCACAATCAAGAACACTGGGTTGGAGACTACCACCTACGACCTGAGTCATGTTGGAGCCAGCTCTGGCTATGTTCTCGAGAAGGCGGATAGCTACCAACTCACTGAAGCCGTGGTGTACCCAGTATATGCCGAAGTCAATATTAACCCCACAACTCTCTCAGTCGAGCCAGGAAAGACTGCCATTGTCTCGGTTTCAGTCTCAAAGGAGCCCGCTTTGTTAGAAGCTTCAACTCGTGTCTCCTACTTTGGAGGATACATTAACGTTGAAGCCAAGGGTGTAACCGACGTCAACAAACTCTCGCTACCCTATACCGGCTTCGGCGCGCCCCTGACTACATTACACAGCATCAACCGCGATAAATCTTACCTCTCGTCATACAATGTAACTGAAGGCAAGGCATCGCATGCCGAACCGGGCCGTATTTATACCTGCACGTTGAACATCACCGCAGATGTTCCAGCTTCGTTCCCAGGCCATGAGTATCCCGGCATCGAGGTCTTCCTCTTCTTGCAGTCACGCAACATGAGCATTCACATGGTGGACGCAAAGACTGGAAAGATAGTAGCCAATTCCTACCAGAGTACGTCAGAGGTCCCATGGAACGGTTCAACTTGGTACTGGGATGGTTCCGACGACAACAAGGCTCCCGTGCCGGCTGGTACTTACACCTGGCGTGTCAAGGCTCTCAAGTTGCTTGGAGACGCGGCGAAGGAAGAGGACTGGGAAACCTGGGAAGCCGGCACATGGGTTCTGGAATACACTGCTGACAGTATTTTCTCTTCGAGTTTAACGGTTCCGAAGACGTGACCCTATAATGCTGGAACGCCGAGGTAGATAAGGTCAATACAAACACGAGCTAATGGAGTATGGCGAAGATATGCTTTACATCCAGTCGCATTGAACTGAATCAGTTAAAGTAGACTTGTGAGGTCACAAAAGAAAAAAACCCGGTATGACTTGAGCCTCCGTTCCCCTCTTGAGCTCTCCAAAACGTTGCCTACCTTAACCTGGCGAGTCGCGACAGATTGGTCAACCCCTGCCTGTTAAGCTCGCTTGCGATGATGAGCCACGCTTGGCACTGGCCAGAGAAGTAAGACCTAGCGGAACAACCTTGCTGCTTTGCACGTACAGAGGACTTTTTACTTCCTAATTCGGGCAAGTTTGTCTCAATGAGCCGGAAAAGATCCAATCATATTATTCTTCCGCATATGTGTGCGGCGAAGTGCATCTATACATCATGTGCTATGTCTTGTCTTCTAACAATCCTATAAGGATCCTCCTGCTCAGTTCTCGGGGTTTAAGCAGCCGCCATGCCATCCACAGAGCTGTCGGTCTCTGTTTCTCTTCTCGTGCGACAACACATCGCTTGTCCTCTATCTAACACACAAAGACTTAAGCAAGATATCTCCAGATTTTTCACGCGCTGCGTTCTATTCTCACTATGGGCTGGTATGAAATTACCGACGATTACATCAAAGACTCGAAGATCAACTTCCCAGTGTGTGAAACTCTCCAAGTCAGAGATGTTTACGGCGGAACACAAAGAACCATATATCGCGTTGATCAGAGCGGACGTCAATTTCCAGTGTGGACTGTCAACGAGAACAATGAAAACGGCGTACTTGCGATTGTCTCCGCCGACCCCAGAGCGCGGGACCCCGCAGGCAATGCCGTGGGTATCATCAAATACCACACCATGTCCTCAAGAACACAAATCACCCTACGCGGTTCAGAACTGAGCCTGGGGCTTACGGACTACAGCCATGGACACGAAATCAACTTCAACGGCTGCAACTACCGATGGGTTATGTCCAAAAGTACCATGTCGACGACCACGCTTTACCTCAAGACCGACGGTAATCGAATTTTAGCAAGATGGTCGGGAAAGCCCGAGGGTCGAGCGGGCGACTCAAGTCCCGTTTTTGAACTGTTTGTCCCGCCTCAAACGCTGGACATGGATTTATTGGTAGTCACTGGTTTGGCGGCTGCAGGGTACTGGAAGAAGGCAGACAGGCTCAGGAGCCCGATAAGCAAGATTCTAAAGATAATGGGAGGCCTGGGTCCATAGCAACGTGTGGAATTGTCCTGGCAGATCTTATAGAGCAAAAAGGTGGCATTGAAGCTCATCATTCTTTCTTCGTTTAATCTTCAATTAAATAGACTGTTGCTGATGCGAGAATATCAATTGTTTACTTTAAGAAATTGTTTGATCCCACTCTTGGTCAGGTTCTAGATTGCCAAAGGACGTCTCTTGATGTGCACCACCAAAGGTGGTTTCTTCCAGATGGCCCAGGCCTTGTGCTTAGAATATGGCTGTGTCCACTCGCTGGAAGATGCATCGAGTCTCATGTCGAATTCCCATAGCAGTCGCGCAATGATAACGCGCATCTCATTATACGCCAAGTGCTTCCCGATGCAATTGCGAGGGCCATACGAGAATGGCTGGATAGCGTCCCGCTTATCCGCGTGAAATGGAGACGTAGTGTCCTGGACGACACTGGGAAGCCATCGTTCAGGAGCAAAGCTCTCCGGCTCAGCGAAGTTGGAAGCTGAAAGACCGGCAGCAGAGTGATGAACCCCAACACGAGTCTTCAACACGCCTCTGTTAGCAAATTTGCAAGTTCGAACGAGTAGAAGGGTAAAGACTTTCAAGCACTTACTCCTGGAGGGAAAAAAACTCCTTCAATGTACGTTGGTTCTTTCGTGTCTGGGACAATTCTCTCAAGTGAAGTCGGCACGGGTGGATAGAGCCTGAAGGTTTCGTTGAGCACGGCGAGAAGGTAAGGCAGACGTGCTGTAGCATCCGTAAAGTTGATTTCGCCGGGTGACTTGAACGCAGCTCTGACTTCTTCGACTGCTCTTCTGTGTGCATGAGGCGTTGATAAGAGGTAGAAAGTGCAAGCCGTCATTAAAGTTGCCGTGGTATCACTACCGGCGACGAAGAGGGTATTCGAGTTTGTGACAATCTCTTCGGTGGAATTAATAGTCTTCTCGTCTCTCCCACGGAGCAGGCCTTGCATAAAATCTTTGCGGGTCATTTCAGAATCATTATCCAATCGTTTGTTTACGGCTTTTCTGGTGTAGTCGAATTGGTCCATGAAGCCGTTCTGAACATCCCGCGCTAAAATCGGCAGAACGATCCACGATAGCGGACCAAGCAGTGTGTTGAGTTCGAAGAGCTTTCTAGCTCGCTCGATAAACATGAGGACAGAGGTTACCACATGATGGAACTCGTTATTATCGAGACCACCCAAAGACTCTCCAAACGTCAAGTCGCCGATGATGTCGAAGGAAGCAATATGGAACCACCTTCCCATCTCTGTCGGCATTCGGGATTCAGCCACATCTGATAACCTGCGTACGAGCTTATCGACATAGTCGTGAATGATTGGCTCTTGCTCAGCCAGGGACCGTGGTGAGAAAGCGTGGGCTACTCCTCGACGAATTCGAGCGTGGTTGACATCATCGGCGTCGAGGATGTTGGAGTCAGGGTCGAGTTGCTTCGAGGCACTGTACTTTGGAAACTGCCCGTGCCCATGGCCGTAAATAGTCTTCCAGGCCTGGCTTGTCGTAAACGTCACCGCATCCGGTGAGTAGCGTACAACGTTGCCGTATTTCCTGTGAAACTCGCGAATATCTTGGTCGATGGTGCCGAACAGTATCTTGAACTTGGGAATGAATGGGAGTATCGTCCACAACTTGGGGCCTGGAACGTGGCTCAACCGCGAGAAATACGCTTGATGAATGCCTCGAGCTAGATAAAAGAGCAACCAAGAACTGAGTGTCAACAAAGCAATGTGGGCAAGCGGCTGAGTTCCCATCAGCAAGAGGGAGCTCAGAGCCATTGTAATAATGTAGACTGAGTTGTCGGTCTAAGTTGCGTCCACGACTCGATTAACGCCAGGTCCAGCGCTGGAACTGATAGTCTTTATGTCCGCAAGATGTTACCGCAGAAGCCCCCTCTTGACGCCCATAAAGTCCCCAGTGCATCTGTAACATCATGACCCCACTCTACTACTCAGTTTCTTGGCATATTCTCTGTCGCTTGGTAAGATAGCGACGTTATTGCATGATTCGTTCAGTTGCACTACGTCACTTTTGATTCCGCCGCTCCCACGAACCGGATACGCCCCGAACCGGATACGGCCATCCTTGATCATCAAGTGCCGGACTAGAGCTGGAAGACACTACGGACCGGTCCATAGCCTGCAAGTGGCTGATCATTGATCGCACGGAGGAGACCGCACACCGCATCGGGGTTTCCTGTTGGCCGCGAACCCGATGTGACACCGCCGAGAAACATAACATGCACGCTGCCGCGCCGTGCAGCCGGCAAGAACGCCGCGTCGGCGCCGAGCTTCCTCAACGGGAAAGAAGAGATGGTATATTTCTATGTGCGACTCGCAAGCAAACAAAACCCCGCACATTTTCCCTCGATAATTGCTCTCTATCCCTGTTCACTGGACGATGAAATCCTGGAGGCCCGTGTTGAGCGAGTCATTGATGCGTCGAGTATACTCGACGACGCCGCCAAGGAAGTTGAGCATCTCTGATATGAAGTCAGCGGTTGTCTTTGAGTACTGAGCAAAAAGGGGAGATAGAATAACCTCTTACCTTTAGGCTTTCCTGGAATATTGGTTCCCATATACTCAGACTTGGTCTGGGGCAGCAGAGTCTCGTCTCCAATACGGTTGACAAGATCTCGCCACTCTTGCTCAACACCCGGACGAGGGTCAATGTAGCGTTTGCCGTTCTTTCGTAGGTGAACAAGCGTGTCGCGGATCCAACCGCCCTGGAGCTCAGCACACGTAGGTCCGTTGCAGAACGATGTCGGTCCCTGAGGCCCGTAGACGAACAGTGCGTTGGGGAACCCAGCAGTCATCATTCCAAGGTGCGTTTTCGTGCCCTTCGCCCACTTCTCCTTCAATGACTGCCCATCCTCGCCTTTGATATCGATCGCCAAGATACCTCCCGTCACTGAGTCAAAGCCGGTAGCAAGAATGAGAACGTCAAACTTGTGCAGCTCGCCATCGGCGGTGAAGACACCGTCGGGGACAATCTCCGCGATGGCATTGGCCTTGGTGTCAATCAGAGCCACGTTGTCACGGTTGTAGACCTCGTAGTATCTCTGCTCGAGAGTAGCCCGCTTGGTTCCGAAGTAGTATGGCGGATTCTCCGGGGCAAGAAGCTCCTGCATCGCGGGGTTGTGGACGCGCTCCAAGACCTTGCTGCGCCAGAATTCGTATGCATGTTGGTTGGCTTCCCTGTTCCTGATAACATCTTGATATGTCCCCAACCAGAAAGACAGTCCGCCCTTTGCCCAAATCTTCTCAAAGAATGCCTGGCGCTCCTCTGCGGTTGTTTCGGCACAGGCCTGAGGATTGAATTCGAAGTCGAGGCCGGCAAAAGTGTTCTTACGAAGCTCGTAAAGCTCCTTATATGTCTCTTTCTTCTGGTCCTCAATGGAGAGTGGTGTTTGTTGCATGGGAAGGGCGTAGGTTGGGCTGCGTTGAAATACGGTCAGGTGGTCAACTTCGGGGGCAATCTCTTGAATGACTTGGAGGCCGCTTGAGCCATTACCGACGACACCAACTCGCTTTCCCTTGAAATCAATTCCCTCCTGAGGCCACTTCGAGGTATGGCACGACACGCCAGCAAAAGAATCAAGGCCCTTGAATTCTGGGATGTTTGGCTTTGCAGCGAAGCCAGTACAGAGAATGAAGTATCGAGCGGTCAAGACGGACTTGTCGCCAGTAGTGATGGTCCAGCGGGAGCCGATTTTGTCGAAGTCGGCACTGACAACGCGGGTGTTGAACATAACGTCCTTCTTGAGGTGTAGCTTGGACTCGACATGCTGGAAGTAATTTCGGATCTCTTCTCTTCCGGGATACTTCTCGGACCAGGTCCATGGCCTCCAGATCTCTTCTTCAGAGAACTCATAGAGAGGTACGGGTGTATCGACACGTGCACCAGCGTAGCAGTTCCAGTACCAGACACCGCCAAGGTCGGCTGCGTCGTCGATCACAAGAGTCTTGAATCCGGCCCTTCGGAGTTGGTCAAGGGTGTAACATCCGGCGAAGCCACCACCAACAATGATGGCATCGTATTCGGGAGAGGACAAAGAGCCCATCTTGCTGGGAAGGAATTATAAACAAAACCGAGAAGAGACTCGATAGGGTAGGAAGTCTAGCTAATGAGACCAATGATCATGCAATTGACTGAAAAGAGAGATATGGGAAAGAACCGCATGCGCCTTTATGATGCAGTTGAAGAATGGCGCTGAATGTGAGAGCTCATCGCCCCACGAACTTACGTAGGTGCGGGCAAACTTCCGCAGGTTTTTCTCGATTGGCGGGCCTATTTGGTCCATTTGTCTTGGCTCTCTCTGAGACTATTATTTTCTAATTGGTTCTGGCATGTTTTGAAGTTTGCAAGTGGCCGCGAAACTTGCGAATAGTTATTCGTACGGACTAATTCATGGCTAGAATCTGTCCGCGACTGCGCGGGCGGCATGGCTAACCGCGGTGGTTTCTAGGCTCAAGGCGAAGTCTAAATATGGAGACACTGCTCTCTGTTGTCGCTCCCTTTCCCGCTGATTGCTAAAGTATTCACAGGATAGACACAATTTCTTGATTACTCTGCAAGCACACTCAACATGAACGATAAGGGCTTTGTCGAAGATGCTGTCAGTATCAACGAATTCCACGCGAGCAGATGAATCTGACTGGTAAAAGAGCAATTATGCCGAAGTTCGGAAACAGATTGAATTCCTCCACATGCCAGGCAGCAAAGTTTGTGATACCGCACCATTGTAATCCCATAGACAAGGCCTAGGCTGACCTATGCACTGAAGTATCACAAAGAAGAATTAGCGACAGAAGAGCAAGAAGTTATGGACCAGCTTTACCGCGGCTGGTTGCATTACTGGAACAAGGAGTCGCGCGAAGACTACTACAACGGAATGGTGGGCGCTCGGCGATTCTATGATTTTGATGACATGCTCAGCTACGACATGTTCGGCAACACCATCCGGGGCAGCTTCAAAGAGCACTTTGACTCCATCTTTCCGTATTGGAACGACGGCAACATGGAGTTCAAGGACATTGAGATCACGGCTCTGTCGAAAGAGTTTGCCTACTCCACCATGATACAGCATACTTGGGGAACAGCTGGCGGTGTGCCCTTTGACACAGCTTTTAGAAGGACGGGAATCGCGCGGAAGAACACAGAAGGGCAGTGGAGGTGGATTCACGAGCATTTGAGCTTCCCCACCGATATGGCCACCAAGACCGCCGACTTCACCAGCTCGCTGGATCCATTGAAGGCAACCAAGATGAAGTAAGACTACGTTTAGCCACAGCTTGTTAGACTTGTAGCCTTTGTTTGGAGCCAAGGTGTTATGATAGAACACGCCATTGTGAGAACTATCTTTTTGGAAGACTGGCAGGAAGCGGTGGAGGTTGACAAGGGGTAGAAAGAGATGACTGGCGAGAAATTGAGCAACGGTGGAGATCTAAAGCTTGGGAAGTTCATCAGTGATGGAGCGTGATGTACCAAATTAGCCCGTATTAAGATATTCAGATGGTGCTGTTGAACCCACGTACTCAGATGCTGAAGTCTTCAATGGCCTCCTCAAGCATCGTGAAGTGCACATGTATTCTCACAATGCTCCTGATATTAGCTACTTCTAACAAGTACTACTGGGGTACAGAAAGGTGAAATCATCAAAACTCAGCATCGCGCTACGTTGACCCGTCTTGAGGCCGCATATAAGGTACTTCTAGTAGCATGAATGGTCAGCAGAACCTGCATTGGCGTGGTTGATATTCTACGTAATATCCACAAGAGTGAAACGTACCATTCTCAGGCTTGATATGTTACAGAAGCCGGCCAAGACTGAGTTTTTCAAGGGAGGAACATCAAGTCAGGCACCCACATCTAAGTGAAGAGCGAACGCCCTTGTCTCGGTATTTTCTGACTATTCTGACATTCTACTCTTCAACTGTGAATCTCATGTGGATTGTTACTGAAGGTGATGTCATGAAGGCGCTCTATCGCGACATGTAGGATTCCTCACCTGGTTAGAATGGCGTCTTCCGTTCAGGACATGACGTATTTACTTGTGCATTGTGTCTCGGAATCCGATGAGGGAATCGCGATGTATTATATGTTGGGTAGCGGCCGACTGACGGGTATTCGGAGGGTTTGAGAGTCTAAGACAAGAGACCCAAGAACGAGACACGCCTAACTCGGAACAAGCACCTAGACATCAAAGAGGCCAAGGACACGGTTCGATCGACAGCATACCTACCTGCATGCTATCCTGCTTTCAACAAGGTTATAAGAACAGATGCGCTAGCATATGGAGAATGCATTGGGGCTGATGTCTCATTAGTTATGGCGGAGCTGAACGATCCAAGACATCACCAACCCGTAAAGGGTTATAAGTTTAGCGTTCCTGATGGGGCTCATCCCGATACATATGCCCTGTTCCAGGCTCGTTGCATGAAATCCCTGCAATTGAATACCGCGTTACGCGCGGCAATCGTTCTGCTCGGCCAAGGGGAAGCCAGCTGCGTTATCAAAGTTCGCCGATCCACGGATTCTGAACACCCGGGCTGAGACCGATCGGCGATGCGGGGCCGGGTCCGGCAAACGTCCACCGTCCGAAGCCGTCGTCCATCACCACAATCACATGCCTTCTAGTAGGTGAGTAGTTGATAGAGCAGTCAAGAAACTCCCTGATGCTATCGGGTATCTTGCTTGTCCTGGAGTTATAAGAAGCAGCCATCGTCGTCCCAATTTAACGGTCTCACCACACGCGCTTCACATATTTTTAACCTACTGCAAAAGTCAGAGCTTTTTCTAGAACATCTCATCATGTCCACTTCATATCAAAGTCAACCCTCTAGGTTAGCCAAGGCTACCAAAGGAGTGCAGTGGAACTCTTGGTCCATTGGTGCTGCTACAGTACTGGCAGGCCTGACGGCGCAGACCTACTTTGCTTCTGTGCCTGTCCACAAGCCCACCCCCTCGATCGAGTCGTGCCTGAGCAACGTCTGTGCAGGAAGGTCAGATTGCGTCCAGTTTCCTAGCCAAAAGAATGCTGGAGAAGCTACGTGGATGGCCCCTTTCAATCTCGGTCGCACAGTCACACCCGCGGCCATCGTCAGACCCAAAGACGTCCATGAAGTTGCCAACGTTGTAAGATGCGCAGCCAAGCATGGAGTCAAAGTCCAGGCCACTGCGGGAAGCCACGGCTGGGGGTGAGTTTGACCTTCAATACAGAGGCTCAGAGTTCTGTTACTAACTTTGATGGCAGCAACTATGGTTCGCTATTCCCATGCCTTGCCTATTGCTGCGCGCTGGGAAAACGAAGTATACCAATTGCTAACTGCCTTACCAGGCCTTGGAGGCAAAGACGGTGCCGTATCAGTAGACATGGAACACTTCCAATATACGCAAGACTCCAGCTCAAACAACATCAGAGTTGGTGGCGGTACGAGACTCGGCCAAATCGATGAGCACCTGGGCACTTCCCAGCGAGCGATTCCTCATGGAATGTGCTTCGGCATCGGCATCGGAGGCCACGCTACCGTTGTAAGTAGCTCAAGCAGATCAAGTTTTTCAGACGAACATTGACAAATTGTGTTCAGGGTGGAATTGGCCCAATGTCCCGTATGTGGGGTACCACCTTGGATCATGTGGTTGAAGTCGAGGTTGTCACGGCAAACGCGACGGTTGTACGCGCGAGCTCTGAGAAGAACTCGGACTTGTTCTTCGTAAGTTTCTCCCAACAGTAATTTTGCATGCTCCAATTACTGACATCTTTCTCCAGGCTATGAGGGGAGCTGGTGCTGGGTTCGGTATCGTCACCGAGTTCGTCATGAGTACTCATCCAGCGCCATCAAGTGTTATCCACCTTAGCCAAAGTCATTCGTATAACCACCCAGCAGAGGTTGTCGATGTCTTGCATGCCTGGCAATCTGTTGCCACCGACCCTGCCCTCGACAATCGCTTCAGTACAGAAATGATCTTCAGCCCGTCGGGTGCTCGCATCTCTTCTACATGGGTCGGCTCAGAGACGGAGCTTGAGCGGAGTGGTATACTCAGTCGCATTCAAATCGCTGATATCCCAATCACAACTCGTCAAGAGACCTGGGAGAGTTCTCTTGCTCACCTCGCTGCCGAAGAAGCTCTCCATACGGCTTCCACCCCGAACAAGCTTTACTCGAAGAGTTTGGGCTTGAGTAGCAGTGACGTTCTTTCCAGGACAGAGATCGCCAGTATTTTTGCCAGTCTGCCAGCTGAGCTCATGAAAGAAGACTGGTCTATCAAGTTCCAAGCTGCTGGCGGTGCTGTTGCAGAGGTTCCCGTTGGCAGTACATCCTATGCCCACAGAGACAAGGTAATGTTCTATCAATCGTACGCCCCGGATGCTTCAAAGACGACTCGCACCAGTCTTGCAGACTTTCACAGGAAGCTGATGAACACTCTTCCTGAGGCCACTGGCACTTACCCAGGATTTGTGGATACGGAGCTTAGGGATGCTCAGAGGTCATACTGGGGTTCGAGTCTTGCTGCTCTGGAAGATATCAAGACACATTGGGATCCCGAGGATATTTTTCACAACCCCCAGAGTGTTTCTGCTCGTACTTGAAAACCCAGCTAGTTGCTTACTTTGAGTATCTATAACGATTAAAGGGGCTTTACATGTTTGAATCTTATTTCACTTTGTGAGGTAATCTTCATAGCTACATGTATCAGCAGTCATGAAACGACGACTGGTTGTTCAAACGGGCCACAGCACCAAGATCTATACTAAGTCTCATTACCTTATGACTATTGTGACTTTGCGTAAAAGCCATGGTGTGACACGATTGAGTTGGACATGTTCTCATTGTGCTTGTCGAGGAACTTTGTGAGATCATCTCGACAGCAGGCGGAATGTGAAGCTATTCGCAAGTTGATGAAAATTCCTTCGAAACCAATGTGCCAGGATTGCCTGGGCAACGATCATCACTGCCAACACTTTTGCCACCATATCTCAGGGCGCATGTATTCCAAACATCAGGTTCACCCTTATAAGCCTTCGGCACAGTGCCGACCGTATCCTTGTCCATGCTGATCACCTCGAAAGGCTCTCTTGCAGTCAAAAGGTCCGGTTTGACAACCTCTGTGCCTGCTGATTCCCAACGCCACGGCTGGGCAATCCGGACGACGGGAAGATGATCCCACTCCAGAGGCTGAGCCTCCAAAAAGGGCGACCTTGGCGTTCCATTGCACGTGCAGTTCTCATAACGGTTTCCTGTCAACCAACCGTCAAGCTAGCATTGCAGGCCGAAGAGTTGGCTCTGGCCATTGGCGGGCCGAAGCCCATACCTCGGGCTTGGGCCACTAACACGGCAAGAAAGTCTAGAAGCCAGGTCTATTCATTATAAGTGGCTAGTTTGATGTCAATATCAGACTCGAACTATGGGTGTCAGATGAGGTCAATACTATAACCGACCGGGGCTATTGCACAAGGTGAACCCATGGCCACAGTGAAGACGTCCTTTCGTATCACCTAGCGGAAGTAATTAACCGGCGTGCAAGGTAAGCGTCAAATGCCATGCGCGGCAAAGGTGCATCCAAGCGACAGACCAGGGACGGGTAGTATCGTGTCCCGGCCGAGGCCACCGACTCTCATGTTTACAGTGTAACGCATCGTCGCGGAAAGTCTTTCGCGGCATCGGGTCCAGACCCCGACATTGGCGAGATGGGCGTGAACATCAAGGTGGTTGGGGACTGCGGCAGGCAAACCGCCCGCGCGCGGGGGAGGAGACCGGGGGGGCGTTGAAAGAAATGAGACGCAAATGTCAAAAGAACCCGGCCTTTCGGTGGCCAAGGCCGCAGAGTCTGGGTCAAACTAGCCGGGCAGGCAGATGAGGGTTGACAGATGTCCCGTGCGATGCATGCTCGCAAATGGATCGGCGCCATGAATGCCACCGAAATGAATAGGTCTTTTCCCACGGCTCTGGGGTCGTTCCCCTGAAAGCTTCATGTCACCATCTGCTGATGTTTGAACCGTGCCAAGTAACGTCTTGCCCCTCCCATCTATTACATACACGTCAATAACCATTTGAAAGGAGCGGCCTGTCTTTTCGAAAGGACCACTATGGAGCCAAGGGCAGAGTTTGCCGTCGCGCCGTAAGGCCCGTTGGGAATCGGCCCTGCTTCTAGCGTAATGTTTCAAGCCTCGGAATCGCAGTCCCGGCAGGGCCCTGCCAACTTCCCCCGGGACCCCGGTCGTCTCGATCCGCACACACCCATGACGATCCGGCGGCGGCATCCAGCACCAGTCTAACTGCCAGTTGGGGTAAATGGGAAAGTAGGCGAGCGGGGGACAGGTGAGATGAGGGGTTATGAATGGAACATCAGTCTTGAGGTGTCTGAGTGACCGCTGACGCGAGACGGGAAAGAGAAGCAAGGCGACGGGAATAATGATGATGGGGGACGGTATAGTTGCGGTGAATATAGCTATATGAAGGCTAAGGGCAGTTGAGTATTGTCCTCATATGGAACGAGGGGAGCCAGGATCGGGGGCTCGACAACCCCAATCTGGAGCTTTCCGCCACTCCTCCGCCAATATAGGTGATCTTCCTGCCGTCTGACGGTCGTCTATTACCCGATCCGATCATTGCCCAGTTCTCGTGCAGATGCCGCCTTCAGCGGGCTGTCCACCGTAAAAGAAAGAAATTTCTGTTCTCCAGCCACTCCTGGCGTAGGATGCGTTGTGAAATCTTTAGTACGGCGCGGCCTGGAGGCGAGGCGAGCCCGCCCGTTGCGGGATCACTAGGGGAGTGAGCCAACAGTCTGGCGCCCGTCTGCACCGTCTGGGGTTAGCTGATGGATAGCTTACCAACTTGCATATGCTTATCTCTGCATGTCGCTAAAGCATTCCGGCTGTGATGCCTGTTCATTGCCGTCACAGGAGGTGCCACTATGTACCTACTGCCAGGAGGACTTTTGGTTCAGGTCAAGTCGTATGTACCATATACATCTGGTGCCAGGGCGGTAGTGTGTATGTAGCTTGAAAATGACTGGAGAGGCTGGCTGGACAGACGAGGAACCCATGTCTGGCTTGTATCGGACAATGGCATCAGGGCGATCATCTAGATGATGCCGGGTGTGGAATATGTGAGATCTCGTCGCGTAATAGAGTAGCCGGGGGTTCAAGACCAGAAAGCAAAAAAAAAGAAAATATTCATACGATGGAGAGACCGATGATGAACGGCGCCAGGGGCTTGGCGGGCGGACCCGAACGAGGCCTATCAAATCCCTCGTAGACTCTGGTAGATTGTTCTACCCGCCAACCATGAGCATACTTCAGCGAAGTTCGGTCTTGGCTCGGGAGTGCCAGCAAAGTCAATTGAGCTCAGACCAAGGGATCGGAACGTCTCTCTGAAAGACTGAAAGAGTATTTTCGTATCTAGAGATGCAAGGTCTGTGCTGCGGGCGTGGGCAAACCGTAAAGCAGGGCGCTGTTGTCGAGTTGCGGCGTACGGCCCGAACGAGCGAGAATCAGAACAAGCATAACCAGCTCCCAGGAGGTGCAGTGAACGAGCGCACCGTCCGCCAAAGCTGAGTATTTCCAGCCCTGCTGACGGAAAACTTGAAACTGTCGCATCTGCCCGCGATGCGGCTAAAAAGTGCCATCTGGTATTAAGACGCCTGAAGATGGGACGAAAATCATGTAGCACCTTAGGTCGACATTCAGGGAGACAGAATAGAGGCTTCAATCATCTTGAACAGCAGGGAACGGCGGGCGTTCGACGGGTTGCCGGCAAGCAGCTTGATTTGACAATTATGTCCTCTCGAGATGTCTGGTTTGGAAATCTCTGAGCCTAATTGAGTATGCGTCAAATGCCGGATTACCAATCCGGACATCTGTCCGCTCGGGATCGCCGAATTGGAAAACGTCCGACGGCAGACAGGTTCTCTGACCACTGGAGGCCAAAAAATGTCTATACGAGTTGTGAGGATTCCGAATGCTTTTTCGGTGAGTTCCGGGATCTTTTCCGGAGGTCTTTAGCATGGGATGCTTGTTGAGACCTTCAACCGATTGCAATCTTCCGGTGGGAGAGTTCCGAGTGTAGCTCGGCCCAGGCACCGATGATGTGGGGTTTCAAGGCCGAGGAAGTCCGGTCCGTCACCGGGTTCTCTCATTTGAAATTCCGACCTTTCGCGTGTCACACTATTCGATTTGCTCGACATCTTGCTCTCTATGATGGCTCAAGATTCTCACCTCAAACAGAATGTGGCTGGAGTCCCGAACGCGATGGGTGCTGTGCCAACATTGGACATTCGGAACACTAATATCCGGAACTGCTGGATTAACTTTCCCGCGTCTAATTTTAAGGCTCTTTGAGGAGCTCTCTATTGCAATTCCGGCCGGCAAAAGTCTCCCGGGAAGGTCTGTGTCGTCGTGACATGCCATGTGTGATCGTCCGGCTTGTAGCATCTAAGTCCATGCGCTTCTTGAATGATTCCTTACCTGTGCTTTTTGGATGCCACCTAAGATCTAGAGGCTGATCGGGGTAGGTGCACAATGCACCTCGACCAGATGATAGGGAACAGGATTTAATTGACTACAATGTGGTCTTTGAGGGCTTCTTAGAATCACTATTATGTCTAAATGTTTGGCCTGAAGCAAGATCGATAAATGCACATGTGTATTTCGACGTACCTAAAGTGTTCTATGGGTAAGGTAGGTCGTATAAAGAGTGGCCAGACGACGCGGCCATGCTACTGTCTATCAGTAGGGTCCGCCAGGAATTGAAATGGGCATAATGCGATATCACCAAGACTGAACATAATAGCATCGCACAATCATTTGCAGTTTCTCTTTTGCGACATATCTAGTCAATGTGTACGAAGCAGTTAACTTTGCTAAATTTTACATCAGCCGTGCGAATCATAAACAAGGGTGCTAGATTTACCCTCCAAACTCGAGCTGCTGGCCATTGGCAAGTTCTCACACCCAAAATCACTCAAACTTCCGTGAAAGATTTAAAGTGTGTCGAATAGTGTTTCCATCTTCCTATCTCCCGACTTTGAAGCGGAATCGTGTTCATGCCGTGCTGGCAACCCTGGCCAATAGGTCTGATGACATCAGTGTCTGGTGCAGCAATCCTAGCCAATATCGTCTTTGCAAAGTACAGTCACACATCATCAAGTCTTTATTCTTTGAATGGTCCTTTTAGTTGTGCGTACCCGATCTATGGGAAGATTTGTGTCAAGAGGCCTCTGCGCGTATGATCGTCCGGATGCTGCCTTTCAAATCCATGCACGCAGTACTCCGAGATCCGAGGGGGCAATCTGGGCGGCAAGGGGTACATGAGATTGAAATTCGGACGGGAAACAGCAAGCTCGGGTGGCTGATGTTTGCCTTGCTCGCTATGCGATTCGCAACTCCAGCAGGCTGTTCACATTACCCTCGTCCCCAACTAACTAAATTAGATACGTCTCCCGAGACCGTTCATTGAGCCACTGTGTCGCGATCGCGGGCAAACTCTTTCGCTTTCTGGACTTGCTTCCTCGGTCTCGGACAGCCGAACTTGGAATTGTCCAAGAATCTCAAGCTAAACTTTCCTTCGATAAAAGTCCCCCCCTCTGCCGTCTTATTTCCATATCATATGTGACATGGACTTCTACCCTAGAACCCGCGCAGCAAAGCGTTAATACTCCAGAGGAGACAACGCAGTGGTTCATCAATGTATGATCGACCGGATCCTGCCCCTCAGCATTCAAGTGCCTCGAAACGCACGTCATGGTCGATCGATATCCCATACGTTGATGGGGTGTTCATCTGGACATGAGACGAATAAACGGCGAGGGGTAGTCGAGACGCACAGCACACGCCATGGATAGTCCTCAAATCTCACCTTTCAAGCACCGGGTTTTCCGAGATGCCCTGCCCAGAATGTAATGCCATAGGAAAGCCAATCCTATAAAAGTTCCAGACGTGAGGCGCAGGGTGTCAGGATATTTGCGTGATCACCACACTTCCCAGCTGCAGATCACGGGTGAACGAGGTGGTGGTGGGTAGGGTGAAGTTTGTGGACGGGCATGGATGCAGGCCTCACGTTCCGGAGTTCGGAAACCGTCTCAGTGAAGAAATCGGGGGTAGCATCTTCGGTACGTCGGATCACGAAAGAGCCGCATGAAGGTCCCGAGTGTGATGTGTCGACCAGGTCGTGATTGATCGTCGTGATCTCCGTCGGGATGAGGCGGCTGCGCCATCCGGCTCGGGTTTGCATCTTGGTTCATGGGACGACGGCCGAGTGACAGGAAATCGCGGCATTTTTTCTCGCTGTCGCCAAGTCGGATCATGGCAATGAGAGTGACCCTGATGTGAAGCTTTTTGGAATGGCCTGCTATGAGACATTGATGAGATGCCGCAGTAGGAAGATGAAAGTCGTCATGTCGAGGTTGAAGTTGAGTTGGTGGTGTGGAGTGAGAGTGAGACGAGGTGCCGGGAACTGGGCATGTGTTACAGATTCTCTCTCCCCGCACACAAGGACCCCGCGGCCTGTCAGACGTAGCCCCGCGCCGCCCCTCCATTGTGCGGGGAGCAGCTGCCAACTGCCCGTATCGCCGCAGAACCTCACAAGTTGACTTCATCTCACGATGCTCCATTTCATAGTAAGAGGTTCAAACGCCCGTAACTCGTCACTTTTTTGAGTTGGCGCGCTGATCCTGCCGCGTCTTCATTCCCGTGGCTCACTCGAGCCCGTCTCATCTTAGTCTCACACGCTAAGGCGCTGTGATGTGCTTAACTTTACATGGCACACGTGCGTGCCAACGCCACAACCAAGTTAAACCGCCACACGGCTCACGATGAACACCAGGACTCTGGTCAACCCGCAGTGAGCTCGAACTCAAAGATAGTCCAAAACCAAAAGATGCGGCATCCGTCACACTCGCAGAATCGATCGTCTGGTTGCGCTCACCATGGGACTTTTTACGCATGGCGGCAATTGACTTTGGTGTCGTACCTTAGCCTCATAGGGCTGGATTTAGATGAACCCATCGCATGAAGGCTGTCGGGCAAAGATGCTTCCAAACTTTGTGTTCACCTTGTTTGAACCTCACGATGTTGGTTTAAACCGGCAGTCAATTGTAACCGAGTTCTACTGAGAACTGGATTCACATTAACTCATCCTGATCCCCCCGGGAATAACCTCGGTCACACGTGTGCAATCACCTTCATGATTGAAAAAATCCTTCACCCGCCCGAGCCATGTCGCTGAGCCGAGACCGAGGCAATGGCGTCTTAGACGAACGGAATAATTGCGCGGATTCCGTGGGCTAACTCGTCACTCGATGCTCATGCTCAATGTTACGTTACTCAATCGAACGTCAATGCTTTTCTTTACGTTACTCAGTACCTCCTAGGTAGAATGTCAATGTCCCTATTACGAAATAACGTCGCTCAGAGTCTGAGGCATTTCAAGGCCCATGAACAAAAATTTTCAGCACCCATCCGATATCTACCTTACCACCTTACTAGCACCGCACCTCATGTACCTTACTTACCTTACGTGAAACCCCCAATCCGTCAGCCCCAAAAACCACAGAACCAGAAAACCCGTGCCCCCACGAAGCAAACCGCGCGGGATATTTCACTCATCGACCCTTCATTCCCTTAGCCAATACCACACAGACTAGTATCAATCCGTCGAAATCTGCTCATACGAACGGGTCCATCCCCATTGACATGTCCACATTCCCCAGCATACCTGTAGGCACCAAGCGTAAGGTAAGGTAAGGTAAGACACACCGTGATGGGGCCCTCCCCTCTCCCCCCCCTAAAGGCCCCACAACCCCAACACCCGGCCGGACGCCCGGCCCTCCGAAATGCCGCCGGACAAGCCTTACGGGGACGCACTGCGGTACCTGCGCCGCAAACTGGCCGCAGCAGCAGTCAGTGAGCATACGCCAGTGAAGCAAAACCATGACACACCAACACACACACACACACACACACACCACTTACACCAGACACGATGCACCCTCGCCGATATCCGAAACGGCATCTTCCGACAATAAGACATACTCCGTACACACACACACAGACAGAGCACATGCCCACCTACTCTAGTCCGGATACGCCAGAATCCTGACACATTTTGACACCTCCCTTGAATGCTTGGCGCTTGATAGCTTGGCAGGACTAGCTCCTCCCTCCCTTTCTAGTCCCTGAAAGGCTGAAAGGCTGAGGGCCTGAACTCCAATCAACTCTCTTCACGCCCTATTCTGACATTGCCCTGCCTCCAGTACACACCCTGACTCCATGTACCTTATGCTGTTGTCTGCCGTAGCTTGTCTTGTTTCAAGTAGCACCAGTGCGGGGATCGCGGTCTCTGCTGTCTGCCTGCTAAGTACCAAGGTCTATTTTTCGTGCATTGTAAGGAAAGTTGTGACGGGCAGGGGTCTAGTACAACACACTCAGAAAGTCTAATAGCGCGCTCCGTAGATATTCGGCCTAATGGCGCAAGGATTCCTGTCGCAGGGCCGCTCCGTCGAGAAACCAGGGCCCTGGGTTCTTCGCTACCTTGCGCCTCTGCCAATGGTTTAGTTGCCTAGTCTTGGTTTTCCTGCACTTGAAAGGACTAGCCAGCACACCATGGAAGGTATGGAAGGAAATAACTGTTATTGCTATGGACAAAGTCTAAAGTGATGACTTGCTTGAGATTCCATGCCCCTCTATGCTCCTGCTGCGCCACTGTGCTACCAACCAATGCCCGTTGAAAGAATCCCAAGGGTATCTTGTTCTCTGTTGAAGCCTTCGAAACCACCAACGCCGGATCGACCCATAGCCAGCAACTGTGCCTGGTGTTATGCAATGTCGCTTGAAGTAATTCCGTCTTTAGACACTCCTCGTCAATGTGCACAAAGCCATACAATTAACCAAAATAACCACCATATTGATGTTCCCGCCCAAGTCTCATCTTGAGAGCGGTTGGGCTCTTGCTGTTCAGCTGAACTCCTTTGCCCTCAACCTGAACCTTGATCATAGCTCTAGCACCTTAGCTTTGGCTATGGCCATGTCCGTGACTGTTGATCCTACTATCAGGGTCTCTTTCCCAATATTGTTCAGTCTTGTAAGGTTGGTGAGATTGTGGAAAGAAGGTGTCCCCTAAGCTGTTTTGGGTTGCTGTATAATCGTAGAGGCCTGCGTCAAGCCGATAGTACGAAGGAGTCACCAAGTCCGGGCTCTGCGTAGGCGAAGTCGAGGGAAGCGAAGCAACAGACAGTCCAGAAGATGGCGTTGGTGGCGGATACACTGACGAATGCGGTAATTGCATGCCCATTATCCCTGGCATGGAATGTGCCATCAAAGGCTGTGGATGCGCGTAGCTGACCGCCTGGACTTGGTGCCGACTCGTCTGTTGCATTATTGCCCCGGCGGACGCTTGCGCGCTTCCGTGAGAAGACGATGCCGGGCTGGGAACTCCCGTCGCAGAACCCTGGTGAGAGAAGCCCTGCTGCTGTGAGAGATCTTTCGAGCGCTGGGCTTGTTGGGCTAGTTGAGCCATGCCTTGGCGTTGCCGCACGTTGCGCATTTGCTCAGAGTCCATGCCGTATTGGAACTGTCGTTTGCGATTCTTGACAACTTGCGAATCTTTTCGAATCCGCAGTCGGCAGCCTTGATCGCTGAGATGACGGGTCAAATCCGTTGACGAACTCATGCCAGGATAGGACCGCGCCGTATGAACTTGGAAGCCGTGGGATTCCATCTCTGTCATGAAGTACACCTCGCCGCCCTTCATGTTATACAGCGCAAATCTCAGCTTGAAGAGGCCCTCCATCTTGACAGAGAGGTCGGGAAATACAAAGTAGCCTTCGTCTTGGCCATCGATGCTCTTATACTTTTGCAGGGAGGAAACTGTCGATCCCACCAAGCCTTTGGCACAGGTTTCGGGGTCCATTTTGGTTTTCTTATCGCCGGGCTTGAGGTAGACCTGGACGAACAAGCTAGGGCCTATTGCACAGTTAGCGTCCTCCACGCTTGGGTCGCAAACAGGGTTCAGGAGGATGATCTCGCAGCTTACTAGACAGAATGAAGTTTGCGTAATTTTGGTTGTGGCTTCTTAGGTCGATTTTGAGAATCGGTGGAGGGTCAATAGGTTTACGATCTGTGACATTGCATTAGATACACATCAGGGAGGATTGTCAACCGCGGACGAACCTTTTTCTTTGCCAGTTGCTACTTTCGCGTGCTGCGGTGCTTGTGCAATTACCAGACGTAACGAGTCCCTATCCCTCGTTATGCTGGGACTTGTCAGCTTCTACCCAGTCTTTTCCCACCCATCATGATGTTGAGAGCCTTAGACATACTCTTGGGGGTCGGGGGCCGGACCCGTGTGCCAACTGGATTGGTACGACATTTGTCGTTGTGTCTGATTGGTATGCGTCGGATGACAATGTAATGTGTGGTGAGGTGTCCCGCGGTTCGTTGTTCCTTGGTAGTAAGATGAATATTTGGTCTTTTATGTCCAGAATGTCCTGACACGTCGGAGATAGGGGCAGTTCGTTCGATGTTGGCCCAGCGTAGCAAGGTAGGTTTGATACCCGGGAAGATGGCCTGCCGCCGTGTCGACGAAAGACTTTTGTATCTCCGAAACGGGCGGCGCGGTGAGAAAGACGATAGTTGATTGTTCGAGTGCGAGGAGCCGTTGATGATGGAAGCGATTGGGCGAGGCTTATCTGATACGATACGTGACAGCAACAAGTGGTGAAAGAAGTACAAGTGGTGGGAGGAGGAGATTTAATGCGACAAAGAAATCGATGGTTGTTGAACCCCTGCCAGATGATGGTAGCGCGAAGTACTCCGTACAGTACCAGGCGCAGATCCCTCGAGGTGGGACGCAGGACAGGACAGCAGCAGGGGAGACTGATCGGAATGTTCCTGTGCGGAGGGGCAACAAGAGGAGAGTTGGAGGGTACGAAGCAATGATATTGCCAGTGTATCCAAGAAAGCGGCTCTTTTCTACTTTCTAAGTGGTCAGCGACAGCGGCCTTTTTCTCAGCATACCCACGCAGATACAGCATGTGCTGGTGATATAGACAGGGTCTGGCCTACCTATGGAAAAGCAAGCTACACCGTCCCTCTCAGTCGAGGAGCACAGTGGTACGTCAACAGCGCCGCGGCCGAAATGGACAAGTCGACCTCCACGAGTGGTGCGTAGCGGGCGCACGAAGCGTTGCGCGTGTACTTGTCCGACTTTGCTACGGCCACCGAAACGCAACCTAAACCTCTCTTTTTTTGATATCGCTTGGTATGGAATCAAATATCGAGTGTTGAGTAAGATTGGCGCTGTTGCGAAGAGCAAGAGATGGGAAAGAGGGCAGGAGGCTTCGGGAGAGTATCCGAGATGATATGCCGTTGAACCTGATGTGGTAGATAGATGGTTGATGAGAATGCAACTAGGAGGTAAAGCAGTGATCTTGATATAAAGTCGGGCAGGCCAACTAGGTCTCAATGGCCCTGGAAGCTGTTGTCAGGATCAGGGAAAGACGGGTGGAGCAGGAGAGGGTACCGTACCTCAGGGGTCGCATGAAGGGGCGTGTACAAGATGGAGACGTTTGGAGATGGAGAGGAGGCGTCCAACGACGGGGACTGGAACTGGGTGTATGGGATGAGGACTGGGAACTCTGTGAAAAGAAAACGGTCAGCCAAGCTGTGAGCACTGAGGAAGAGAGAAGCTTGGGGATGGTGGGGGGTGCCCCGAGCAATAAGACATGTCCGTCTCCCCAACCTGCCTCGCCATGAACCCTGCCCCAAGAGACGGTTGACTTGGCCAATGCTTGCCTGTTTCTTCTCTGACAGGACTGTCCGTACGGATACAGCAGAATGAAGGAGCATTGGAAGTGGGAGTGTGAGTGGGAGTGGGAGATGGAAGAGGGGTGGCAGTTCAAGGTGGGTTAGGATGCACGGTGTCGTACCAATGGATCCCCTTTTCTTTCTCTTTTGGAGGGGCTCTCAGATTATCGGGGACTTCAACCGCGATTTGGAGACGATGACGATACACAGGGAAACTCCAAGCCCATGTCTAGGTGCCGGACTGTCTAACCCAGGAACGAACAGTTCGATCTGAATGCAACGGGGTTGGCCTTCAAGCTTCAAAAAAAAAAAAAAAAAAAGGTGGGCAAGGGCGTAGTTCGGAAGAAAGAGTCAAATGGTAAGCGGGCGTCCGGCTCTGTTCTCTTGGTTGACTGTGGGTTGTAGAGCAGGCACTTTCTACACTTATCGGGATACTTGGAAGAACCGGATGCCAAATGCTAGACTAGGCCCAGGCCTTGGTTGCCATCCGGCGGGGGTAGAAAGAGTGAGGAGGAGAGACCGATGAAGAATCCCTGTGTCGCTCTGGTCTGTGCCGTGAGGTTCGAGTCTCTTGGCGGAGGCGTCCCTGGTCGTCCCGGGTCTGGTCAGTCGACAACCTTCGGCAAGAAGCGACCTGTCAAGCGGCGATTTGGGGGCGGTCAAGGAAGCCAAGTTGGCTTGGTCTGGACTCGGCTGAGTTGAATCTCGTGCGGGAGTCGTTTAGCAGTGGGCGGGTTGTGCCGAGTAACAGATATTGCGAGTGTTCTTATTACCGATGGATGATGATTAGTACTAGAGATGGGTTTGGTGATGTTGTTGAGCTTGGGTACTCCGATGTATCAAATGTGGATGCAAGGCGGGAAGTAATCCGAACATATGGTACGGAGTAAGCGTTTTTGCTGCCCATATGAGTCTTGGTGCCGTCTTGTTGTTGATGAGCAATTGATGACTTGAAGATGAAAAACGACGTGATAAAGAACGTGGCCCGGCCCTGAGACGAACGCGCAGATGAAAGAGAGATCCGGTCGGATTTAGAAGCAATTTCTGACGGGTCCAGACTTGCTCTGTGCGTTCATGCGGCGAGAAGGAAAAGACGATGATGGACAAAGTCAGACACGGCACGAGTACCGGAGATGGTCGGGAGGGAACTTTTGACGGGAGCATTCGCAGAGGGCCTCACCAAATCAGTCGGGATGTCCAAGTGGATCTCATGTAAGGTTGATGCCGGCCAAGGTGAGGGCCTTGTAAACGACGAAGTGTCAGACCAGGGCACTGTGAGGAGGAAAGATGCAGAGGAGGGGAAATGAAGTGAACGGAACAGATTTGATATTCATCAGTAAGGCAGAAAGGAAAACAAGGAGGTGAGGCGCGAGGCGCGAGAGTCAACGTCAAAGTGACTTGGTACCTTTCCTTTCCTTTCCTTATCTTAGGTGCCCAAGAATACCTCAGTGTACCTCGCAGACTCTTGGATAAATACCTTGGCAAAGGGAAGGAGTTATCGATTGGAACGGGGGAAGAAGGAGGTGGACGGGAGAAGGTGAAAGGCGTTCACCTGGCTGAATTGTTCACCTGGGACCTGGTCTCCCGTTCCTACCCTACCTTACCGTGCCTCCCCATGTCCTTTCCGCTCAGTCTCTGTAACCGTTCCATGTCGGTATTGGCCATAACCCATGCATATCAAAAAGATGGGGAAAGAGACACTGGCAGGCAATATCCAGATGCATCCACACACCCATTGGAACTATGGAGCAATGGAGCGTGCAGGTTGTGGAATGGCAGGCACGTCTGGATCGACGACCTATTACACTGGGTACGTATTCGCACACCTACTGCGTAGAGGCAAGGACCGTAAGGTTAAGAGAGAAGGGGCGTTCAGATGGATCGCGGCGCGAAGGCCGGTTGCTTGCTGCGTACACAGGGAAGTAGGAAGGATATCCCTTGAAGGAAAGCGCTGATTGAGACGGGAGATGCGTGGACTACCTGAGTTAAAGGTACCTTGTCAGGCTAAAGTGACTTCCGTCTTTACGAGAAAGCACGGATGGCGGAAGTAGGGGATACTTGACCCGTCCTCGAGACGGGGTGCGGGTGTGTCGTCTGTGATGTGTCGATGGACGCCACAAGTAGACAGGTACCGCACCATGGTACTGTCCGTACATAGGTACCTTAGTCGCGACTTGGTAAGGCAGGGCTGGGCTGGGCTGGGAAAAAGAAGGCAGGTACGTCCTTCCTCGACCTACAGGTCAGTTGAGGATGGAACGGGAAACAGAGCAACAGACCACATTGGGAAAGATGGTCCTGCACCTGCCCTCCTCCTTCTGCCTCTCTCCACACCTCAAGGCCTACTGCGTGGAGTCTGGACAGAGGCGCAGACGTTGGCCTTGCCTTAAGGTGTCTCTGCTTCATGTGCTCCATGTGCCCGAGAAAGTACCGACACACGTGTTGGACCGTGTCGAGGTACACCACCATGCGTCAAATGTCTTGTCTCTGCCTCAGGTAACGCAGGTAAGGTAGCCTGATCTGGAGCTAAGCTGAGCTAAGGCAGGTGAAGGTGGGTGAAGTAACGCCAGCTCTGTGTTGGTAAGGGTAGGAGCAAGACTGGACAGGGCCAGCTGCGAGGTGCTGCATCTGTACCTTAGGTTGGCTCACCAAGGTAAGGTAAGGTAGGTACATAGGTACCTTATCTTAGCTACCTTAGGTAAGTCACCATGAGGTGGCCTGAGTGACGGGAGTGATTGGGTGAGTGACTCGAGACTTTTCAACCTGACTTCACTGTGCACGAAGTAGGTGAGTGCGTGGGAGTCAGTAATAAGTGAGAGAGTGGATGTCGGGAAAAAAAGGCAAGGGAAGATCATTCGGGCGGTAGGGCCTGCATACGGAAATCGTCTCTGCTCTAAGGTACCGTAGGTAGTCTCTGCGTTGTTGCTTCCCGGCTTGCTTCGCCTTGCACCTGATGGGAGGATCCCTGTTCTGTCCGGTTATTTTCTGCCCTGTACAAAGTGCAAAGTGCAGTGAATAAGAGACGGCGGGATCCGACCAAAAAAACCACAGACTGTGTGTGCCACCACATGGATTGCATCTCAGATGATTCAGCCCTGGCATAAGGTCCCCTAGGGGTTTACATTCAGCTATTACGTGAACGCCAGAGATGGGCCGATTGGGAATCGATTGAGACAATCTCTTGTCTGTTTTTCTCTCTCCCTTTTACACCATCTCGATTTTCCCGCGGCATAAATGATAACTCTAGCAACGCGTAGGCACATCATTGCCAATTCTTGACTATCGATGCTGCAAGTCACTGTGCTTTGGCCGTTTCTGCGGAGAGAAGAACATCATCCACGCCCGGGTCCTTTCCTCCTCCCCTTGTTCGCCCCTGGTCAACCCCCACCGCCCATCATCTTCATCTCTCCTCTGCCTAAACTTCTTTCCTCACAGTTCACTTTCTTGTGTCTCCTCTCCGACTTCCCACTTCCACTGCCTCCGTGCTTTCCACTTTCCCCCCTGTCCCCTGACGGGCAGAGAAGACAGCTTGACAAGTTCCTTGACGCCAACATCCCTGATCCCTGCTCCTCTTGATCTTGCCCCTGGGACCTTGGGTGCCGTGCCCGGACCGGAAGTCTACGGCTCCACCCTGCCGTCTGTGCGCGGCGAAAAGAAGAAGTCGTAGCAGGCATCAAGGCATGAATGGAAGCTTCTGAGACACTGCTTGGACAGACGTTGGCTTGACGGGTAAAACGTCTTTCCAAGACAAGACAAGATTGACGGTTCTGGGGGGGTTTTTTTTTTTTTTTTTAATTTTTTTTTCTCGTGTTTATTTTTTCTTCCTTCGCACTATCTAAGCTATCCGTATTGATGAAGCACATGCTTAATCCGAATCTTCAATTGCGCCCTGCCTCGGCCAACTCCGGGCTGCTCCACACGGGGCGGACTGGGCCACACGGAGGGAACGGGGGATTCGTCAAGGACCGTGAGTTCTTCCAAGTTCTTTGTCAGGACGAGAACTTCAGCTGGCAAGAATACAGCACAGACTGATGCTCCGTAAAGAATTCGGATATCTGAGATAGATAGCGCCATCTCACACCAACTTGGGTGCACAATGGTCACATACCTACACACTCAGGCAGTCGTAGTGTCGTCCTCTACGCCATTTATCCTTGACACTCCAATGCCCACCTTGGAGACTCGGGTAGGCATTCATACCTTAGCATACTGCGATATCCGCAATAATAGTCAGTTTCAATGCTGATGTTGGCAGGACCAGCATCCAAGCGGCACGTCGAGGGTCCTGAAGCTCCGGAGAGTGGCTCATTTGACAGCTGTCAATGATCCCAGCCTTGCTTGGGCTTCCATTGGTTGGACTTCGCCCTACCTTACCTCAAGGTACTTCACAGCGACAAGGTGCCTTGCGTATCCATCGACGTGCGGCCCAACTGACGAGGAACGGATTAAACAACCTTAGCTATGACCTGACAGATTTACTTTCGCCTTGGTATTGATGCTTTCGGCTACCTTGATCAGGGCAGGAGAGGTGAATCCAAGGCACAGATGGATACGATGCCCGCTCACGACGTGACTCCAAGTTTGCATTGTTCCTGCCTTGGAGGGAGATACTGTGCGAACATGAGCAGCCCCCAGCATAACACGGTGTTCAAGCACTACAAGTGGGCTTGGAACCACGGTGCGTAAAGACGGAGGAAAGATGGCACTACCCTGCTGCTCCCTTCCTCGCACCTCGCACAACGACTCGGTGCAGGGCACCTTCCACCACCTCACAATGAGTGGAGGTGTCGACGTGCGGATACGTACCCAAGTATCCGCAAGGTAGGCACTCAGGTAGGTATTTCGGACCCATGAAATGTGACATGTCTCCACTCTTCCTGAGGTGGTCCTCTGTGTCCATCCCGCTGAGGAAGTGGATGACTCCGCTGTCTGTTTGCGACTTTGTAAAGTCGTTCGTTCCTCCCATTCCCACTTGTATTTGCAGTACGCATCCGTACGTACTATCGCCCTCTTGCTTGTTGTCACTCTGAATTGATCGTGCGCAACATTCAAAAGAGGCAGGTACTCGTTGCGGAGATTAAGAGATGCATTTTCTTTCCATTGATATAATGCATGGAAGGTACCTGCCTCGGATAGAGAACGCAGCTAATACCTCAGTGCCTGAGGTGAGGAACTTGTCGCGATACGTCCCTCTTCCGTCTTTGGGTTGTCGTTCCTTTCCTTTCCTTTCCTTCCCGCCGTCCCTTTCTCCCTGAGTCCCTTCCCATCCCACATCCCCCACCCTCCTCCATCCCGCACCCGCATGAAGAAATTCGCCGAGCACAATCCCATTCTCTGCGGGACATATTCAACATGCACAATTGTTTCGCTCCCGGATCGACGCTACGGATACTCGACATACCTCTCCTTTTCCAAATCATTTGACACCACCAGCATTCACCTCCTGTTCTGCGACCTGCCTACCCAATTCGACATTGATGAAACAAATAAATCGTCGTCCTCCGCTCCGGTCCACCTCCAAACCCTCGTCCACTCCAACGCCCTGTCCGTCAGCGCCCGCCCATCATCATTCACCAGAACGCTCGCTGGGTAGACACAAACACTTCAGATGGCTCCGTCACTTGCTGTTATTTCGCATATCACGGCAATGTCCGATGTGTTCTGTTTGGGAGAAGCTTCCGTTGTCATCAACGACGGCATATCACCCTCCCTGGGCTTTCGACATGGCTGCGTTTGCGGCTTGCCCTGCATCACTCTGGCTATGCATTCGTCTGGAGTACGCTCATCGAATCTAATACGCCGTCTCACGATAGACATCGCTGCCAGCTAAAACGAGCAAAACCCCCCGTATGTGTACACGATGGCTGTCGTCAATGTGGACGACGTGTTTGCCACCCCGACCAACCTCCTCGCTCTTGACGTCGTATGTTGACCGGCGAGCAAGCTCTTCGGCGGGGCATCATGGGACGCAAAGGAGGATTTCCAAGTCTGTCAGCAATCATTTGCACTCAGCCCAGCAAACACCCCTTCAAACGAGCGCCGCAAGGCTATGCAATATCAGGTTCCTCCTGGAATTCTGCCCACTCTCTGCCCCTGCCAATCGCCGACACCTTTCCCCCTCTGCATCTGCACTGCACCACAATGACCAGGTCGCGCCGCACCAAAGTCCGAGGAGGAGGCACTGCACTGTCTCGACCAGCATGCCACTGGCCACACGACAAGGCTGCGAATTCTAGGAGTTTCTCGCAGCCGGACTGCTGTTTCGTCTCGGCTTGTCATTTATTTATCCCTGG